GAAAGTCTTCGACAAATAGAGAGCCTGTAAGGAAATTTCTTCAAAGCGTTATACAACTGCGTGGAAAGAAAGTCTTACCGCGGCGGAGGAGGCATTTGTGCTGCTGTCCTTCAAGGCTCGGTTATTGACCTATTTCTAGTGTTGGTATAAGTTATTGATTTGGTTTGAGTCTGTGATGCACTGTGTAAAGCTTTACAGATGACAAAGGCCGTGTGAATCATGAGCGTTATGTAATCCGTTCACGAGCGAAGAAGTCTTTTTATCTACGACCTAACAAAAGGTTGCTGGGTTAGTCTCTTAAAGGGAAATGGTACAGTAGATTTTCTTGTAAATTGTTCATAATTCAACCAAATCACTTATGTAGGGGAAATTGCTGGGAACTAAAAAGAGTCCTAGAAACAATAGAGCAACCGAGAAAAATTTAAACTGGCCCTTAATGCACAGATAATTCTTATGCCATTCAGTAATGTTATGTTTGCTACAGGGTCAGCTTTTGATCTTTCTGAAATATGAGAAACGAATCTGTGCTCTTATGCTACTGCAGTGCCCATATTAAAGGACTGATATCAAATTGCAAACAAAGGTTTATTTGCTGGAAGATTCGTCTAATAAAAGTAAATTTTGTCTCGCTTCAATTGTAGTTGCCTTCAGTTTCCGCGTGCTTGCTCCTGGCACCTTTTTGTACTTATTTTTTACAGTTAACTTCTTGGAGCTTTTACATTTGATAGATAAACATCCATACTATACAAATGTGTCATTTAAGCATTTCCAATAGATGCATGTTTGTAATATATTACTGCTAAAGCTCTATTCCTTCTAGAGCTTCAAGAATAGCAAGGAGTTTGCAATTAGTTTACTTTTTTGACAAGGAATCTTTGAAACCCAGCTTTTATGTGAATAAAGATTTACTGTGTCTCACTAAGCCTTCGTTGTTCTTCGTTAAAGTCTAAAATCGTCACCAATTTCTTAATCATTACAATAATTTTGTTGTAGTCATATAGTAGTTCTGTTAACCGGAGATCGTGCTTGTTCAAAAAGTCTGAAAATGTTCTGTTATCATGTATACTGTTCAGAAATGGTTGCTTTTTTGCATTTTGCTGGTTACAGATTGAAAGAGCCAATTTTGTCGTTAGTTTTGGGGTTTTTTTCTTAGTTTTGATCAAGGAAGCAATATTTTAATAATGTCTGGTATTGCCTTTCGTAAACACGTGTTCCTGTTAGCTTATACTAGATTGTTTGTATTGATACCAGAAGTAAAAATAGGACTTCCTGAGTATATCTTTTCAAAAAGAACTTGTTTTTTCCGTAGTCAGACTGGGTTTTTTTAAGGTGCATGTGGTCATTTCAAGGTCCAAGGCTCTTATTGCAAAGGGTATATTTCTAGTAAAAATATCTTGAAAATTGATACTTCAATTCAATTTTTTCTCTGACAAAAAATTGTTTGTAAATAAAAAAGAGTTATTTGTCGTTATCTTGCTTTGCATGATTTTGCAGCTTTTACTGTCTTCAATGCATTGGGTCTATCTAAAGATATTCTAGAAAGGATATTTAAGATGTTTAAAGTTATGAGCACATGTTTCACACAAATGTTATCTAATTTTTAGTGTGTGAGATGCATCGAACAGAAGACTGGCAATTTTGGAAGACTGACGTCAACTGAGGTCCCAAATTTTCCCGCGGTTTCTATGGTAGGGACACTTGGATCGAATGAGCTACAACCAGGAAAGATAGAGGAATCGCACCTTCACAGAGGCTGGATATGTTATCGGTTAAATCCTGAATTTAAAAAATCATGTATTTTTTTGGACCAGAAGTTGAGCTTCTAATGAAACACTTGTACTTCTGGGCCCTGTTTACACGAGCAACAATGAAACAGCCCTAAACTAGATCGGATCTACTGGATGCTATTATACGACTCTTGAGCTCCTATTCTTTATTTGTAGGAAGAATAACACATTCGTGCTTTGGTCATGCAAATGTAATTCAGCGCGAGTAAATGGTGCCGTCTCGTAGCAGCAAAATATGACAGTAAAGAGATTTCGATATAACAAACTAGCTAAGTCAAGCAAAATCTGTTACCTGGACGGATGGTGAAAATGCCTTTTTCAATACAGAGAAAGGGGAATCCGTCAGGATACTGTTTAACTTAAACCAAACAAAATTTTCGGCCCAGCTGGAGTTGTTCATTTGTACTCTGCTTCTTTTTTGATAAAATCACCCATTTTAATTAGTTTCAATTTCAACCGGATCTTCTTGTTTACACAAACCAAATTATGTCGAACCAAAACTACGGACCATTTTCAAAGATAGTCCAGAAGTAATTCGAATAGCCTAGCAAAAATAGATCGTACCTCCGAAACCCCGTTTGAATTCATGGCCTATAGATACCCGAACTAGATCCAGTCAATCTGATCCAGTTTGGTTCTGATTCTTAATCTTTCTGATCCTACTTAGATCCGATCAACCTGTGCTTGTGCAATCGAGGCCCTGGATTTAGAATATTCTTCAGAGATTATTTTAGATTGTTTGCTTACTGAAAACCGTTAAACTTCCATATATCGGGCAACTGTGGGACTAGAAATCCTATCCATTAATGTTAGAAGGTTCCTGCCATTGCTCAGGTAGAAATCAAAAAGAGAAGTTTCAGGGTAAAATCATTTGGTCCCTTGATTTTGGAGTGTCCATTACAAGGAAGTGTCTACGGGCGATCTCATGCATTTTTCTGTTTTACTGTATTTTTCTGTTGTGGAAGAACTGTATTAGAACCTGCAATCGAATGTGGTATTCGCATGACAACACATGCAGTTATCACAAAAATCCTTCGAGAGGTACTCAATATCAAAATAAATTTGTCCGAAAAGGGGGGAGGGGGGAGGGCTTTGGATCTTTTAAAAGTTTTATAGGTAATAATTGAAAATTTTGATGTAAGTGAAATCTGTCCCCATTTATTAGACGCAAAGGATAGTAGACATAGAACGTCTTGTTTTTACTTGTTTCCATTTATTATACCGAAAGACCCATTGACCTAGAAGGGGGTATTTAAGGCCTTCAAGAGTTCGGCCTAACTCTCTCCATTATTTTAAGCTGTAGATTTTCTCGTTATGTCTTTTGTTTAGGTAACGAATATCTGCTACCCGCTTCCATCAAAAACTTATGGTTGCATTACTGCTTATCTTCATCAAGATAAAAATTCAAGGTTAAATATCAGAATTAGTCATTCATCGTCAAATTTTTGGAACTTTAAAAGGTAATAGTGGCTTTTCTAGCACAAAGTGTAAGGATAACCGAATCGTGTTTAATATTACTGCTCCAGTACAGACCGCTTCAGACAGTTCTTCTGTAACCAATCTCACACGTCTTAACACTTGAATATCACTGTTGATTCTCCTGGCTCGAGGTAGTAACATGCGTTAAAATAACTAACCTGATCTCCTTTAACGTTCAACAGTACCCGTCAATCACGTTTGGCTATGTGATTTAGGGGAACCCACATCAAGAGGCTCTTACTACATTCAAAGTCATTCAAAGGCTTTAGAAATCCGTCATTGAATTTTCTTTGTTTAAAGTGAGAATCCTTTCAATTGCTTATTTGCGTGAACTTTAATTTTTCCTACCTTCGTTTATTAGTCGATTTATTAGTCCTATCGTATGATTAAAGACTGAAGCGTGAACAATTCATTGTAATTTCTGTGATTTTTGTCTCCTTTTCCTCGCAATGATAATCGACATTTTCCGTGAACCGGCTCCGACATTCCTTAGTTTACACAAAGAGAGCCTTTTGTCTCCGATTGAATAGGCAGTGTTTCAGCTGAAAGTTGCGTTTTTTGCAAAAGTATACAGTGTATCAATTTATGCGTTATACCACAGGATGCAGGAGATTGTGCCCGTTCTGTTGGTTTTTTCGCTGAGACGATCGGACCATGTATGGCAAAGTTATTCGACTTTTACTCAGTTTTGACCGAGGGGGATTCAGGTTTGCACAAAGCAGTTCAGAAAAAACAATAGGCTTGTGATTCCCAGAGTTTGTAAAGATCTCAGTTTTTGGTGATTTACTCCTAAACTATAATAGCTATGAATTTTTAGTTTAATTCATGAGACGGGCCGTTCGATGCTCGATTTTTTAAGCTATTTCCCGTTTTTTTAGGACCAGTTTTAGCCGAGTTATTAAGGATTTTGTCTCGAAAATCGCCAAAAAACGGTTTTTTGGACTTTAAAAATCGAAAACAGCCGCTAAAAATTCGCTGACACTTTCTAAAAATCGAGCCAAAAATCGCCTAAATTCTGATATATAGCTTGCTCTGTTTGAAGCTCGCGTTTCTTTTTAAAATCGATTTTTCCGAAAAGTCCACTTTTCAAATTTTCTCAAATTTGCATCGCAGCGTCCAGGCCTGGCCAAAGCCGTTGCTGCGATGGCGACTTATACTTTCTACTTAAAAACGGTATTTTTTGGAGTTTTAAAGCGGGGGTAAGCTTTTTACATGCTAAACAAACTGTTTTAAGTCGATTTAGATGCAATTACAGTGTAATCGTATGATTTTAAATCATTTTGAAAAACTTCAGTACATGTCACTAGCCGCCCGTAGCCTGGTCAGCTTTAATAGAGAGAACCACACGAATATCGCTCTATATTCGCATATCAAGAGCGTTGATCATTTAACAGCCGTTTACACACTCTCTTCTTGCATGTTGAATCTGTTTAATCTTTTACAAAGGGATTAATTGCAACAAAATCTTTGCAACTTCACTTTTCCTCGATATGAAGGTCTGGGAATCCCCTTCCATTGGTATATTCAGGCTTGCAAACTTTCTATTGTCTTACCGGGTTACCCTCTAGTTTTTGCCCTTCTAAGGCTTTAATATCAATATGATTGAGAGAAATAGATCAAAGATGCACTTATCTATCGACTCAAACGCTTAAAAAGCGAATATCGAGCGATTTTCGTGTGTTTCTCTCCATTAAGGCAGATCGGGCGACGGGCGGCTAGTGACATTACTGAAACTAGTTTAGTACATGTCACTAGCCGCCCGTCGCCCGATCTGCCTTAATGGAGAGAAACACACGAAAATCGCTCGATATTCGCTTTTTAAGCGTTTGAGTCGATAGATAAGTGCATCTTTGATCTATTTCTCTCAATCATATTGATATTAAAGCCTTAGAAGGGCAAAAACTAGAGGGTAACCCGGTAAGACAATAGAAAGTTTGCAAGCCTGAATATACCAATGGAAGGGGATTCCCAGACCTTCATATCGAGGAAAAGTGAAGTTGCAAAGATTTTGTTGCAATTAATCCCTTTGTAAAAGATTAAACAGATTCAACATGCAAGAAGAGAGTGTGTAAACGGCTGTTAAATGATCAACGCTCTTGATATGCGAATATAGAGCAATATTCGTGTGGTTCTCTCTATTAAAGCTGACCAGGCTACGGGCGGCTAGTGACATGTACTGAAGTTTTTCAAAATGATTTAAAATCAAGCGATTACACTGTAATTGCATCTAAATCGACTTAAAACAGTTTGTTTAGCATGTAAAAAGCTTACCCCCGCTTTAAAACTTCAAGAAAATACCGTTTTTAAGTAGAAAGTATCAGTCGCCATCGCAGCAACGGCTTTGGCCAGGCCTGGACGCTGCGATGCAAATTTGAGAAAATTTGAAAAGTGGACTTTTCGGAAAAATCGATTTTAAAAAGAAACGCGAGCTTCAAACAGAGCAAGCTATACATCAGAATTTAGGCGATTTTTGGCTCGATTTTTAGAAAGTGTCAGCGAATTTTTAGCGGCTGTTTTCGATTTTTAAAGTCCAAAAAACCGTTTTTTGGCGATTTTCGAGACAAAATCCTTAATAACTCGGCTAAAACTGGTCCTAAAAAAACGGGAAATAGCTTAAAAAATCGAGCATCGAACGGCCCGTCTCATGAATTAAACTAGAAATTTATAGCTATTATAGTTTAGGAGTAAATCACCAAAAACTGAGATCTTTACAAACTCTGGGAATCACAAGCCTATTGTTTTTTCTGAACTGCTTTGTGCAAACCTGAATCCCCCTCGGTCAAAACTGAGTAAAAGTCGAATAACTTTGCCATACATGGTCCGATCGTCTCAGCGAAAAAACCAACAGAACGGGCACAATCTCCTGCATCCTGTGGTATAACGCATAAATTGATACACTGTATACTTTTGCAAAAAACGCAACTTTCAGCTGAAACACTGCCTATTCAATCGGAGACAAAAGGCTCTCTTTGTGTAAACTAAGGAATGTCGGAGCCGGTTCACGGAAAATGTCGATTATCATTGCGAGGAAAAGGAGACAAAAATCACAGAAATTACAATGAATTGTTCACGCTTCAGTCTTTAATCATACGATAGGACTAATAAATCGACTAATAAACGAAGGTAGGAAAAATTAAAGTTCACGCAAATAAGCAATTGAAAGGATTCTCACTTTAAACAAAGAAAATTCAATGACGGATTTCTAAAGCCTTTGAATGACTTTGAATGTAGTAAGAGCCTCTTGATGTGGGTTCCCCTAAATCACATAGCCAAACGTGATTGACGGGTACTGTTGAACGTTAAAGGAGATCAGGTTAGTTATTTTAACGCATGTTACTACCTCGAGCCAGGAGAATCAACAGTGATATTCAAGTGTTAAGACGTGTGAGATTGGTTACAGAAGAACTGTCTGAAGCGGTCTGTACTGGAGCAGTAATATTAAACACGATTCGGTTATCCTTACACTTTGTGCTAGAAAAGCCACTATTACCTTTTAAAGTTCCAAAAATTTGACGATGAATGACTAATTCTGATATTTAACCTTGAATTTTTATCTTGATGAAGATAAGCAGTAATGCAACCATAAGTTTTTGATGGAAGCGGGTAGCAGATATTCGTTACCTAAACAAAAGTTATAACGAGAAAATCTACAGCTTAAAATAATGGAGAGAGTTAGGCCGAACTCTTGAAGGCCTTAAATACCCCCTTCTAGGTCAATGGGTCTTTCGGTATAATAAATGGAAACAAGTAAAAACAAGACGTTCTATGTCTACTATCCTTTGCGTCTAATAAATGGGGACAGATTTCACTTACATCAAAATTTTCAATTATTACCTATAAAACTTTTAAAAGATCCAAAGCCCTCCCCCCTCCCCCCTTTTCGGACAAATTTGTTTTGATATTGAGTACCTCTCGAAGGATTTTTGTGATAACTGCATGTGTTGTCATGCGAATACCACATTCGATTGCAGGTTCTAATACAGTTCTTCCACAACAGAAAAATACAGTAAAACAGAAAAATGCATGAGATCGCCCGTAGACACTTCCTTGTAATGGACACTCCAAAATCAAGGGACCAAATGATTTTACCCTGAAACTTCTCTTTTTGATTTCTACCTGAGCAATGGCAGGAACCTTCTAACATTAATGGATAGGATTTCTAGTCCCACAGTTGCCCGATATATGGAAGTTTAACGGTTTTCAGTAAGCAAACAATCTAAAATAATCTCTGAAGAATATTCTAAATCCAGGGCCTCGATTGCACAAGCACAGGTTGATCGGATCTAAGTAGGATCAGAATGATTAAGAATCAGAACCAAACTGGATCAGATTGACTGGATCTAGTTCGGGTATCTATAGGCCATGAATTCAAACGGGGTTTCGGAGGTACGATCTATTTTTGCTAGGCTATTCGAATTACTTCTGGACTATCTTTGAAAATGGTCCGTAGTTTTGGTTCGACATAATTTGGTTTGTGTAAACAAGAAGATCCGGTTGAAATTGAAACTAATTAAAATGGGTGATTTTATCAAAAACGGAAGCAGAGTTCAAATGAACAACTCCAGCTGGCCCGAAAATTTTGTTTGGTTTAAGTTAAACAGTATCCTGACGGATTCCCCTTTCTCTGTATTGAAAAAGGCATTTTCACCATCCGTCCAGGTAACAGATTTTGCTTGACTTAGCTAGTTTGTTATATCGAAATCTCTTTACTGTCATATTTTGCTGCTACGAGACGGCACCATTTATTCGCGCTGAATTACATTTGCATGACCAAAAGTACGAATGTTTTATTCTTCCTAAAAAAATAGGAGCTCAAGAGTCGTATAATAGCATCCAGTAGATCCGATCCAGTTTAGGGCTGTTTCATTGTTGCTCGTGTAAACAGGGCCCAGAAGTACAAGTGTTTCATTAGAAGCTCAACTTCTGGTCCAAAAAAATACATGATTCTTTAAATTTAGGATTTAACCGATAACATATCCAGCCTCTGTGCAGGTGCGATTCCTCTATATTTCCTGGTTGTAGCTCATTCATTCCAAGTGTCCCTACCACAGAAACTGCGGGAAAATTTGGGACCTCAGTTGACGTCAGTCTTCCAAAATTGCCAGTCTTCTGTTCGATGCATCGTACACACTACAAATTAGATAACATTTGTGTGAAACATGTGCTCATAACTTAAAATATCTTAAATATCCTAGTATGGCCTAGGAAAAAGCAAAACTTAACGTTTTTGGCCCATTAGTTTTTGTCATCAAAATGTGAATGGTCACAAGTCAGTCACTGCGCCACTGAGTAAAAAAGCAAGGGCCCTTTGTATGCATTAATGAAAATTTCTTGCATTTTAGATTTTCGTTGCATTCAATTTTGACGCTAAGGGGGCTGAAGGGGTTAAGAGGCACAGAGACCAAACTTAGTTGCGAAGGTAATAGCGCCCTCATATGCTTTTGGCCGTATAGTCAAATTTCTTTAAAAACTGCCCTGGATTTACTGTACTTCATGACAACACCACTCCCAATTGAAATTCCCCCAAAAGAAGTCCTATTTTTACTTCTGATATCAATACAAACAATCTAGAATAAGATAACAGGAACGTGTTTACGAAAAGCAAGGAAAATTTCAGACATTATGGTTCAAGGTTGGAAAATCGGAGAGGACACGGCCCAGGTTGATATTTTCAAAATATTGCTTCCTTGATCAAAACTAAGAAAAAAGCCCAAAAATTAACGAACAGTATACACGATAACATAACATTGTCAGACTTTTTAAACAAGCACGATCTCCGGTTAACAGAACTACTATATGACTACAACAAAATTATTGTAATCATTAAGAAATTAGTGATGATTTTAGACTTTAATGAAGAAAAATGAAGGCTTAATGAGACAGAGTAAATCTTTTTTCACACAAAAGCTGGGCTTCAAAGATTCCTTGTCAAAAAAGTAAACTAATTGCAAACTCCTTGCTATTCTTGAAGCTCTAGAAGGAATAATAAAGCTTTAGCAGTAATATATCACATTACATTCATCTATTGGAAATGCTTAAATGACACATTTGTATGATATGGATGTTAAACTATAAAATGTAAAAGCTCCAAGAAGTTAACTGTAAAAAATAAGTACAAAAAGGTGCCAGGAGCAAGCACGCGGAAACTGAAGGCAACTACAATTGAAGCGAGACAAAATTTACTTTTATTAGACGAATCTTCCAGCAAATAAACCTTTGTTTGCAATTTGATATCAGTCCTTTAATATGGGCACTGCAGTAGCATAAGAGCACAGATTCGTTTCTCATATTTCAGAAAGATCAAAAGCTGACCCTGTAGCAAACATAACATTACTGAATGGCATAAGAATTATCTGTGCATTAAGGGCCAGTTTAAATTTTTCTCGGTTGCTCTATTGTTTCTAGGACTCTTTTTGTTCCCAGCAATTTCCCCTACATAAGTGATTTGGTTGAATTATGAACAATTTACAAGAAAATCTACTGTACCATTTCCCTTTAAGAGACTAACCCAGCAACCTTTTGTTAGATTGTAGATAAAATGACTTGTTCGCTCGTGAACGGATTACACAACGTTCATGATTCACACGGCCTCTGCCATCTGTAAATAGCTTTACACAGTGCATCACAGACTCCGTTCCAAATCAATAACTTATACCAACACTAGAAATAGGTCAAAAACCGAGCCTTGAAGGACAGCAGCACAAATGCCTCCCCCGCCGCGGTAAGACTTTCTTTCCACGCAGTTGTATAACGCTTTGAAGAAATTTCCTTACAGGCTCTCTATTTGTCGAAGACTTTCGTCAAAATTCTAATATATGAACAAGGGAAATAATTTTTCTTTTATATTTTTCCATCTTTTTGCAGACAGCTAGGCCTTTCAATTAGTCAGGAAATAACTCTCGAAAAATAAAAAAGCTATTTTCGTGAATAATTTTCAAAAAATAAAGATAACTATTGACATTTCCGCATATATGAATCACTACCAAGGAATCCTATTAGTCATATGCTGCATTTGGTCCTTGAGATTATTTTATCGAAGATGAAGAATGTACAGAGATTTAGCAAACAGTAGAAAGACGTCATTCACTCACGGGTATTACCAAAGGAAAATCAGGTGAAAATCTAAAATCGGTTGTAAATACTACAATTGAAAAAAGAAAAATTCACTGTTTCAGTCTGTGGTATACTTGTTGTTATTGTCAATTGAAAGAAAATAAAGCAAATACATCGTTCTGTGCTATCTTTTGGCACTAAGCTGTGGACCTAGCCTTATAAACTAGCGCAGACGGCTAAAAAATTGAAACAAACCACGAATCTGTTTGGTTTTAAAGACGATCCAACTGGAACCAGTTACAGAAAAATAAACAATTATTTAAGCCCAAGAAATCTGCTCTTTGAGAGAATTTTTCAAGCAGCTACACCATAAGCCTGAATGGTTGATGGGAAACACAAAAATACTTTCTTGGGAATATTGGGCAGAAAGGTATACCCGAAATTTTTTGATAGTTTAGGAAAACTTTGAAGAAAACGGTTTCTAATCACTTGGCTTTAGGAGCTTTTTAAAGCAATGTTTAAAAGCCAACCAACAAAATCTGGGTAAATCGGAGGAATTATTCAAACGTTTGTCGTATGATATTTACACCTTTGGTCTATTCGTTAATGTTATTGAACATGACCCAAATCATTTGAAGTTAAAAATTCATCATAATGTTGAGGGTGAGTTTTTGAAAGAAAAAAGATAATTTAATATTTCAAAATATGACAAGCATCTACACACAGGAAGAAAGTATACATGAGTATTTGAGAGTCTCTTTAAGAAATTTCACCAAGAGCCACACCGCAAAGCAGTGCGTTGGCGGACTGTGCACCATCCTATAAAGCAGTAGAAGGGTGAAGGGAAAAGAATAACTGCCACCTCAAACTGTCGGCGGTAGACCAGATTCACCCCACATCAGGGCTCATCAGTACAGCTAGACCGAATGAGCACCTAAAGCTGACCTAGGTCTAGAAATTAGGAAACATCAGGTTTGTCTTTGAAAACCTAAAAGCACCAACACCTCCTTCTCCTCTATTAAAATCCCCAAACAGTGATTGAACGAAGGTAATTAGCGCTTGAGGCTAGAACTCAGTTCAAAAGGTGCCTTCCATATTAATTAGCAATAGAGGTTGCTTTTTTGTCCAACACTTGTCAACTTGTTAACTACAGCGAGTTCTAAGAGAGTGACAAACTCTTTTTCATTTCTGAAAAGGATCACCATTCCATTTACCGATCATCCAACCATTTGTAGCTTTATCTGGAAAAGCCAGAGTTTATCGTAAAAATAGAAGATCTAAATGAAACAAATTGGCATGACGAATCTAAGGATATTATCAAGAAAAATGTATTTGGGTCTTGAAATTATAGAGTATTCACTAGGGTGCGGTGAGCAATCAAGTTATGGCAAACACAAGGTTAGAAGAATATCCAACAAGACTACGGACGTGAAGGAGTAATTTAAAAACACTCAATAGGTTACATCATTCTTAACAAGAGGTTGGAGAAACCAGTTCATCCATGGAATGCGTTCTCAAAAGTAGATTGTGACAGAGATTTCACACCTGCAAAAGTCATCTGAAAAAGGCTTTAAAAATAAAAAAACCAAAGACAAATATTCAGACAAATAACATAGAAAACTTTTACATATTACGTCAAAAATTAATAAGAAGTAATTGAATCAACACAAGCTATGGAAGGGATAACGTTAATGAGATCTTTAGCAATTACAGTTAAAAAATAGTTCACGAAAAAAATTGAACATTGCAGATGACTGAGGAGAATAGAAGTCAGGTCAGGCTCCAAGTCTGCTATGAGTAAAATGTAACCTCGTACTACCTGCCGCATAGTCCTACACCCCTGAGAAATCAAGGATGCAGGCAACTTACCAATCCGCACTGAACCAGCGTGGTGAGTCATGGTTCACACCCACAACATGAATACACGCAACACACAACGGCCCTCAGTCCCCGGCAGCCGAAAGGCAGAGGGTGCTAAGAATCCCCGGGTTTCAAGAGTATAATTAAATATTTGCACCTACAACGTGAGAACATTGAAAGATCCAGAGAAAGAGAAGGAGCTAGAGCAAGAGCTGATAGGTTTCAAGTGGGACATCATTGGACTGTCAGAAACACGAAAGAAAGGAGAGCAACTGTGACAGTTGCAAAGTGGGCATGTGCTGTACACAATAGGAGGGAACGAATCTGTTGGAGGAGTTGGCTTTCTGGTCAACAAGAACATCAAGGACCGAGTTATAGAGTACGAAGGAGAGAGCAGCAGAGTGACGTCGCTTACACTGAAAGTGAACAGCAAATACCAACTACAAGTAATACAAGTGTATGATGAAGAAGTTGAAGAGCTATTTGAGGAAATTGGAAAATCAATGGAGAAGAATAAAAGTCAATACAAGATCGTAATGGGTGACTTTAATGCAAAGGTTGGACAACATCATCAAAGCGACGGAGCGACAGTTGGAAATTTTGTTCTTGGAGAAAGGAACGAAAGGGGAACCAGACTGATGCAATTCGCAAAATCAAAAGGTTTGAAGATCGGAAACACCTTCTACAGGAAGGGGAAGATCAGAAAATGGACCTGGATAAGTCCAAATGGCGAAACCAGGAACGAGATCGATTATATTTTGGCAAATAAAAACATGATCCAGAATGTCAATGTCATAAAAAGGGTAAACATCGGTAGTGGATCACAGAATGGTCAGAAGTAAGATCAAAATGAATACAAGACTGGAAAGAATGAGAATGATGAGACCAAAAGGAGTGAAAGTAAACATCAACGCCCTGAAACAAAGAGAGAATGAATTTCAACTGAAGTTGCAAAATCGCTTTGAAGCCTTGCAAGAAGAGGACAGTGTGGAGGAAATGGCACTTAACATCACAAAGACCATTAAGGAATGTGCTATGGAAACAGCAGAAAAAGAGGAAAGACGGCGAGAGGAGAAGCTCAAGCAGGAAACTGAAGAACTGCTAAAAGAAAGGAGAGCAATGGCAAAGAAAGATCTGAATGACCAAGAGAGAAGAGAGTACAACAAATTATGTCAAACCATCAGGAAGAGATTGAGAGAAGATCTTAGAGAGGACAACACCTTGCGAGTGAAGGAGGCAATTGAGAGTGGGAAAGGATTGAAAAGGGCAAAAGAAAAAGAAGGCTGCAGGGTTCTTATACCAGCATTGAAAGAGCAAGATGGAACCGCCATCACCAACAGAGAGAGAATCTTGATAGTGAAATCGAGCATGCCATAAAAGGTATGAAGAATAACAAAGCACCTGGAGAAGATCAGATTGTGATTGAAATGCTCAAAGCCGGAGGTGAAGTTGTGAGATCAAAGCTGAGAACACTCTTCAATAGAGTGATGACTGAAGAAAAGATACCAAACGAGTGGAAAAATGCCATTATAACACTCATATTTAAGAAGGGAGACAAGAAAGACCTTGCTAATTATAGACCAATCTGAGTGACCACCAGCCGCCAGAACAAGCTGCCTACAAAAGAGGTCATTCAACCATCGACCATCTGCAGTCAGTCGTGCAAATACTCGAGAAAACCAATGAGTATAAAATACCCATTCATATGGCGTTTGTAGACTACGAAAAAGCCTTTGATTCTGTACTGCACAAGGCTGTTTTTGAAGCGCTAAAACAGCACAGCGTAGAGAAGAAGTACATCAACATCCTGAAAGAGACATATGATGGAGGCACCGCTCAGGTTCGGAACGAATCACAAAGCCGAAAGATTAAGATCATGAAGGGATTGCGGCAAGGAGACACCTTGTCACCAGTGATGTTCACAGCAGCGTTGGAAGAAATATTCAGGAGAATGGAAGTTGAAGTGGGAATTAACATCAACGGAGAGAGATTGAACAACCTGAGATTTGCAGATGATATCATCTTATTTGCAGAAAAGGAAGAGGATCTCAGCAAGCTGCTCAACGATCTGAACAAGGAAGGGAGAAAAGATGGCATGAAAATGAACAGAAAGAAAACAAAAATCATGTGCAATGAAATAGCTAGGAAAAGGAGAAGGAAAGGAATAATTGTGGATGGAGAACAACTGGAGGAGGTGGATGAGTACAAGTACTTGGGAAGACTGCTAACACCAGGAAATCAGATGGGGAAAGAAATAGACGAGAGAGTAACATCTGCTTGGAAGAGATTCGGACAGTACAGCACGTTTCTGAGAGATCAAAGAATGCCCATGTGTCTCAAAAGGAAGATCATGAACACTGTCATACTGCCATCAATGACGTATGGAGCTGAGACATGGTCACTTACCAACCGCCAAAGAGAGAAACTGGCAGTCACCCAGAGGAGCATGGAACGATCAATGCTGGGTGTTACGAGGAGAGATAAGATCAGGAACGAAGACTTAAGATCAAGAACAGGGGTGAAGGATGTCATCGAGAAAGTGATTGAAGCCAAAGGCAAGTGGGCAGGACATGTAGCACGAATGAAGAACCACGAATGGGCTAAGAAAACGACAGAATGGACTCCGTGGGACAGGAAGAGAGGAAAGGGAAGACCAAAGAGAAGATGGAGAGATGAGATCGAGCAGAAGGCAGGCAGCACGTGGACCCAGAGTGCCCAAAACCGTGATGAGTGGAGAAAGATGTGGAGGCCATCCGCCAGCAGTGGTGTGACAGGCTAATGATGATGATGATGATGATGATGAGGAGAATAGGTTGGAAATGCAAAATGGATGACTGAGTCTCAAATTACCAAAGCCATATGCCAAAACTGGGCACAATGTACAAACAAACAAAGTAGATATATGGTAAGAATATTTTTTCTGCTCTGAGGTATATAAAAGCAAAGTATAGTACAACCATCATGAAGAAGAAAATAATATTGCAATATGGACGGCGTACATTGGTAAAACTTCTGACAATGCAATGGGCAGAGAGCCTGTGTAATTCACAGACCCAGAAAATGACCGACAATCTTGAAATCAAAATTAAGGGCTGCATAAAAGAAAATGAGATATAGCAAAGAATGAAATCGAACGAGATCGCAGATCGATCGAGACTATTGGCAGATTTTAAAAAATTAAAAGGTAAATTTGTATATAAAGTGAAGAAAATCAAGAGGAAAGATTTCATCAAGTTATTTGAAAGTCACCGTGAATAGATTCAAATCTAAGCGCTTTTATTGGCAGAAAAAAAGTTTGGGTGTATTTATCATTTAGTAAGCAAACCGTTTTCTGCTTTATTGATCCCACAAGGCGCATCACAGAAAGCTTACTATTATACTTGAGAAGCTTGACCTTGAAATATTTACTGGGAACAGAAAGCTTGAGCTAGAACTGACAGAGAATCTAGGGTGGCATAAGATAATCTAGCAATGAGATGTAAGTCAATGTTCAGAGCTGTTGCAAAACATATGTCAGTGAGATTTAGGTCAGTGTCAAATGCTAAAGTAGTCACATGTGAATTTCTTACATCCAATGAGCAGATGGCATAAACTAAAGGTCCTTTTAAAAAATGTAGCCAAGGAAATGCAAGGAAACAGAAACAAGGCAAATATAGAGATTAGATAATCACAGAAATAACATCAAAGAGAATTGCAGATGTGACGATGAACTCACTCACAAATGAGCACTCACAAATGGAATAAGACCTCACAAATGGAATAAGACTTCAAATATATAATATACTGTTGACATCAATCTTCAAATATCTCTAGAAAAATGGTTAAAACACTAGCAGCTCTTGAAATATGGTAGAATTTTGAGGATATTGTTGATTGGCAGCATGACAGAAGACAAATTAAGAATAGCAAACAAGAGAAAGGAATTGATTGCAATGGTATAATCTCAAATTGGCATGAAATGCAGTACAATGCTCTCCAAAATTTGGCCATTAAAAGAAAAATTGTTGAGAAAAAGATAAGTAAGTTATTTTATAACCAGAAAATAAGAAAGAAACAGAAAGGTTTACAAAAAAAGATATGAGAAGTAAACAAGACATGCTTTTGGGGAAGAAAATGATTGCCAAAGCTGAGATAAATAAAGATCTCGAGAGAATATAAGAATATCTTTTCAAAGACAGGATCCTTAAGGATTGTTTCATAAAGATAAAATTATGGGACAGATTTACTGGTTATGGTTGGTGTGTGACCTTTTTGGTAGTCAGTTATAATTAAATGATGCAAAATTAATTTCATTGGTCTTCTTATCTTCCTCATCGTAAAGTAAAAAAGAACTTAAAAAAGGGGAGTTTCCATCATTTTTCAGGCAATGTAAGAGTGTGGTATCAAAATCCAATCATTATTTAACACCCCAGTTGTTGCAGCTAAAATCTGTCCCTGAAATTATATCACTTTAACCTATAACATGGTTCACAGCAAGTCTTTCGAACTGGCAAGTTATTTTGTAAAATAAATGAAGTAAAATTCATCTCTGGATTTTCAAATTTGATATTTAATAAAATTTTGCTAAACAAGCTTTTTCCTCATCTTCATTTCCCAATGCATTTTCAAAGAAAATTTTTGGATTTGAAACTTTCAAGCTTAAGGTAAGAATACTTTTTCATGATAACAAGTAAAACATTTGTTGGATTTTCTTGATTTTTGCAAGTAAGGGCAAGTTTTCGGAACTGCTTTGAAGTTTGATAGGAGCCCCTTATAAACACAACTTGGGTAATTTTTTTGGCACAGTTAGGCCTATATAAATTGGTAAATTGTCAACTAGTAACAAGCAAATTAATACAGTAAAAACGTCAAAAAAAAGCAAAACAGTTTCCTTTGTAAAATCAAATCAATACTAGGTAAATGAGAGAGGCAGTCTTTTTCATAAAAGCAATCCATTCTCCTTATGAGGCCATTTTTACTCATATTCTGTAAGCTCTATGTCCTTCCTTGGCCAGCACAAAGACCTAAACTTAAAATAAGCGAATATTTCTTGTTGCCAATGAAAATGATCTGATTTAAAATCCATGAAATTCTCTAAGGTCCAAACAAGAACAGACTTAGAGTGTTTATAGAGAATGAAGGAGAATCCCAGTGCATTTCATCAACAATTTTTGTACATCAATTCCAAAGCAATTTTCCGCACTAATCAGAACCAAGAGCACCTCCACAAAATATTTGCTTAATTAAAAGTTACTTGAATAATTGATTTAAAATTTTGAAAAATGAAAATTGAATATTCGAATTCACTCTTCATTGAATTTGCAGCTTTATTTGCATGTCATTGGCTGATTAAACAATAGCTTAATCAGACAACAACAAAAGTTATTACATGAACTACCATTAATTCACACGTGTTGCAATACTTTTGTCCTGTCCTGGTATTTGATTACCATCAATGTTCAAAATGTAGTTTGTAGGTTGATTTCTAAATTTTAGGCAGCAAACTTATTGGGAACATGGAATTACCAAATAACATGTTTAGACTCCCCTTTACCTGGGTTTCCTGAATGGAGGAGACTGGGGCTCAGTTCAGTTTCAGTTTTCCTTGACAATTCTAACTAAATACATAATACAAATGTATGCAATATAATTACCTAAATCAACTAAAACAATCAAAATACATGACAATCAACTAATACAGATGTACATCCACGCCAGACACAGAAGAAAGTAAAAAAAGACACAATACTGTACAGAACATAGAATGAGCATGGGTTTCAGAAGCAGTCAATAAGACTACATCTGAAAACCATGCTCGTATGTATTTAGGTATAATTGTCTAAGCAGGAGCTTTCTAATAGTTTAACCAATCGTGGGAGAGAGTCCACCCCTGCTGGCTGCCCCCCCTCCATCTGAAACTAGAAAAACATAGACAAAGTTTTGATTGGGCCTTGCAGACCGGAAAGGCTGCATATCTGTTTTGGATTACAATCTATTCTCTGTTGCACATTTTAAAACAAAAGTTTTAAAAAGATGCTGGCTTGCATCATGGTATTGGGCTATTCCATTTGATATCTGTACATGGGGATGGAAGTAAAATTCCAAGGGGGTCTGGCACGAAGGATATTCCAGGTATGCTTTTTCCAGGGTGTTGAAAGAAAAAAATATATGAAGTTTTCTAAGGAGTATTAAAAAATGTACGATGTTTTCTCAAATGGGTTAAGAAAATTCATTAAAAAGAATGACATGAATTTTCCGGGGGGTTGAAAGAATCAAAATCAGAGTGGTCATGATCTTCAAATTCACTTTCCCGGGGATATATGATTAACAGAAATCTTACTTCCATGGAGAAAAAAATCTTACTGTATGGAGAAAAAATGGAATAGCCCATTGAAACAGGATGAGAGTAATGGTCTGTCTTCTTTTCTACATGGAGTTTGATTGTTCTTCATTAACATTAACCTACTAAGGCATATAAAAAATTGCACAAAGGCATTCAGAATCTTACACATCATCGAATACAACAATACAGCAAAACAGAAGACAAATACCTCATTTCTTTGAGATTTATCGTTAGCAGCGTCGACGCCATTTTGTTTTTCAACGTGAAGGGAAAGAATGGAAACGAGGCTGTTCGCAAAGGATTAGCTGTAAACTATGTATGACCTTTTTTGTGATGAAACATTTCTGATCAAATTGATGTTAATAATAGCAATAGCAATTAGCTATAATTTAAAGTGGAATTCAAAGGATTTAGTCGACATGAGCTGCACACTTTCTTGGCTATCTGTAGAACTAAATGCACTGCTTTCCAGCCTTCATTTTTGCCAAAAAGGAATGTTGAGGTGTGAGTTTCTCTGGTTCAAGATGTAGCCAATTTCACTGATCAATAAGGTCTTCAGCAAACAGATACATCGCTTCTGAAACGACTCCCAGAAAAACCAATGATAATCGTGCATCGGTCTTATGTTGTCAATGGGGTTTTATTTACGGTTTTCTAATATCTCTAGTTTCTTCACACAAATAATATACAGTTGAGGAGGGAAACAGCTTTACATGGTATATAAACGTGCATTAACAGGCCAACATAAAAAGAGGAACTACACCTAAGTCTAGAATTCGATGTCACATCCAAGAATGTTAAATGACAAAATAATGACTAAATATACAACCTTGAACAAAAATTCTTATAATGTCGTATGACCATCATGTTCTAAAAACTAATCGAAGAAACCTTTCTTCTGCACTATTAACCTTTATTTAGTTTATTTAGAAGCCCAAGATCATTTCGACAGAAAATGGTTTGTTCAAATATTCACGGAAGTTTTTTGAAATTCAAGACTAGTGACATTTCATAAAACGTGAAATTCTTTCAACATTAGATCGACTAATTGAAATCTTGTAAAAATACCATATGTTAAGAAATGTTCCAACTTCTGATATTTACAGTAGAATCCCGTTATAACGAACTCGGTTATTACGTACTTTCGGATATAACGTACTGGTGTGCTTGGTCCCGGCAAAAGGTGTGCTTGGTTTTAGTCAATTTTTACTTACCCTCGTTACAACGTACTTCGGATACAACGTACTTAATACGCTGGTCCCTTTAAGTACGTTATAACCGGATTATACTGTACCATTAAAACGGAGATGAACTTGTCTGAAACTTCTTCGAACAACAGGAAAATGAGCAGAAATTTTCTTTCACCCTTCTTTCTTTATCAAATGACCAAATTCTCACGATATATTATTGCAGGACTATAAATCATGCTAAGAAATAAACCTAAACACTGGACAGAGCAAATTATGTATTTATTGTATTTTAGAACTACATACGAAAATCATGAGATAAAAATATAAACAAGTCATTTACTGTGAATTAAACTAATATTCAAAGGTGTAATCTGCTATTAGTCTTTTAGTTGCTGCAGTTGTTGCTGGAGTGATCATGGTCTGTTTGGAACTGGCGGTGGGCGGGAACCAGGGGCAGGCCTTGTAGGAGCTGGTCGTCTGCAAAAAATTACAGGATTGTAATTCTCAATAATATAGGAGACAATTGTGGAAATCACCCTAGATGGGATTGATACTAATATTATTAACCATCCTGTTCTATACACAAAAAGTGTGTACAGCGCTGCCTATACAGCATAAAGCACTACATGGCAGACTGGTAAGAGAGGTAATTTTCATTGAGGATACTTACGTATCTAACAAGCCTTTAAGACAATGCAAACCACATCTATTTCGGGCTGATTGGAAACCAGATTTGTTTATGATGGTTGTTCGTTTTATAAGTAAAATGGTCTGGACAGTACAGCTTTTATAAATAGGTTTTATAGCAGTGGAACTGGCTGAGAATGACAAAAATAATGCACCTTATCAAGCCACAAACAAACCAGAAAGTTAATAACACAGGTTGTTGAAATACCAGTTGTCAAGAGGAATAAACAATAAAATCCTTACTTAGGTATGAACGGCGTTCCAGAACTGGCTTCTGAATTAGGGAGATCTTTGTTTGACGGTCTTGAAGGAATGTGTGGCCTTGGAGGAGCCTGCACAGCAGGAGATGGCCGTTGGGGAGGCGGTCTAGCAGGTTCGCTTTAGGAGAAGAATACTTTCATTAGGGACTTAGTCAAAGCTTCACGAAAAAACCGGAAATAAATCGGTCACAAGTAGCGCATAACAATATAAATAATGTTGAAATGACATAATATGACAAAGATTCACCAAATTGAAAATACTGTTACTATAAAAGAAAATAGCGAATTGTAACTGTTTAATGAAGTCCCATTAAGTCAATGGAAAGCAAAAGCACTGATTGAAGGTAAAAAACATCAAACAAAGGTACATAACTATATCGAACATACTCAAAACAGACTTACGGTTTGCCAAAATCGAAATCTGTTAAATCATGCTCAACAGGTGGAGGAAGTGGGGTTGACACAGTTGTTGAGCTAACATCGCCAATGATTTTCAATGCTTCCTTGCTAGCATGGTAAATTCTTAGAATTTCATTGCGACGAGCCACTTCCGCATCACTTTCGTGCATCATGTCATTCTTTTCAAAGAAAAACAATCGTAAAATGATAAGCAAAAAATAATGTGAGTTGAAAATCAATAAACAGGTTTCCTTTTTCTACGAAATAACTACGAAATCTGCTGAAGGGGAGCAGTAGAGTCAAGTAACCCTAGGTCCTTATTAACTATTCTAAAATGATGCTTATTTTCAAAGAAACTCTTCTCAGTACGTTTAACTAAAAATGATAGCAAACGTCGACTTATTAATTCGTTCATCCAATCATTAATTCATTTACCCGATCATACACTCATTTGTTCATTCATTTGTTTGTTCGTTAATTCACTAACTTATCAATCAATTGATTTGTTAGTTCATTCCACGACGCAATCCAATTAAGATATAGATGGCATCTAAAGTTCATGCCAACTATTTGTGTATGCGGAAAACACTTTTCCGTTGACCATGCGATGTCTTGTCAAAAAAGTGGATACATTCATCATCGACACAATGAAGTACGTGATCTACTCGGCAAGTTAGCAACAGAAATTTCTAACGATGTTAGAATTGAGACACCTCTACAACATCTCAGTGGTGAAAATCTCCCAAGAAATTCCAACATATCAGAAGAGGCAAGGCTTGACATCAGCATACGTGGCTTCTGGCAGAAGGAACAAAGTGCATTTTTTGATGTAAGGGTATTCAACCCATTCGCACCGTCATACCGAAACCAGAAACTAAACAAAACCTTTGCAGGGAATGAAAGAGAGAAGAAATGCGCGTACAGTCAAAGGGTTTTACAAGTTGAGCATGGTTCTTTTACGCCATTGATTTTCACTCACAGTGGTGGTTCAAGTAGAGAAATTGAAAAGTTTATATCGGTTTTATCAACGAAGATATCAGAGAAACGTGATCTGTCAATTTCACTGGTGACTAATTGGATTCGTACCAAGCTGTCATTTGCACTACTTCGAAGTGCCATACTGTGCATACGCGGTTCCAGAAATAGGCAAACAAAAGTTCAAGTGGACACAGCCAACATAGAAATTGTAGAAACAATATCCCGGATTGATTAGTTAAAATTGTTGGGAAAAAAATAAGATTCAAGTTTTTCAAGTTTTGTTCTAATCATGTGTGAACCGGCGGCCTTTCGGTATATAAACAGCGCCAAATGTTGAATCATTGATGAGAAAAAAGAAAAAAAATTTGTTAGTCCATTCATTCATCCACTCATTCAATTCTTTTTCGAAACTAAGCGCTATCACTCAAAAAAATTGCTCCAGCAACTAAAGATAATTTATTTTATTTATCATATATTCCGACATGATCAAACATGTCTCAACTTAACAACATCAATATAAAATGTATAGCCAGACACAGTTCTAGCAGATAGCAATTGTATACAAACCGTATTGCCCTTGGCATAGAGGTTGGCCAATAATTCTGCCTGTACAAAATCTTTAATCTAAAAGGATAAGCAACTGTCAGTCATCTAAACAATTGCGAAAGCAACAAGAAACAGAGTACCTTTGTAGTGACAGGCACTTGAATGGCAATATATGTTTACATTTTCATCAACACAACTTGATTTCATGAGCAGAAATACTTCGAAACATACTGTCTAAATTAGCCCTTTGGATTAATTTGCTTCCTTGATTCACTTAGAATGAATTCAATTGATATTTCTTGAGTAAATATCAATAGGTCACGGCACCACCATTAAATGTGCTTGTTGGATATCGATCATTCTAGCTGACTCAGCTATATTATTTCCCGCCAAATTGCAATACATTTAACTATGCATAAAGTTGAGAAATTCACACTAAATATGGGACATGCATGAACATCACATCAAATGAAAGACATCAAAACAAAACAAAACACAAGTCTTGTTACCTTGTTTACAACAATGTACATGACAATCTTTGGAACCATATCCTGGACACTTTTGCTGACAATCCGCATATATGAATCCACAAGATACCGGACTGTTTCCACTTGTCGTTCAAGAATCGGATCCATAGAGCCAAGCCCGTTTGACTGTTCAAAGAGATGTGCTTAATGTGTATGCAAAAAAATACTGCAAGTTCAGTGTTATGAAATAATCGAGTCGAAAAGGTAATTAACTGAGAATGATCAGGACTAAACAAGCTAACAATTATTTAATAAAAAAAAATTCTTTGACAGTTTCGGAGCCCTAGCTTGTGGTAAAGTTTAAGCGAAGACATAGTTTTCATTTTCTAAAAGATCTAAACCCCTTATCAAAACTATATTCAATCGATCTGTTATGTGCTTAAACTACTTACACAAAACTTCACTTCCCTGGGCAGAAAAGATTCCTATAGTCCGAATCCAGAAAAAGAAACCTTCTTAATTTTTAAAACCTCTTGTTTGAAATCTCGGGAATTCAAGAACTTAAGAGATTTTCTTACTTTTTTATCAACGAACTCCAAGTGGGAACTAAGAATGGGTTTGCCAAACTGAGGAATACAAAATTTCTGCGCTGAAAATGGTTTTCTACATGCATCGCTTACTTTTCCTTCTGCTTTAAAAGTGATGTAAAATGCATGAAGACGATGTTATTAATGAATTCAGAATCCAAAATTTTACAAAATTACTTATTTTACTCTTTACACATTTTGTTAGTATTTCTAGTACTACCATAAAAAATTGACTAATTGACTTGAACCATGAAGCCGGATCAACAATCACCTTAATACACAGAAAACTGCTCATAAATTTGAGCAAAAGAGGGCAATTTTATAAAAGCCAAAATCATGAATCAGAGACAGGCCCATATGGTCCTATAATACCCATTATTATAGCCCATTTGGCAATAGAGCTTTGGAAAAAGCTTTGCCCAACACTCCTGATATGTCCTCAAAGTCCAAGTTGTAGAGCTAATAGCATCTTGTAATTAGAGAATTTCCTTTGAAAACCTTACCCCTCCATCGTCATCATCTCTGTCTCTCTCAGGAAACACACCAGCACGTAGAAACGAAGCTTTCCAACTGTCTACGATATCTTGAGTCTCTGCAGATAATTCTAACTGCTTGTAGTCCTTCAAAACGTTCCTATAAAAACCATACAGAAAGACCGTTATGTTTAATTCACAACACTTAAACAACAGTATTCCACGTAGAAAGCAGAAAGATAACTTTGAAGCTGTTCAACATCTTTGTTGAAGCCTACATTAGCAAGTAATAGGTATACGTTAAAAACATCTCTTTTGAGTTTTAAAAATTGGGAGGAAATCAGATGGGTAGAACTACAACCAGAGATCTCTGAAATACAGCTAGAATCTTTACATTATGAAAGGTTTTTAATGCTATTTGCAGCCTCTTTATGCATAATTGGAATTAAAACTTAATCAGAGCCATTTCTGTAGGCAGGAAGTAGTTCAAACCAAAGTAGATGTTATTTAATTGACCATGACGTTATTCTACGTAAGTAAAAATTCTATGTTTAGACTTATATGAAGATCAAAATAATGTTATAAATCCTATTTGCATAGCCTGATTTGCATGGAAACATTTATTTTCAATCTTTTGCAACACGATGGTGTTTACCGTAATCTCTCTAATGAGCGTCCGGGGAGGGTCAATTGCAGATGGGGGCACGGAATCAAGGAGGCACTAGGTACGAAAATGCGGTCGGAATTAACTTCGATACATACTTTGAATCTGGGTTGAAGAGTGCAAAATAATGGCGCTTTGACAGCAAGCCACTCTCTACATCCCTGAGTCTGCAGTCCTGCAACCTTAGCTGGTACTTCGTTTCTTTCTCCTGATAAACATGAAAACAGTGTTGAAATGAATAGGTTAAACAAAACATCAATCGAGATTTTGTTTTTGCCCTAGAATAGTTTTAAAAAAAGTGAGGCTATTAGCATTATGACTTTATTTTCTTTAGTCAGCTGTCTTTAAAGGTGAACTGACACGCAAAAATAACTTGACCTCAAATGAAGGCATATCGAGCATAAATACCTGATACATTATTATTTTTTAAATATTCAACACAGTTTTCGAGTTATTGAGCGTCAAAGTTAGCCACCGAGCATTTTCCGAGCACGGACGAGTTCGCCCGAGCCTTCTGCATAATCGTGACGTCACAAACACCATGTTCACATCACTTGATCAACACGACAGTCTGAAAGGGCATGCTTTTATGACTTTTCGGATGAGCACCGATACATTAATTGAGTAGGTTTTGGCTCCATTTCGACAACCTAATTGGAAAACAGATTATGACTCCTTACAAACCTTTCATAATAAGATTTGCAAGAATATCGTATTATCCAACGCGTTTGAGGCCCTTCCTCCGTCTTGGAGGACCCAGTGTGTGGCGGGCCAGCATATCTTATAATGGTAGCGATAAATATATCGACAGGATTTTCATTTTCTGGAAACCTAAGTAAAATATCTAAGTAATATAAATAAAGTAATAGTAATATAAAACCTAAGTAATATAAAATTTATCAGCCATCAACCCCCCCCCCCCCCCAAAGTTAATTTCGGTCTTTGATCCAGGTTAACTTCAATATTCGCAGTAAAGATTTCGAATTTAAGTCACTCATTTTTGGCATATTTTTTATTCAATCACATGAAAGATTTTCAGGGGTTAAGAACCTGGTACGATCGAATCGCTATTTGCAGGAAAACAACTTAGTAAAATTTTCAACTCCCAGGCCGCTGCACTCCTGTAACTCGGGTGAACCGATGAGTTTGCAAACCCAAAATAAAATAACTTTCATGATTTATATGGATGTAGAAATAATCTATCGAAGTAATAATATATTGAATTTATTCGAAAAAGAAGCTAGATTCATGATAAAATGATAAGATTCTTATATTCGTCCGCATGATTGACTTCAGAATTGAGAATTTCTTCGAGCAGCTAAAAGTGCCTATTCCTTCCAAACTTAAATTCCCTCCTAACATAACGCAGTACCAGCCAGCACATATCCTTCGTATATTTCATTAGCCTCGATTTTTCATTATTTTGGATCAAAGGCTACGTAGATCTCCTCGAATAGTAACTGAACAAGATGAACTGAACTGTCCAGTCCGTGCGTGATTTCCATTCAAGGAATAAAAACATGGTGTTTGTGACGTCACACGCACTGGGTCACATGAAATGCCGACAATGGTCGAACACTCGACGATAATTTCATGACATTTAGAGCGGAATTGCGTCAAAACGGACAATAATAATTAACCGAAAACTTGAAATTAAGATTCCATGCATCGTTTTCTACATTATATCAAAAAATAGTTTTGCGTGTCAGTTCACCTTTAAGTAACAGAACTTCTGATTCTTTTTAAAGACATGTTTGCATGTGGAAATAAGGTGGTATTTTAAAAGAAAATGTGTTGATGTGCAGCAATTTCAAGTCGAGTGGTAAAAACAAACAACTTATATGATTGAACTTACGCTGTCGTCTTTGAACCAAGTGAGGGATTCAGCTGAACACAAGGAAAGAAAAATACAACAATGAAAATTTGCTATCATGGAAGTTCAAAATAATTATTTCACATTGCTGAGCTGGTCAAGATTAGATTTTTCAATTCGAGAACAAAAACAACAAGATCATCCAGGTTTAACAACAAGTAGCATTCTTTTAAAATTTAAGAAGCATAAGCGAAAAATTGAACGAAAAATCTTTAATAAACAACAGTGCAGGGTAGACTGTTTACAACCAAACCAATTAATCTTTAAAATATAACATTAACTAATAAAGACTGAAAACTTTTTTGAAACCTGACCCTGACCCTGACCTTGACCCTGACCTTGACCCTGACCTTGACCCGACCCTGAAGAGATGGTTTTTTATACTGTTTCTCATTGAAAGATTGGTACATTTGAACAGTTATGCATTTTGTTCCACCCTTTTATGAAATCTTGACTGTATGATTACGAGGTTCATTGAGGTTATCTGTTTATAAAATAATACAGATGCATGATGTTTTCTTACACCACGACGTATGGAAAACCCAAACAAAAGAAAACCCGGTTCCTATGAGATTGTGTAATTTTTTATCGAATGAAAAACTTCATTCGTTTCTAACGATGTGTAGCATTTGACTAGGCTCTTGTGCAGACTGGCAAGTTGCAGAGTAAAAAACTTATAAAAATGTAAACAAATTTTGTACCTGTCAAGACAAACCAATAATCCTTTGACACTTTCATGAAACCTCCTCCGCCAAGAGTCAGCCATCCTTTGCGTATCACCTGATTCCCAACGTTCAGCTTACGGCTTCTCGTCTCACCTGAGTTAGATGCTTTGGATTGTGCTCTAAAATTCATACATAAACATTTTGGACTGAGAGCTAGGAAATTACACAATGATACATTACACAATGCTGTACAGTTTCAAGTCCAGATCAGGCTCAAGTCCTCTTAGCTAAAACTGCTTGGGTGCAAGGAGTTGCAGTGAACAAAGGGAGACTGAGATGCAATATGGTTGCCATATGTGCCACTAGGAATTAGGAGTATACCAAATGTTTCGTGCAAGTTGGCAGCCCCCTGCTACTTCAAGTAGAATGGGATAGTTTATATTTTGTCTGCCATTATACAAGTGAAAATAAACCACACAGGCTACAAATTAACGTCAAGACTATCAAATAGTGTTTCAGATTGAATACAATCATCTTCGTTCTCTTGATATTCAATAGTAATATAGAGTGAGATTGTAAAGAAAAGCAATGATACGTTTGCCTCACTTTGAAATAAGAACACGGCAGTTTAATTAATATGGCACTTAGTTGTTCCACACTAGACTAAGAAAATACTTTTTGCACTTACTCTGCAAAGCCAATGAAATCCGGATGCTGTGTATTGATATAAGCAAGTTCAATCTCAACCAGCAACTTAACCTAAAATGATCCAGAACGGAATAACCATAAAATTTTGCACACGAGAGGAACTACGATAAAATTTTGCACACGAAAGCTTTGCCTTGAAAGGGCACATAAATTAGTAGGTAGAACTGTTTCTTGGAAATTGCGATCTAGAATAACATTAGCATCAGATAGAGAAACAAAAAACAGAAGTCACTAACCAGGAAGTGTTGGAATGTGAGAGAAACTCATTGAAGTCAACAATGTGCGAGTTAAACAAAAACTTTTCAATAAAAGTATGCTGTTTTTATATTGACCACGCCACTGGTAGCAAGATCAGGCGAACGAGCCCAATGATTCGAAAATTATTACTTAAAGTATTAAACGACAAACCTTACATTTAAATGGTTTTATTGTTGTAAATCATGGTCTATTTTCTTATTGCAGCATATGGTAACGTAATTTTCAAGGTGATTAATTAAACCTATAGTAGATTTTGAAGATAGTAGATTTTCAAGATTTTGTTATATGTCATTTTAATTGTAGAGCATCTACCTGTCATCTCGGCCTACATACATTTGGAAGAATATTAGGGCGCGAATACGTCAACAAAGGATAAAATTATTACTTTCGCAGGAAGTGTCAAAATGATTCTAAATTCGCGGGAATTATCAAAATTTCGCAGGAATCGTCAAAATGAAACTAAATTCTAATACATACTTGTTCTTTCGCTTTGATTTCAGATTCTCTTATTTCTGTTAGACAAATCATTTCAACTTCGTCTTTTAATCCTGGGTATTTTTCCATCTTTGAAAGAGAAAACAAAATTCAAGATGACGTAAAGAAGATTAGAATTTGTTCAATGCTTTAAATAAAATATAACAAGCAGAGTTCACGAATTTGTTGCTACGCGAGCTTATAAGATGCTACACCATTATACATTATCATTCAAGGACATAGCTTTCAAAAAAGGCAAAGATCATTTTGAGCAATAACTGCAAGCTGTGCACACAGTTCAAAGGGGACAATAAAAAGTAATACCAAGGAATTTGAATCGTAATTTAAGGATTTTTACTAAAAAATAACAACCAAAAAAGCACAATTTACTGACTAATAATCATATTATAACTGATACCACAAGGAGCATGTAAAAACATTGCCACCCTGCAGCCTTTAGATTCTCAACACAGATTCTAAAAAACAACCTTAGCTTTCAAGGACAAACAGATATCAAAATAGAACTGAAACTTTGAAGTTTCGATCAATAATAACTTGAAATCAATGTATGTCCCCAAAAAGAAGGGGAGGTACATCTTCTCATTGATTTCAGTTCAGGATTGTTCTGTTCTTAAGACCTTTTCCCTTTACAATCGTTGAAAAAAGAATATGCAAAGCATACCTTGTTCGTACATATTTTGACGATGGTAACGAGCTCAGCCATGACCATATCAACACATCTTATAGCTGGTGATCTCAGGCGATCGATCTGCTTTTTAACGATTGCTTCAAATGCCATGTCTGGAGTGAACAGCCCGGACCTATAACAATAACATTGATAGTTAAACAAGCCTTACGCATCATGCACGGTTCATCAGACATTCATTAGAGTATACAAGGTTGGATAATTATTTAAAGGTAATGGGACATCCAAATCTAGATGCGTATTGAGAGTAATGTGGGAGGAAGAACAGCTCGCTAGCTATCCCATCAGGAAGATGAGAAGTCAAGGCGAGAAAACCACTCTTCATTTCTTGACAAATGAGCAGTTTTTGCTTGCGATGTTTTTTGTCTTTGGTAAGACGTCTTTGAGAATTAAATATTAAAGAATTTCACGGAAGAAGTTGCAAATACTTCAGAAATTAGTTCTTAATTGAACGGTGCATGATTTTAACTATAAAAATTTTAAAAGGTATAGAAATCGAATAGAATTCATCCTGCGTGGCAACATTCGCAGAATCTAAGTACCAGATAATCCTTAGAAATGAAAAAAACTTAAAACTGCTTACCTGATACCGTGAATATTCTTAATTGCAAAACTTATTTCCCTTCTAAGCTGCTTTTCGTCATACTCGACCTGGGAAAATAAGGGAAAATAACGGGATTACAAATACATCGAAAACGGTTTTCTGCGAAACCAAACAAGAATGAAACCAAAATGAACTTTTTGTCATCAATCATTACAAACATGAAGAGCGATAACTGTAAAAATACTTGAACTAATAATAACCATTGCTGAGATATCAATTAAATTTACTTTACAGGGAGACAAAAAAAATCAAACTAAATAAAGATAGTATCATCACGGCAATCACGGTTCTTGTGAATCAAAACGTTTGGTTTAAAGCTTTGCTCATCAAAAGCACGTGAATACTCAAGTTAATGATAGATATTTACTAACCTTTACTAATTCAAACGGGAAACGCTCGTTGAAGATTCGGTTAATTTTAGCTCCACCTGACAACTGAGCTGTGTCAATTTCATCCCCACCACCTCCTTCAATGATTCTCTCAATGTCGGCACTGTAATTCTGCAGCATCCTGATAACAAAACAATATGAAAGTTGCAAGCAATCTCGGGTGCTACCTTAATCATAACGTTAACAGTTTTAAAATCAACCATGTATATTGGCTAAAAAGCTTATGCAAAGACGACCGTATAACTCAAAATCAATTGAATTACTAACCAAATACCCAAGCCACTAGAAAACATATTGAGCTTAGCAGACACAACACTAGCAGCAAAACCACGAGAAAAAAACACTTCTAGATAAAACTTTAATTTTTGAGATCGAACATTAAGACGTTACACGCTTTCAAACAAACAATAAAACAAACTGACTTTAACTCTGATATACTCGACATAAAACTTGCTTTTGATACAATTTGACTTCATACTTTCTATATAAATTAGCTGAGAGTTTAACAGCTTTAATTTGACATCAATTTGCAATCAAAGTTGCAAGTTGCATTTTAAAGTACCTTACAAGCAAATTTATCGTTTGGCGATAATCTATACCTTGGGGCTGTCAGTATAATTGGCAACGATAATTAGAAGGCATAAAATAAATTTGAAATGATAACAGGATCGTAACAACAAAAAACCAAAGAAATTCACATATTTGAATATAAAACTTAATTGTATAATAAAACGAGAAAGAAGAAGGTAACATACAACATGAGTGCTTTTGTTTTTGCAGTTGGATCATCTGGTCTAAAATTTTTGTACTCTGCAACTTCTTTTTCCATCGATAAAACTTGATCTTGTAACTTATTCTTTAATGTTGGTAAAGTTTCACGAATGTGATTTGTGAGTTGCTGTGAATCGAATATACCAAATATCAGAGTAAAACTTCACACGCAGAGATGAATTGACAATCGCAGTAGACCTAAAGATACTCTGTGTTTGTTTCCTCTACATATAAGCTAATAGATGTAAAATGAGGAACTTCGTGATTTTCAGGCAGCAAAAGTTTTAGTAGATAGAGCAGAATAAAAGTAACTTACGCAAAAGAATCAAGGCGAGATATTTCTTAGGAAGCTTTTTACAGAAGCTGTTGAGGGCTCCTACATCGGAACAAGCACATATACATCGGCTCATAAACAAAACTTCCAATAACCATAGATATCAAGGCAAGATATTTCTAAGGCAGCTTTTTACAAAAGCTGTTGAGGGCTCCTACATCGGAATGAGCACATATACATCGGCTCATAATCAAAACTTTCAATAACCATAGATATCAAGGCAAGATATTTCTAAGGCAGCTTTTTACAGAAGCTGCTGAGGGCTCCTACATCGGAATGAGCACATATACATCGGCTCATAATCAAAACTTCCAATAACCATAGATATCAAGGCAAGATATTTCTAAGGCAGCTTTTTACAGAAGCTGTTGAGGGCTCCTACATCGGAATAAGCACATATACATCGGCTCGTAAACAAAACTTCCAATAACCATACTGAATGTTTCAAAACAAAGGAACGCAGTTACATGCAATCTGAGGCTTTAAGCCTATTTTCACTTCCAACGCCTTTAAATACCTTCCCCAGGGTAAAACGAAGGTGGCGAAAGCCTTTTCTGTCCTTACTCAACATGCCAGGAAATTTGGCAGAAATGCTCCTTCGTTACCGTGGCATTTGCTTTACAAAAAGCTTTCTTGTACTTATCGGCAACTTTTTCGTGTTTGTTTTCTCGAACGCTTTTGATCGCTCGTTATTAAAACACTGAGGTACCATAAACAGTCGGCAATAAAAATTAAATAAATTAAAAAAAATAAAAACAAAAAATAGAAAATAATGTTAATGCGACGTCGTTCCGTCACATCCGCAATCCTTACATTGGTTGTGGTGTGGAACTTAGAAAAAGACAGCAATGTATTTTACCTGGTTAAGGGCTTTCTGCAGAAAAGGTGTTCCCATTTTATCAGCCAAATGCCTATAAAACAAAAATTATTCATTTTATTTAAACGTTTTGTCCAAACAAAACAACAAGGTCCCACAAAAAAGAAAACACTTCTAAAAAACTTTCAGGCTTAAATAGTTTTGTGAAAGGCTCTGGTTTATAACAAACTTAAAAGCTAAAGAGTGATATATTGGGTCCAAGTTGTGTTTTTCTTGACAAGGCATTGAAAAATACACTTATTTTTAGATGACAGAAAAAAGTTGATTTTTTTAGGAAATAATGCTATAAGTTTCAAGTAACCCATTTTCAAATTAAATACATATACGAACGGGTTGAAATGTAATCTTTATGGTAAATACAGTACAGTATTCTTAAGAAATAATGCTACTCAGCCTAACGAAATTTAGAAAAAAGAGTTCCTAATGTGCGGGGCCTTACTTTATGCTATGTAGCTTGATAAAATTCTTTCATTAGATTCGACAATTGAAAGTAGAAATAATATGATTTAATGAAATGGTGTGTTTGTTTATTTGCAAATACTTTCAACAAAATTTTCTGGTGATAATACATACGGGTTTTTAATAGGCTTTTACTCTGGTAGCTAAACAATCATGTTCTTATTATCAAATATCGAATTTTCAAACGATAGATTATATCAGGACCAAGGCATAAATAGAAAACCAACGTAAGTAATTTAATAATAAAATACCAGACAGACTGCTCTGGGATTTTTGCTGACAAAAAATCTTCAGACATTATATTATGGTCAACCAGAGAATAAATTACAGCAACAAGCCTCCACAACCAACTAAAGCTATCCTTCCATATTTCGCTTTAAATTTTTCTCCGTTTTTTCTTTATATTCTCCCCCTTTTTAGTACTTTCTATCTCAATGTTAATTTTATTCTCTTCTAACTATAAGTCTTTCGTGGTCTAAAGTGAAGTGATGCAAACAATTTTATTGTTCAAACTTTTAAGATCTTAAGCTGGATGTTTGTAATTTTTCTTTTACAATATTGGGGTTCGCTTAACGCTCACTTATTAGACTTATATACAATGTACCTGTATACACTCTCCGTGGAACTTCCTGCCTTGTGCTTGGAGAAAGGTTGTAAAATGTTGATATTGTAGCATTCTATTAATTCAGTATTTTGGTTATTTGAACCATTGCAGTATCTGTTTTTGAATCTAAATATTTTAGCAACGTTTTATTCCGCATTGGTTTATAAAAATATATTTTTTGTTTAAAGATTGAAAAAGCAAGGGCAACAATTCATTGGCGTTATAAAAATCCTTTAGAATCATTTCAAAATCATGTTATAAACCAAATTTGAAAATGCTTTGAGAGACTATAGCAATGGTGTGTCATTTGAGCTTGTTCATGGTTGGGGTGTGGTCTTTCTCGTAAGATTTGGTACCTTCACTACTTGTTCAATCTTTCAAATGATTTTCATTTGGCATCTATCAAAGGCTTGTGTATAAATATGAATACTCACTGCATGGTGTGTAGTATATCTTACATTCTTCAATTCACACAGGTATATTGGGTTTAATTATTTGAATGTCATATTCACCTGTAGGCTGGATGACTCAGAAAAAATTTCCTCTCGGCTGCCATAGCTGCCTTGATGTCCTTTCTGCCATCAATGTCTTTCTGACTTCGATTTACAATTCCAATAAACCCTAGAAATCGAAGATAGCTAAAACTGTGCGGACAATGAATGTACCATTGCAAAAACAACATAGAAAATGTTCCATTTCCTAAAATAAAACTCAATGACTGTGCCATTGAATGACTAAAAAAATGCCATTTGTTAAAATGATATCTGAAAGGAAGCTAATCTTCATTTAAATGGGAGCTCAATCGAATGATTATGTATATTTGCAAAACAGCTTTTAGCTGTGACGTTTGGCTTATGAAACAAATCTCATTACAACATGTCTGTCTTTATACCAAAGATCACTGTCTTAAATGGCAGATGCAATCGAGCAAAGCAATTGGACAATCGAAAAATCGAACAGTATATTGATATCTGCTTGTCAAAAAACAACTGTATAGACAAATTGGTTTAGAGTATTGTCAGTTATTGAATTGAAAGGCAGGATCAACTTCTAATTTATAAAAAGCTCTTATGGCCCATATGATGTCTAATCGAGGTGCCACCATCTAACACAACCAACAAATTTATTCTATAAAGTAAACCCTTTTGTTATCATATTTCATGTTTATTTAAATCACTTTATTTTGAACTGTGTTCCAAGGGATCTCTGATAAAAACAAAAATTAAAATATAGAGCTAAAGCACAAAAATGAAAAAGGACCATAACATTAAAAGATACTTGTAGTTATACATTATTTACAATAGAAATAAATGGTTCAAATGTCGAATTATGTTTTTAAACTTTTCAGGGAGAATACTGTCTTCAATTAAGCGGAAAAGCTGTTTCACAGTGTCGCTTTCTTGAATGGAAAGCGTTTTTTCATGAGCTGACTTTTGCCCATAAGGTGACTCTAAAAACTGATAACAAACATTACATTGGCGTCCAGGTTTAGAACTTCTAAGCTTCAAATGATACTTATAAAGGTTCCAAAAATTGAGACTTCAATTGTGACATGGCTACATAATTTGCGGCAAATACAGTCGAATCTTACTAACGTTATCTCTTAACGTTATCAAATGATCAAATGAGCCTGTATTGTTGCATGTCTTTGATAGCAGCGTTGGATTTGTAATAAGATGATATTTTGGTGAAAATAACTTTATGGAACAGCCTTCAAAGCCCGTCTATTTCACATGACATGTAAAAATGCATTACAAAGCACTAGGAGATTTAGTAACAAAAGTTTGTGATAAGACACTCAATTGAAAGTAGCTAATGTAAATGTTTTGGTTAAAGAACCTTCACCCACCTCTTCTGAGGGGATACACTTTGTTTTCCAATATATCTTTAGCATCCGTTCCCTCATCCATTAGATCTAACTTTGTAACAACTCCAATTGTTCTCTCTCCTAGAAAATAACCATTCGATGATTCAAGATAGACGAGAAGCTCTTATTAAACTGTAAACGAAAATGCAATGTGTGGAGGTTAAAATATAGCAAAGTAAGGTTCCACGGGGTAGTCAGAAACTCCAGCTTTCGGTATGAAATACGCAATAATGGAAATGAAGACAATGAGCCAATAACACTTTAGAGGGTTTGTACCATCAGCCAAACAATGGCACGTATTTGATCTCTATTAGAAGCTACAAAGGTGATTTTATAGTATCAAAGTGAATGTTACATCATAGATTGATTTAATTCACAGACTTTTGAGGATTGTGACTTATATGAATTGTTCATGATTTTTAATTTATATTTTATATGGATTGTTGAGTGCTCCGTGTTATTCTGGTATGCATCTTTTTGTATAAAAATTAGGGTTATAAAGTGTCACGTCTAAAGATGAAAAACGGAAAATAAAATATAACTAAAATTGGATGGATGAAAACCATCTCCAGATAAAAGTCACTAGAAGTTAAGTAATTCCATATCTAGCTGAATATTTATAGAGAGGATTAAAATTCTAGAATCATGTAGAGAAGTAAAGGGAGAGTAATGTATATATAGGTTAAATTTTCCTTTTTATAAACTGCAATATAATTTGTGACTGAAAGCAGACTTGAAAGTGCTTGCCAAAGTGTTGAAAATGCGGATTTGAAATTTGTTAGAGAGAAATCGTTCCAAAATGCAACAAAAAATGATCTTTCTTGCTGGTCAATCCCTGTGATACCATTGAGCCCCCAAGAAATACATTTTGTTTACATCTGAACAGTAAAAAATGTCAACATTAAACACTTTGAAACTTAGCTCTTATCTTTAGCCTAAATTGAGTATTTTTTGAAAAAGTTTCAGGAAATGAATATAGTGAACATATAAAGTACCTTGAGGGTCGGCTTCTTGAGCAACTCTCAGTGCATCAGAGTTTGCCAAGTCTGAATTCGCGGGAGATACAGCAAGGATTAAACAATTGGGCTTTGTTATGAACGTCATCACCATGTCTTTTATCTGACGTTCGATATCTGGTGGTTGTCCAGGAATTGCAACCCTTGTCATTCCTGGCAAATCTATCAGCGTCAGGTTTAGAACTGCAAAGAAAACAAGAGGTTGGGCATTGAGAAACAAGGTTGGGTTATTTTACACCATTAACCGCTCCAAGATATAATCATCTCAGCATGTCTTTGAGTATGCTTCTTTGTAGTTTTACTTTTTTGATGGAGAGTTTCAGATATGTGAAGATGGTTCAGTGGCTGGCATTGGAATCAGAGTTGGGAACACATGCAAGGAACTATGGTCAAATTCACTGACATGGCCATACTTTCAATTATTAAAGCATACATAAGTGAGCAGATTTGCCCGCAATCATTAAATCAAGAAAACAGGAATCACGAAGTGTGGTCACATCCTGAGAAAGGACCAGACACTGACCAATAAAATAAACACTAAGCACAAATAAGGAAAAGAGGTGCCAAGGTTGGAAGAGTTCCTGAGAATGCTAACAAGCAGCTATTTTGTTGGGAAATTTTCAGAAGGGCATGAATTGCCCAGGTAGGGCATGAATTGCCCAGGTGGATGACCTTATGCAGGTGATCACCTGGCAATTGTTTTCTTAAAGGAAGCCCTCCAAGGCCTGAGGGGGTTTTTAGGGTACTATCTGCCAACTATTGCTAATAATTTGGTTTTGTAAATGAAAGGATACGACCAATTTGTAAACATTTGATCTAATAAAATGTGAATAATAAAGCAATATAATGCTTTGTTTTCATTGGCAACTTGACATTTTGCTCAAAGAGATTTATTTGAACTAACTTGCCATAAACTATCTTCCTGTGGTGAACTTGCCACTCTCAGGTCAGATGAACTTGCAATTGACTTAGAATAAAAACGTCTTATGATTAATATTAATCTTTAGACATAGATAATACCAAGAATTTTAGCTGTGATTTTATTAGTTGGTAGCCATTATAATAGCAAACCATTATAATATTAATAGCAAATCAATTCCCCTATGATTTTACTGCTCTTACCCTGAATATCTCATGCATAAAAACCACTGCCCTACCAATCCTATTTGGGCTACTGCTGTGTAGCCCAAACTTTACAGAATGAATCTTTACACACTATTCAAAACATAAGTCAAATAACTGCAAGAAACTCACCATGTGGAGAGTAAACTCTGAGATTTATAGGAATTGGTGAAACATTTTTGGTTTTGCCAGTCACTCTGTCAGTTTCATCTTCAATCTCCTGTCTGACAGCATTGAAGTCTGTGAACTTTTTGTTCTTGCAATGGAGGAACTCAGCATACTCTATGGAAAAGAGATTTACACATATAGCTTGCTTCTTTCTTATAAAGAGAGTAAAAAAGCAACATGTGTTTATTAAGGGAATCTGTTTGAGATATGCAATCACCACTGCATGCCTACATATACTGATTTGATTGACCCATTCATTGCCTTTCTTAGGATCAAATTTATGTGCCTTTTGTTTCTTAAATCTCTGCTATTTCTTCACATTGATAAATCAGGATTAGTGATAACTTCCATATGTTAAATTTCATTGCATTGGTTGCAAAATTATCTAGTTTCTTAAAAAGCAAATCTTCCTGGATCCAATGTTCACGTGGGCCAACTGGAGTTTTTGATCAAATAACACTTGTCAATGGCAGTCAAACATGTGGCAGTTAGGCCATAAAGTTTTGAAAGAGAAATTCAACCACGGCAGGCAAAGGAAAAGTATAATATCTCCTTTTACTTTATTGGAAAATTTTGAAGGAAACTTAGCCTATAAGCTAAACATTGTTAGGAAACTTGTTAGTTTATGTAGCTTTGTAACATAAAAAACAACAAACAATAAAGTGATGTGATGTTGTGCCATAGTAAGTTAAATAGCCTGGCAGCTACTACATGTAAACTACTGAGGAGCAAATGTGTCTAGAGGCATGATCTTTAAAAAGGGAAAACTATCAATGGATTTAGCTGGTTTAAAAACAGCTTTAAATTCAATTGTTCATCATAAAAAAGCAACTTAAAACCATACTATTCTATGGTTGAATAAAATCATGTAAAGCCTATACAGTATCAAGCACTTCACAACAGAGCAGTAAACAGTATATTACTTTGCACTAAAAATCAATTGTGCCATAATTGTAATTTTGAAAAGAGTAATTTACAATCTGCCTGCTGAATGTCTTACAGATGTGCTATATTTGCTATATGTTGAGCATTTGAAAATTGGAAATTTTACATTAAGTTGAAGATTGCACAAAACATGATACATTCTTTATCCAAAGTTAACCAAATTATAGCAAAATTATTCTGATCTTTCATGAAATATGTAAACTTTTCAATGAAAGATGTGACCTACATAAGATGGACACCAGGGTTCATTCCATGTACTTAAGCCTGAAGATCTTCAGTGTACACCCAGGTTTTTTTTGGTGTTCGGCATGTAAACCAATAAAAATTTTTTTTTGGCTTACCTAAAATTTCCGTTAGTTGGCATGCTAAACATGAAGCCATCAGTCCTTTTCGTGAGCAAAATTACGCGTGTGTGGCAAATCGCACATGTAAACAAATTTGCGCGTGCGATCGCACTTGTAAGAAAATTTGAAGTACAAACCTGATAAAATTGGTAAAAGGAGCAAGAAGGAAAAAGCAACTCGAATACGTGCAAGAGCAAAACTCAATTAATCAATACATAACAGATTTTGTTGCCCTTAGCAGCCATCTTTTAGAAGTCGTCGTAACTCTCCAAAGTTACAAGAGCAAGTAAAAATTGTTTCCAACAGCTACTTGCTTTCAGGGCCTAGTTACGTTTTGACAGGAAATCAGTTATTACACTTAACATGCTAATGGCGACTTAGCTGAAAGACGAGACGCTAAGTTGAATGGAGCACTCAGTCAAAAGCCAAACATCACTTCCGAAAATTGGAAAAATCATTTTGTGTTCAAAAGTGCGAATCAAGTAACAAGGGAAAGGATAAACAATCATGAGACCATGGGAAATTGATGTTAAAGGGCCTCTCCAGCAAAAAAAAATTTTTTTAATGACTTAAAAGTTAGCATCTGGTGCGTGTATTATGACAAAGTCATTGTTTTTGAAAAATTCCAATTAGTTTAGAAGTTGTAAGGCTTTAAAGGGCCACTCCAGCCCAAAACTTTTTTTGCATAAATTGGTAGTTAGTCGAGAAAAAGAAGCTATCGTGAAATTTTTTTTCGAAAAGCTTAACTCGTTTTCCAGATATAGTCGCTCAAAGTTGAGAATCACCGTAAAAATACGACAAAATTTTTTTCGGAAAAAGCACTTTGTGACGTGTGAAAGGGCTATTGTTTCAACATTCGGCGCTATTGTTATACGTTCGCACTGAAATTCGCACGACTCGGTAGAGGCTCGGAAGAGGCGATTCATGTCGGAATCTCGGTTGTCGTTTTATTTATTTTCCTTCATTGCGATTGATGTTCAGCGGAGGCTTCCAGCCAACATGGACTAGTAATTCGACAAATCAAAGATGGAAGCTTCAACCTGAACTCATATCCTCATCTTGGCAACGCAGCAAGCTTTTCAATATGGAATGCTTCACGAATTTTCAGATGTGAATGGATTTCTGACCGAAGGCATTTCTTATCGTCGTGTCATCTCAGGGATTTCCAGGGAGCTGAATAATAGAATTGATGTCTCACCGCAGTAGAAGAAGAACCCCATTCACAAGATGGAAACTTTCCCGTAAGTCACAATTCATCCTTATTATCATTTTACTATGTTGAATGTTAGGCGAAACTGCAGGGTGTAGAGGTTTGGAGGGGCTCTAAATACAGGTTTTTTAACAGCCAGTCTTGTGAACTGTCCCCCAAATGGTCAGAAATGTGGTAATATGAAAAGTACAACAGGGGCTCTCAAGCAAAATGTCACATAAAATATTACCAAAAGTAGAAGTTTGCTACTTTTTTGTACCAACAAGGGGGCCTGAGCCTCCTAGAACTACATCCCTGCCAATGATCTGTGCACTAACACCTTTGCCTGAGGTATAGATGTGTAAAATTTCCCAGGGTTTGTCTCCTGAACCCTTCTTATTCATGTTCTACCTTGTTCTGCCTTCAATTTTGGAGTTCTGCCTATTTCATCATAAAATTGATGCACAATTTCAAAATTTTGCCAGATCAATATCCAGGGCAAAAGATCTACTACCCAAAAGAAAAAACATGGAATTTACACCCTTGGTTTTGGAAAAAAGATGTGTAATATCCTCATTCTAATGTTTTAAAGGCAGAATTGTTTATATTTGTTAAATTTACCTTTGCTATTCTAGCATTGATTCATATAAGCATGGCCTATATCATTTAAATGCATCTTTGTGTTACTTCAAGTTAATATCATTAGATGCTATTTGCTATAGTAACAGTGGTTGCCCTTTCACCCCTAAATTTCTCTTTGATCCTTCTAAATATCTATACTCTGAGTGTCCAAGTTTCTTTGATCATTTTATGTTTTAATATGACTCAAAAGTAAATTTCACTGGTATGTTAGTATTTATCCCTGTCAACCTTATTATTCTAGGCATAAAAAAGGTTACAAACTCTTTTATGGATCAGCAGAAAGGATCTTGCAAAAAAATGCTAGATGAAGGTTGGAGATTACATGCATCCTGTTATCTGGCTACTGGCTTTGTGGGAGTGATAACTTGCCCCTCTCTTCCATTCAAGAGTTACTACAAAGACCTCAACACATTATTCTGTTTTTGTATTAACATTTTTACAAAGGAGACTATTTTTCTAAAATTATTAAAATTTTATATATAATTTGGTCATATATAATGTTTGCAAATTATTTAAAGCTAGTAACAACATATAGGTATTTTCTAGAAGTTTTGCAATAGATTATTGTTTCATGATACTTTTATAAGAACATTTCTCATGTGCAATAGAAATTACAAATTGCTAGCTAGTTCACTGGCCTGATTGTATAATTCAATGTAGCCAAGTATTTAAATACATCAAACATGTATTTATTCTTCATAAATATAGCAGGTTGAGATTCTGACAGCTTCAAACATTCTGACATTCTGACAGATTAAAGGAGCCGACAAGGCCCCTGTAATAGCTTAAAGGTTAAATACAAAAATTATATTTACAAAAGTATATTGAAAAAGTTGAATTATTAATATAATCTCAAATCCCTTTTTTGTTTGTATAAAAACAAATTTATAATTTTTGAAAAAGTTGTTTGACTCATGACTAATGGTAGGTTTTTAGTCTTGTCTTGAAAGTTGTATACCTTCTTGTCCATGTCCTCATTTGTCCTGTTTTATTTCCAATAAGTCATGTTGATATGAAGCTCTTTATCCTAATGAATATGTTGTATCAATTCATACAGCTTTCATTCCCGGTATACTGGTTTTGTTTTCTTCTTTCCTCCCGAATTAATTGCGCGATGGTTTTTTAGCTGTTGCACTAAAGGAGGGGCTGATGAAAAAGCGCGAATCTTCTTTTTAAAATCAGGGAACTGGCCTGCCAATACAAATTGCTTCAAAAGCAGCATTCCATGAAAGTCTGTCAACATCCTCATGTCTCTGTCTCGCTGGCCTACTTTGCCAATTTGACTTCTCTGTCAGAAAGATTCGTGCGACAAAAAACTTCCATATTCGATCAGAGTATCAAGACTGATGAGCGATACTTCTCTCTTTATATCGATTCCAGATAAAAGTCTGGCCTTCTAACAAACATGCCGCTGCTAGGCCCTGTCTGCCATTTCGCTAGGTTCTCGTTGACCCTTTGGACAGCCGATGATACTTGCCGCGAACTTACCGAGGCCGAAAATGCCTGTGACGTCAATCCGAAGATCTCCGATAACACGGTTGAAAAACAATTCAACTCAATGACCATTTTACAAACGCTAATAACTACAAAACGGTTAGAGATATGAAAAAAATAATAACAGATTCGTTTTCAGGAGGTCTGATTACATCGTGTTCTGAAATAAAAATTTTGGGCTGGAGTGGCCCTTTAAAGTTGCACCTTTCCGAGAAAAAAACGACAAAAGCCGAATCAGTTTGGTGACATTCTGACGTCACAATGTGCGGCTCTCGTTCGCCATGAATTTCGTATATCTTCCACCGAAGCGTGAAGGACTCATGGTCATGCGTTGATAACTGCATCCAGTTCCAGTTCCTGTTCCAGCTCTTCCCTCGCGTATAATTAATCGAAATTGTCACTTCAGTTGTTCTCCAGAAACGATGAACAACTAAAGGCTTCAGAATTGGTGTCTGAAATGCTCAAACTAAAAGCTGGCGGAACAGAACTGAAAGTACCATCACTTGCAGTGTTCAATTTGCGAATCGCCGTCGTTTGATTCGGTTTGAGGCGAGACTATCCGAAATACACTGCGACGTCAAAATTGCGTCACAGTGTCACCAAACAAAAAAATTTTGTCGGTTAATTCAATTAAATTATCGAAATGCAAGAGCTTATATCTCACAAACTGTAAAAAAATATCGAAAACAAATAACGAATTCGTGATCAGCAGGCTCAACTTCTTTATAAAAATTGCCAATAAAATGCAAGTGCAAAATTTGGCTGGAGAGGCCCTTTAACAGAAAACTGCAAAAACACCTGTTTGCGCGTGTTGTCAAAAGCACGCGCAATTTAACTTGCGCGTGTGCAGGCGTGTGCGGGTGCGATCGCACGCGCTAAACGAAAAGGACTGAGTTAACGTAAAATAAAGACTCATACACCACAGTTTTCTCTAATAATCAGTTTTCTTTGTCTGGCGCAACAATGTTTACAGTTTTACTAACTGCTTTTATATTTTTGGCGACCTAAACAAATGCCCCCATGGACCTTGGGTGTACAGTTGACATGGAATGCACCCTGGGATGGACATGGGCTAACATGTGCAGTACTTCCAAATCTATTCAGGTATACCTGAACAAAGGCACAGTAAAACAACAGCCTGTATCATACACAAAACTTTATCAAAGACTTTTTCAAGTTTCATAATAACACTTTTTTAGAATTAGAATTATTAATTTCCCTTTGATCTGTTAAAGAACACATAAAAATTAATCTGCTATTTTTTTCAAATTATACACCATTAACCAGGGGCGGCGGACAGTGCTATAATTGCTATAACTGTAATAGCAATTTTTTCAAGGCCACTTTGTGTGTAATGTAAGGAAAATAAAACGAAACACAAAAATTTTCAACAGCGGTTCTAGTTGTAATTGCCTCATTCAATCAAACTAAAGTAGCCGCAGCAGACCAGCCACAGAGCGGCCATGCTATTACTTTGGCCTTTTTTATAGCAAATGAAGGAAAACAATAGTACATTATATCATAACTCCCTTTGTTTACAGCGCAACAGGCTATTGTTTGGAACGCAAATCCCGCTGCTTTGCTATTACAATCTCAGATTTAATAGCAAGAGATCAGATAGGTGCTCATCTCGAGGAGAACGAAGTAGCTTGACGCGGAAAAAAACAAATCATTTCGCGTCTGCTTGTATAGATGTATTATAAGTCAGGATGTTTCAATGGCTTTCTTCCTTTTATATTTGCAAATTTAGGCAAATTAACTCATGAGCAGGGCCTTCGCCTCAAAATGATGGACGTCCTAACCCGATGTTGAAGTTAGTAAAAAGCTGATTCAGAAAAGTTTTGACTTAAGGTGATTCAGATATAAAGTACACTTTATTTCTGGCATTTTTAGTTATAGTGAATGAGACCAATATGCTGCTTTTATAAACTTTCAGACAAACTTCTCACGGGCAACTAATACGCTCTCTGGAACCAAATTAGACCACAGTGGCAATCTTGCTATAATACAGTGTACCTTTAATAGCAAGGGGCTTTCCCAGATGGCAAAGAGCCGCTGGGGTCTATCGGCCCCAAAGTGTAGCCACCTTTCACAAAGACTATCAGTCTATGCGTTAGATTAGTGGCTCCACCCGTACATACGGACTTTGAGAAAAGAGATATAGGTCCTAAAACAATCGTTTAAAAACTCACTAATAAAGAACTCACAGGGTAGATATATTTGTGGTAATAGCAACTTTATATCACTCCGCGCCGCCCCTGCCATTAACATTAACAATCTCACCTGTGTTTGAAAATATGAGTTGCAAGATCAGTGGCCTTCTGGTAACTATTCCTGAGCCTCTTGGAAGAAAATCCCTGTTGAACATGAAAAAAAGGGGGTTTGAAGAAACATTTGATGTTGAATTCTGTTTTCAGATGCAAGGTATTCTACTGGGCTTGGTTTGAACTAGTATAGACTTGTCCTTGGAAAGCAGCATTTTTTTTAAGATATACATAAAATTTTCCTTGATCCTATCAAAACATTAATAACACATTTTACTTACATTTTGTTGTGCTTTTAGAGGAATTAATCATCTTCAAAAAACAAACAAAAGCAACAAACTTATCAGTCTTTGTCGTTTAACGCATGGCACCAATAATGCGAGCGGTTGATCACACGCATGAGTTGTATATTTGACCGTCGTCTTTGACCAGAATAAAATTGTTTTCTTCAACGAAATATTTGAAGTTTTGTTTTTCATAAGCTGAGCAACATCAGCTAGTTCTTTAAATAGTGCCTATTTTGCTCTCTATCGTGGCTTATCGCTTTGCTTTGTTCAAATTTTCCCGGAAACATGGCACTCCAAAACTTTCACCTTCCCGTTTTCGGGATAAATATCGATAAAATTGCTCAAAAGAAAATGGGCTTTTTTATCATGGATGCGAGAGCCAGACGACGAATAGACCTGCAAAAAGAAGATCTTCCGACAATCAAGGTTAATATCAATCTAGTGATGTAGATAGGAAAATTCATAAAAGGGGCAAGAACTTTAGAAAAACCAACAAAAATTTTATAAGAGCTTTTATTTTTTCAAAATTTTGTACATAACTTCACATAAGTCACGTGTCATAAATCATACTACTCGATTTTTCTTGTCTTTTCCTCTGAAAAAAGCATTTTTAAGTTCTATACCTTATTGAAAGAGATTGCCAATCTGATTTAGAACAACAGAAGAGATCACCATATTCAACTTTAAAATATTGTCTCTCGAAATGTAACATTTGGAGAAGTTTTTGGACAAAACATCAGTTTAGGTGTACAGTAGAGGGGGGTTGCCCCGCTTCTTGTTCCCCCTCTATCTACGACACTTTATCAACCAATATTCCCCTATAGTTGTCCTGTAATGTCGAATGTTCTTGGAAAGAAAACAGCAAAAACACTCAAACTCACTGCAAATTGCCCCAGGGCCTCGAGGTATAGGGGGCCTTATAAAGTAATTAATTCTGTTTTGAAATAAACATGATTGCATGGTGATTGCATGGTAATTAAGGTTTTTGCTCAAACACATGGTGACTTCTTTATGACGAAGACTGACTTATTGGAACAAGTGCCAAAGTAATGTCAACCAAAGAGCCCCAGTCACAAGACAAAAAATAGCCTCTTTCACACTTAGTTAGGATGTAGCATTCTGCACAGTCGTTTAAAAAATGTACAGTTTCTAATGTTTCTGGGTTTATCCCAAGATAAAAACAACTTGCATCATAGTTTATCTCAAGATACAAAACTTAGTATACCTTTTTGCAGGTTTTTTGCATGTTTTGGCTTTAGCCCCTTACAAATTTCATCTTAGTCTTGGGCCTTTGGCTTCACCAGTATTGGTTAGATAAGAAGATGCATCTGTGGCTTTACAAGTATTGGTCAGATAAAAAGAAGATATTATATGAAGAACAAAGAGTTGTTGTCAAGATTGCCTTTAATCAAAAGGCCAGATGTCGGGTTGTAAGACATGTATGGTTTTGGTCAAGTCTGGCTGCAGCAATTTGAATTTTATAATAGGCTAGGATATATTTTTGAATTTGCTCTAAGCAGCAAAATATTTTATGATAGGAGTGAAAATGATTTGAGAGGCAAATTTCTTGCCTGCACATTGTGGTGAAAATTTGCATTCTCCAGCTTGGCATTAACTCAATCTAATTTGATTTCAATCATTTCAATCTCTTTATTGTTCCCAACACTTGATAGGCCAGTGCTTAAGGGTTTTTTATGTTGCATGTTGATGACGGATTGACAACAAAATTGACACTAGATTTCATTAGTAGGTACCTTTCCAAGAGCTTTAATACTTTTGCACTAGTAATGTAGACCAGCAATTGGTGATATTGCTATCCTAGTCTCCATCATCTATCAGCCTCTCTAACAAAAACATGAACAAGTAGCTTGATGGCCACTGCTCATTATCATCCATTCCCGTTTCATATTCTGCTATAAAACTAGCGAGAAAAACTTGGCAGAAGGCAGGGGGCTAATAACATGCTGCAACTCTGAGATTGGAAAATATTTACAAGTATGCATGGTTAAAATTATGCCCATATCCATGCTCACCATGTTCATTAAGAAACCCAATTTTCGGCCTAGTTCAAAATTACTGATGTTACTTACACTCGTTTATCCAGCGAACACCGTCAAAATTTATTTCAACGAAAAAATGTTCCTGATATGTTACCTTCCAACAAAATTTTCCAAAACGCTACTTTTACCAGCACTCTGACCTCCGACAACTGCGATTTGCGGAAGGTCGATTGGAGCTTCGATGCCTAACTGAGCAAAAGCATCTTGTAGTTTGTTAACAATTGGAATGAGCTCTTCCATTCCCCTATTGCCCGACATTTTGATTCTTTATACGCAGATAACAGTGCAAAACGATGCTAGTTGAAACTGGTTTCGCTACACCTTGCCCAATTTCGCCATTTCCTTGAAGCTTTGTGTACAAATTCACCTCTCCTCCTCCAAAGACTGCGGTAGGCCCAAATCTCTTAAGCCTGGTAACTAGAGACGTCATTTCGGCATTTTGTGGTAAATTCAATAAACAGAAGAAATGTCAATAAACTATAAAGATAAAGAACGATACCGATCGAAAAAAGAAAATATTCTGCAGACGCTGTATCAAAAATATATGTAGTGGTTATGGGGGTAGACTACAGATTTAATTGTCTGGCGTTCGAGTTCCTGTCATGACAACATTTTCACGTGAATTGAAGTGGCCAGGGGCCAGGATCACGAGGTGTGGTCACATCAAGAGGAAGGTCCAGGGAACTCCTCAATAAACATTGCTTCTAAGTGTCCTGAAAATCTCTTCGGATACTAGGTAGTATCAAATTCAAAAATATTTATAGCGTTGTTTAGGAATAAAACGAATATTTCCATGCAGCAGCAACTAGTTATATAAGCAAACAGTTTTCGGAAGGAAGCCTTATGGCCCTCTTATGACACCGTATATTCAAAAATCAAGATGCTTTAAAGAAATAACGTACTTAATACAGCTATTTCTGCTAGTTATTGATTTGGAGGCAGATTATGCCTCCATCCTGAATATTTGTCATCGTAACACATTAGTCTTGCATTTATGTAAATATTCTATCATACAAAGAGCTAGCACCTGCATCAAAGATATTTTTCGACTACCTGTTAAAGCTACGTAGTTCATTAAAACCTTTTCATGAATTGAAACAATTTTCAATCAGCTGTGTTCCAGTATTAGTTTCTTTAAAGAAAAATTCCTCCTTTTTGGGACTTTTTCTTGCTCTATCTTTAACCATTCTTGGACTATAATCCGAAAAACGGACAATATGACAAAGTACACGTTCAATGTGGAGTGAATGAAGCCTCTCCATGAGGAAAAGTGTCCTTTATAAAGCTGGATTTCAAATGAGCAAAGTTCTACACGTATCAACACGGGTTGTACAGCCACGCATGCGTGTTTTTGGTGAATTTCTTAAATACGCGTATCGCAGAACCTGCATATGCACACAAACAAAGTTGAATTGGATCCTACTTTTTTATGTACTACGCCGTATCAAGCCATAAAACAACCAATTAACTTTTGTATTTCTGGGCATTGATAATGAAATCAAGATGGCGGCTAAAGTTCTGTCTAAGAAACGTGTTGCCAGATATCTCAGAGTAACACAAAGTTCTTCACGAGAACAATTCCCTTTGCAAGTAGAACTTAAAACTTATGTGGAGTCATCCTGAAGAATCTAAAGAAGTACTCTTGGTCGTACAAAAGCATATCTTGCACAAGAAAATAAAACTCTCTTTTAGATTTTCGATCTGATAGTTTTCTTACCCAGAACCTTCTCTTCTTGGTAAAACGATTCTTTTTAATAACAATAAAACGATAGTTTTTCCGCTAAACACAGCTGCCATCCATCATTCAATTCACGTGTCTAAAATTTTGTACTGGAAATTGCACCGAAATTCAAACATATCTATATACGCGTATTTTGATACGATACGCGAAATGGTTTTTCTATTGGAGATTCGGCTTAAGCTTTCAGGGTTGCTAGGGAAGCCTTTTCTGAAGATCTTTACGATTAAATGCGGACCAACAGAAACTTTGAGAAGATTGAAAACTGATAAGAAAAACCAGCAGACAATATTCTTCCTAAGAAAAAAGAATGCACAATGTTCCTACCATGAACATATTTCTCGTGGTATTTTAAAAAAATAGAAAGTCATTGTTTGAAGTCGAAATCGTTGAAATTGTTGCAAAATTGCGTTCTTCGATAGCTATTAAGTTTTGCAAAAAAAAACTTCGCAAACATTTCACCATGCATTTATTTTCATGGATATGTGTATTCTAATGAAACACACCAAACATTTTATCGAGCATTTTCACATAAACAATAAGTCACCACCAAATAAAATGCGAGAGAGCTGAAACATGTGGAAAAGCCAGCTTATTTGAGGAAAGAAATGATAGCATCCGACCACTGGCACACATAACTAGATAGTCAGAAAAATCAGAAAATTTCGGATTTCAGCAAGAAGACTTTGCAAGAGGTATAAAATTTATTCTGAAGGGAGGTCAAACGCATTGAACAATTTAACAAGCTTTGACCACCACCAAGCTTTGCTACAATCATGACAAAAACAAGAACAGTTGCATGTTTTGCAAACAAGTTGCTTGTTACTAGGTAGCCAGAGCTTTATCATCAGCATATCATACTTAGTAGTTCATCAAATATCGTACTTGCTTATCAAATTAATATGCAGACAGAAACAGCAAAATTAAAACACTGTAGATACTTTTTCCATCAGCACAATATCAACAGAAACATATTTAATGGGATGGGTGATATACAGGTTATGCTTATCATGTCTACAAATATTTATAAATAAATGTTTATTTCAGTTATCAGTGCCACTATAGTTATAATTTTCATCGATTTGTGTAGCATTCAAAATAGAAATAAAATCACAAATTTAATGTTTCGATTATTACACCAGTTTCTAAAATTTTACTATCATGTCAACATTCAATGCCACTTATGACCCATCGGTGGTCATACTTCCTTCTACGTAGCCTGACAACACTTGAATCAACTTGGGCTCCATTGTTCTTATCAGAAATATCTTCCTTCAGTCGATTCTGTGTCAGTTTCAGTAGTGCAATGTTTCTACCAATGGCGTCAAGTGACTCTTTTAAACCATTGTTTCCCTCAATTATCTCCTGCGCTTCAGGTAACTGGGTGCCTGGATGTCTTTGGAAAGTTGATACTGTAGGACGATCTAATCGCTCTCTTGTCTCCAAATCTTTTGAAGTGACTGGGCCCTGTAGTGTTGATAAAACCATCAAACCTCTAAGCATAACACTTAAAACTAAAAATTTCATGCTAAAAAACTGATGATGCCACTATAGGTAAACTCTTCATACCCTCTTTCCTTCTAACACTTATTACTGATGTGAAGGTATTTAACCAAGGCCAATTAGTTTTTAAAAAGGAACTTAATTGTAATTTTGTGGCAATTCTATCAGGGTGGAAAGCAATTTGTATAGCTGTTGAGCTTTGCTTTATGAAACTGATCCAACAATATTGACAAGGATTGTAGCAATAAATATAGCAAACAACAGTTATTGACAAAACCAACAGCAATCCAAGGATTAGACAAATCAGTTTCTCAAACTTACTGGGATTTTTCATCCCTAATAGAAAGGATGCTTCAAAATGCTAAATAAAATAACAGAAGGATCTTTGGGTTTCCTAGTGTGCAAAGTTAAAAGCTGTAATGTTTTATGAAGGTATGGTATGGTCTTGAGTTCAATCATATAGACTTAAACAATCATGAGGTTTTGGTACATACCAAAGTGTAACCTCGAGCAACATCTGTTGCATAATGCCACCTTTCCCCTCTATGTCTTGCCATCCTTATCTCTCCAGAGGTCATTTGCAAGTGTTGCTGAATGAAGAATTTATTGTTTATGTTTAGCAACAATTTCAAAAGAACAGAAATCAGTGCCACTTATACTATATGCAGTGCATTTTCAAAATATCTGGGCATCCATTTTGGCACCCAGTTCAATTCTAGCACTGGTCTTCTCCATATTCACATTATGTGAACTAGAAATAAAACCAGCAAGGTGTTCATCAACAGTTTACAATTTGTTTATTAACAGTTAGCAATAAATACATAATAGAAAGAGTTTGCCAACGAAAGAACCAGAAAAGCACTCTATAGCTCGTGTTCTTGGGAAGAGAATTATAGCTGGCTACCTTACTGGGCATGTGTCAAACAGAAAGACAGGGCTCTGCCCATTTATATGGCCACATCATTTTTTGTGCTGTGGACAAAACTGTTTTTGTAGTTTGATCAAGGCTAATGGTTGCTATGTGCAATTCAGTTTGTGCTTTCACTTTCCTTATTGACCTAAGTTGCACACTTGAGAGCAATTTATATTGTTGTTTATAGAGAGACTTGGGTAATTAGATAGTTCCCAAAGGTATTATAACTTTCTGTCATAAAAATTTATTAAACAATTGAACCAGGAGAGTTCTTGAGCAAAAACAAATTACAATATAACTAAAATGCTATTGAAATCATGGAATAAATAAACGAAAACAAACCTTCATAGTGGTTGTTTCTGAAACTTTCTTTGTTAACCCATCATTGACACTTCTATGTGCTGCTTTTTGCAATTTTTGTATTTGGTCTATAGTCTCTGTTACTTCCTTTCTCAAAGTAACAGATCTTTTTCGAGCATCTGCAGCAAGTGACATAACTTCAGTTACCTCTGGAGTGCAAGGTCCTAATGGGTCTGTTTCCATGGGAGCATATCTAACAGTAGATCTTTTACCAACCGAAATGCTATCACTTGAGGTTGTTGCAGGAATGGCTGATGAAACTGAGTGACAAATCAAATCCAAAACTCTGCTTCTTTCTGATATAATAGCTTTGATTCTTTTCCTTGCATTATCAAGTGCTTGGAGCTGTTTTTGGACTGATCTTAGCTTAGATTCAAGAATTCTTTTCAATTTCAGCAACTGCTCTTTTTCCACTGCTAGCAAGTCATCTGCTCCATCAAGTTTCTATAAAAAAGGCAACCATTGTAATCATTTATTCAAGAAAGAGCATTTATCCAAAATAATGTTTTATTCAAGAAAGTGCCTTAAAACAACCTGGAAATTTAATCATTCCTCTAAGAGCTTGTGTTGAACTTAAAAGATATTCGAAGGACAAAAATAAAATAAAACTAAGGGACACGCATGTCAGTTTGAACTTTATTTTGTCATATGACTCATGCTTCAAGAATGCTGGGAAGCAGAAATTTAACCTCCCAGCTCAAGAGAGTATAGCAATTACTTGCCCTTGAAGAAAATTTGACCATATTGATTTGACCTTCATTGAAATTGGAATCCATTAAGATTGCTGGATTAAGATTGTCAAATGTTAGGTGTTATTAAATTGCAAGAACTTTCAATGATCAAATTGCAAGCAGTGATAGTGATCAAATAAAGTGGAGTTTAAAACGAAAAAGTTGACCAAATGATTGATTAACTTAAAATTGATTTTTACATTGTAAAACGTTTGCTTAGGCTAAGAAGAATTTGATTAATTCTGCAACACAGGAAAATGAAGATAAAGTACAAATATGGTGCAAAGTCATCCCTTGCAACACCCCTACAATACAGTCTTCCTGCATATTTCTAATTTTGATACAACATGAAGGGAGTAGGGGGTTTAAATCAACAGATCAATGCTTGTATAATTTATGGAAAATGTGCAATTTAGATGAAAAGCTATGAATATTGATTGGTGTGGTCTGCAAACTCAGTGGGCTGAAAATCGATTTCAACCAAATGGGAATCTAAGTTTGTTTATACAAATGCATAAATAATTCATGATTGTTTAAAAAATTGATTTTTGACACACTTGATTTTGATTACGTGGAAATAAACCTGGTGCACACCAGTGTATCAAATATTTTGACAATGAGCAAACATGATGCTGGCAAATTTCCATCATTCTTACATATGATTTGTAAATTTCTATACGTTGATCACAATGGTATTCAAAGTCTTAGCTTGTAATCCTACCTGTTACCATGACATCAGACAGTTTCACCTGGTGAAACAAAATTGCCAAATTTCTAGAACGGCGATTTCCGGATCAAAATGACAAAGGTTCGAGATGCTCAATGACAAAGGCAGCCGAGATCGAGCTGACAGAGACATTTTTCTTACTTTGTGGGGAGGGGGTCACTTCGCCCAGTCTACAGGTAAAAATTCCGTTTTTAGAAAATTGTTAAGTTCTTACCCTCTCTCTAACTGGCCTGGCTTGCCTCCTCATGTGGGAATTATTGTTCAGCAAAATGTCTTTTCGTATATGTTCATGGGTTTTCTCAAGGTTTTCTTTTCCACGCAAAAGTGACTTTATTTCCTCTTCTGTCTCAAGCAAGCAATATTTCAGCTTGACAACAACGGAACGGGTTTCTCTGACATAGCTATGAATTTGTGCATTGCTTTGCTGGATACAGCTGTCTCTCAGTGAAGGCAGTGGGTCTAGTTGTCGTCCTAAATCGTTAAATTTATCGCTGCGTTGAACAACTGTCTGAGCTAGGCGAATATTCCTAACGCTCGCCACTTTCCATGAATCTGGCCCAATAGTTGCCTGTTTTGTCACTTCCATCATAAGTGAGAAGTTTACATGTACTACCGGATGAGTAATATAAAACTGACAATTGTTTGGATCGCAAGGTGTGAACTTGTTCAGCTGATGATGGCGTTTGAACACTTCAACATTCGTACAACAAAAATCAATCCATGATCACCAAGGCATCTTAGCTTGTTTAAGTTTCCTAGCAACTTCAGCCTCGTACTGACAAGGAACCATGGAAAAAGGAAGTAAATGGTTATAAACAAAAGTACATATAACGATCAATCCATTTTGCCTTTCAAATCTAAAACTTTCAAAATTACAAGTAGATAACGGAGAATGTCACAATTAACAGACTCAAGTAACTGGGCTAGGGTTTGACAACCCAGAGAGGCTTAATTGCTAATCATTTAAAAGTTCCAAACGTTTGCAACATTCGTCCAAAAGTTTAAAAAATCAACCTCAAAATATTTAAATGCAAATAATTTACTGGAACAATTGCAAAGGCTTAAAATTCTGAAAAAAAATGCTTTATAGCTGTAAATTATCGCATTTGATTTGTTGGCATTGAGGCACCTGCTACCGTAATACTTCTGGAAACACCCACTTCTCTTCAACGCCCCCTTGTTGCTTAGGGTGTAACATTCTCGGTCTTGAAACAGTGGAGAGTGGGTGGCTGACTTTAGACTGCGTGAAGCTAAGCTGACTTAGGCATTTCAAATTCACGTTAGTGTTACATAATCTTGGCTTTGAGCTTACGTCGAGAAATAATGAGGTTGTAAATATAACTGCAATGGTATTTCTGACATGAGAAGCACCTTGGAAAAAAGTTCAAAATTCAATGCTACACACATAGGCAATATTTTTGATGAGGCAGGTCTGCTTATGTCAACCAAATGGTTGTTGTGGATCTTATGAATAACAATACCAACAAGTAACAAAACTAAAAGGAAATAAAACACTATTACAGAATATTAATAAACATCAATACAAATATACGCTAAAAATTAATACAATATACGCTAACAAAGAGAAAAACATTATAGATTCTTTGGAGGGAATTACTTAAAGTAGGAGCTCTCTCAATAGGTAAACTAATCGAGGAGAGAGCCCTCCCTATCCTGGTATAATTTCAATGAATTTGGTTGAATTTGAATGATTACAAGAAATATACTTTGTCGCTTTTCAATTACAAATTGGATCTAGCTGTTATGTTGGATTGTCTCGTTGAAACTGTATGTTTCTAATTAAAGTTGAGCTGTCTCAAATCTTGCCTTGAAAGTGTTATAACTTTGGGCTTCTTTGATATCAGATGGAAGGGTATTCCAAACAGTAAGGCTTCTGAACTTCACATTGAGCCAACCGAACTCTGTTTTGGATCTTGGAATTTTCATAGCATATTTTAATCTAAAGTTATAATTTTCCTTATTTTTCTGATCTTGAAAGATTTCATGAAGCATCTTGATCATCATTAGGATTTCATTTAGATTTCACATTTCTGATTTTGAAAGCTTTTCGTTGTTTGCTACATATGTAATAGCCACCAGTCGACGCTTATAAACGTAAGTAGTGATTTCCAATTTGCCGTGCCGAGAACTTGATGCGCTGAATATGCTTTAAGAATCAAATTGGCACCAGGTTTACCCTAGTTTCCTACAACCATTATTCAAAAAAATTTATTCCATTCTATTGCTACAAGTCTCCACAAAAATTGAAAACACCATATTGCTTTCACTTTTTTCAAATAACTTTCTTTTTTATGTCAAACGATACTTAGAAACTAACAGGTATTAAAGAGTATCAATTAAAATACGGTTTCACCTCCCCCCTTCCCCCCTTCCCCCCAACTTGTTTTACATCTTCAAAATTGATTTCAAGCAAACTTTGAAACTGAAACTCAGGTTTAAAGATCTGAAAAGGATAAAAGCGCCAATAACTTCTAGAATCAAATTAGGAATTTCTTGTCAGATATAATTCCCTATAATTCCTTATCTAAAAACATTCACTGTATCTTAAATAATCTCGCGTTGAGGTAAGAAAGCTCAGGTCTTCGATGAATTATTTTAATATGTTCCATTAGCCGCAATTAAATCTTTATGAAAGTAAAGCATACGTAGTACCTGCTCATACCAGCTGATGTCTATTGAAGTCTATTGGCATGCTTCAGTAAATTTGCTGTGCCAAAAATCTTCTACAGTCAATTGACTTATTTTTTAAACATGCTTTTAACTAAAGTAGTTTTCATGAGTAGACGAGCCTTGAAGGCTGGGCGGTTTAGGCTTCTGGGAAAGAAAAGGTAGACACACGGAAACTGATTAATTGTCCAGTATCATCACTAATCTAATGAAATCCTAGAAAGATTACATAGGAGAAATACCTTCAAAAAGGTTTGTATTATACCATCAATGCATTCAGTCGATGATAATTCTATCAGGACCAAAGTATCAAATGTCAATTAAAAATTGTGACGTCATTTTCTAAGAATATAAGCCAGCATTCTCACATCACCAAAACAAAGCACATTGCACGAACAGATTTTTAAATGCAATAACAGCTACCAGTTTATACGAAAACTGAAAACAAATGCTCTGTTTGAGCGTCCTTTCATTTAGCGTAGCAGGTCAATAAAAAATTAAATTAAAACAGTAGGCCTATAAAATACCATGTATAGGCAGAGATGAGTGCTCACAAACTACACACTAGTGATCTATATTCTAACACCCATGGATAAAAGATAAGATATGACGAAGCCCGTTGGATTTTTGCAAATAGACATATTCGTCATGTGTTGCTAAATGAGAGAAGTAGAAGCATAGCAAAATTAGTAGCTGAAAACCAGCTTGAAGACCAAAAGTTAATTGTATTTGAACAGGGAAACAACCAGAAGATGGATAAGCAAAAGAAAAATGCGAAGAGAGACTACACTCAAGACATTGAGAAACTGAGAATGACGAAAGATAAAGAGGAGGAGGCGGTTGAAGAAGCTAAAAAGTTGCGCAACGAAATTGAAAAGGAAATGGGAAAGTCATTTGAAATGATTGAAGAAAGGCAAAATGAAGTTAAAGATTTTCTACACCAAAGAGAAAAAGAAGAAGAAGAACACAAAAGAAGAGCAGCAGATATTGTGAAGAGGCTTCAAAATGGTATGATGGATATAGAAGATAATATAAAAAATAAACCTATTAACAGGAAGAGTAAGTCAGAAGAGCAACAAGAATTAATCAAAACAGATGAATACAATAGTAGAAGATTTGGTGATTTTCATACGAATTCAACACAAACAGAAATCATCGAGCAAGTGTCACAGCATATTCAAACCACACCGGATGAGCTTGATGCGCTCCTCCAAAACCAAGGTGCCAATTTGAACAAGAATAGGATCAAAGAAGAAGATATACCAGATGTAATCGAAGCTATAAAAGAAAATCTTATAGAGAAAATGAAATTAAAGCTGGCAGACGAGCAAGAAAAGAATGAAGGCAAAACAAAGAAAAATGATGAGATTAATAATGAGAAAAAGAAGGACTTGCCTTTAAAAATTTCGAAAATAAATGAAACTGAAGCTGTTAGCAAAGACGGTGAAACTTTATGCGACGATGATTTACAATATCATGACAATTTCAAAAGTGATCAGCTTCCAAGAAAATTGACAGAGCTGGCGAAATCACTAGTCGACAGTAAAATAAACGATGATGAGTTGCCTGAAGTTATAAGAGATACGATTGAGGAGAATAAGAATCAGTTAGTGATTGGACTCCTGGAGAATGTCAGGAACGCTGATGAAATACCAGGTGTCTCGGAAAACGCAAGCGATGACCTGCAGGAAACGTATGCAGCTATGCAAACAGATTTTAACAACTTGGCAGATTTTGTTTCAGCAAATGGAAAATATGAAGACGATGTAGGAGAAGCGCGGTTAACAAGATGTAGAGAGCTCTGCAAAGAAATTGATAAGATTGAAAGGGATCTTGAAGACCTGAATGGTGAAATTATTAATCTTCAGGACTCGGAGAATAAAGGTGATGAATTTGTTGATCATTCAGAAAATGGTCGGAAACAAGAAACGAGTGAAGGTACTGGGACGGTTGAACGTCAGGTGGCCGAATTTGATCCGACTTACGCCGACGACAATGGAATCTATAATGGCAAGGAGGCACCCGCAAAAGAGGTTGGCAACAGAGAGTTAGCTGAATTGATAAGGAATAAAGTGAATGCAGACGCAAAGCTGAACTCGAAGCTAGATGATCTGCGGCTCATGCTAGGCCAAAGACAACAAAATACGATGTTGCAAACGAATCCGTCTCTGGCGGGCAGTCATACTGAAGGGAAAGAGAAGAAAGATATGGCTGCATCGGAAAATACCCACCTCCGCTTGCAGAAAGAATTAGATCATGCGTATCGAGCTAATAAAATGCTTGCAAAAGAAAACGAGAGGCTATTGCAGAAAGCAGGTGACGCGAGAGACGCAAAGGACTTCGATGAGGTAATTTTTGGCAGGACGTTTGACATTCCACGATGGCAAAACGAAAGGCAGTTGCGAGACAAATTAACGAAAGCAGAGGAAGGGATTGGGGAAGAGCTTTTTGATGCCATAGTGAACAGTAAGACACAGCAAAAGAAACCAATCGAAAAAGTGAAGGATTTCGAGCTTTTGCAGATTGAGAATAAAACGGTAGCTGATTTGTTAAAACTATACAAAGAGAAGGAAGGGACGCTGTCGGAACAGCTCGCAGCCGCAGATGTCACAAATGCAATAAACGACATAGTGAATGTAAAAAGAACAGACACAAATAGGTTGATGGAAGATCTGCAAAATGAAGCGAAGAAAACAGATGATTTAATTGTTGATCATGAAGTATTGGCTCAAAGAACAGAAAATGAGTTAAATGAACTTATCAAACAGCGTATTGATGAGATAAGTGATGCCAATGAACGGCAAGAAGAAATAGCAGATCTTGAAAAGAAGTTGGTGATGGTGAATGACGCAATTAACAACTGCTTCTTAGCCAACGATAGAGACACGGTTTTAGGCAACCTTGACGACAAAATTGCTGAGATTGACAAGCAGATAGAACTAATAGGCATGGAACTAAAGAAGGATTTAGAAAGGGAAAATGGTGTAAGCGATGAAGATCTGCGTGAAACAGAAAGGCTGAAAAAAATGCTTGAAAAACTTAAGCTTTATGCAGCAGAAGAAATAAGAAAGGATGAAGACGGTATGAAGAGTTATCAAGTGCCTACTGAGGTGGAGGTAGATGAAATAATCGAAGAAAAACTAAAACTTTTGCGACAATGTGACCAACAGCAAAAAGAGAAAATACCAGGCAGTGATCGGGCGGTAAACGGACGTCAAGTTCGGTTAACTTTAGGCTTAAGTAATGGTTTAGAGACTTCAATAGATGGTGAAAACGTGGAAGCATCTGATGATGAAACTATTTTAAAGAATGCAAAACAACTGGAAAATATCAAAAATGAGCTGGAACTGACTGACGAAGAAATAGAAGCCATGGACATTGGAAAAGAAGAAATACCGTTTTTAAAGGATGCTATTTCCTCAATGAAGAACTCTATTGCAGAAATGAATGGAAATGTGGACAAGGCTAAAAGCAGATCATTGGAGAGGAACGAAACAAATGAATTACTTGAAAAAATCGAGGAGCAAATTGAAAATCTTAAAGAAGAATTGCTTTACACTGCACTTAAAGGCACAGAAAATAATCAAGCACACAAGGTAACGAATAATAAACCAGAGGAAATAACAAGGGAAAATGCCAACGAGAAGGTTAAAAATTTGTGTGAAATGCTTGAGCGTGAAAAGGCAAGGGTAGCAGAAGTAATAGCGAATACTCAAGATTTGGCAAAGGGTATAACCAGCTCAAACGGTCTTAAATTTGTAGAGTTTAAGAACAGATACGAAACCAAAACAAACGAAATAAAAGCAGAGATGGAGGAACGTCTAGATGCTGTAAATAGAGTGTTAAGGGATGCCTCTGACGTATTGGTGTCAAGCAAAAATGAAGGTGACAATGAAGAGAAAAGTAAAATATTAGAAGAAAAGAAAGAGAAGCTTGCTAAACTAAAGGAAGGAATAGCGCAGGTGATGAACGATTTAGAAGGAATTAAAACCTTTGAGAAAGAGGGGCAAATTGGCGATTTGCAAGATTCAGATGCCGAAGAGCTGCTTTACAAAATAGAGGCGATAGAGATTTCTATTGATCGTATGGGAAGGACGATCGAGGATGCGAAAGGGGACTCCAAGACACTAGACACTCTGTTGAAACGACAGGATAGAATGAAGGAAAGTCTTGAAGGTGTGAAGCACGAGCTAACCAGGCTGAAGGACAATATGACAAAAGACTTGAGTGACTTACAGTTTGAAAGGAAAAGAACTGAAGTAGAAATCAAAGAGATATTAGGCGAAGGTGAAATTGAAAATGAGGGCGAAAAAGAAGCTATTTTAGAACTTATTGGGAGTTTTGCTGGGAGCAGCGATGCCAGTAAAGAGGAACAGGAGCTAGAAAGGTATCTACTGCAACGTAAAAGACTTGCTAAAGATTATGAAGATTTTGATAAATTGGGAGGACTTACAGAACGAGACGGAAGATTTCTTGAGGATATGATCCAATCAACTGAATTGGATATCAATGACGCACTAGAAGAAATAGATGAAGTCTGTAAAGGATACCAGTTTGACAATGATCTGGCATTTAACAAAGTGTATTTGAACAACATGGTTGAACAGAGGTCAGGGTTGCACTGTGCTTTGCAGCAGCTTGGAAAAATCATTGATGGATTTATGATACCTGCGGTGGACGACGCACAAGAGCAAGGAAGGAAGGAGTCCGAACAGCAAATGAATTTCGAGGAGCTGCAGAAGCTAGCAGAAACGAAAATAAACTTGATTGATGATAAGCTTCATACGCTGAATAGCATTTTGGAAAACCCTGTACTCAAGAACGTTGCCAAAAACAGAGGAGACGTTGTGAGTGAATCTAGAGAAGATGCAATGTACGGTGATATTGATAGCGAAGAAATATTGGCTATCATAAGAGAAGTTAAGGAAGAGTTTGATTCAATTATTATGACAAAAGAGCCAGATGCTGACTGGAAAGGTTTAACTGATTCTCTAGCAAATGAAATAAAACTGCGGGATGATATTGACGCTGAAATTAGCAGCCTGTTCGATAAACGAGAAGAATTGATCGTAAATTATGTTCATAACGTCAATAATGAGGATTTACAAAATGAAGGAGAAAATAATTTGGGTAAAATATCTGAGATCGACAGGAAGATTAAAGATCTGGATAACAAGTTTGTTGACACATTGCTAAGCTCCAAAGGTGCCCAAGATGCTACTGGTGACAAAACGGATGACGATTTGAAGAAACTGTTCGCAGAAAGAGATTTGACAATGAGGCTGCTCTTTGCATTAAAGACAAAAGAGGGTCAGCGAAGATATACAGCTGAGAGAGAGTTAACAGCTAATAATGCTAGTTCATTAAGAAAAGATTTGGAAGAGAGGTTACAGTCCCTGGATTCAAGAATACTTGAGCGTAAAAGCGGTGGTCAATTGGAAAAGATCGAACGTGTACAAAGCCCCAATTTGTTGGCTGTAATGAAAAAAATACACGATGAAACAGAGACCTTGAAGAATGAGGTTGAAAATGATAAAATATTTCTGCGTGAATACAAGCCACACAATTTAATCACAGAAAAGGGTGAGACAGTTGATGCTTTAGGGCTCACGTCAGACGAGGAAAGTGAGGAAGTCATTGAAGCAAAGATGGCTGATATTAAAGCCAGGATTGAGGATTTGGAGGACAAGCGGACCGAAGTACTTTTGACCGAGAAAGAAACAGATGAAGAGGATGAAATAGAAGAGATGGAGATGATACAGAAAATACATGACATGGAAAATGCATTGAAGGATTTTGAGAAGAAGCTACGTATTTTGGAAAAGAAAGAGGATCTGGAGAGGAAAATGAAGATTATTGAAAATTATAGTGAAATTACGAGTGAAGATACTGACGGAAATAAGGTGCAGAAGAAATATGACATGTCTCTAGAAGCATTAGACGGTGTTGACAGGATAATAGAAGGGTTCGTAGTTGCGATTGAAAATGAACTAGGAAAGCAATCTGCCTTAGCACAGAAGGATAAACAAAGAGAGGACCTGAAGCATATAGAAACTGATGAGCTTCATGATGTCCTTAGATTTAAGATAGAAGACCTAATAAAAGAAAGAATGAGCATAGAACAGAATAGAGAAAAGATTGTCAACGAGATTCAGGATCAAGGGCAATTACAAAAGCTTGTCGATGAAAGAAAGGACATTATTGAAAAGTTGAATGACATATATAAAGTTTATGATGATGAATTGGCAAATACCAGCCTCCATAAATGTATTTGTGATAAAAGACAAGATTACTTGCATGATAAACAGAAACGGAAGTTCCTAGAACTGAAGAAACAAGAAATAGCCAGATGTTTAGAAGATTTAGATACGGTAGATTCATTAGAAAATTCAACAAGTGGGTTTAGCGATATTGAGGAAACTGAAGAAAAAATAGAAGTCATGGCAAAGGAGAATAAAGAGAAGGATGAAATTATTGATAATTTGGGACAGAAAATCGCAGCATTAGAAAAGGAATTAGAAATTTTGAATGACGAATTTCACAAAAATGAAGAATATATGTTGGAAGAAATTGACAAAAACAATGAGGAAATTTCTACACTGACAGGTCAACTTGATGCTGAACGAAATAAGAACAAAGAAATGGAAGATCAAATCAGGATGCTAGATAAGTTAAAAGAAGAGCTGAAAACGAAGGGGAGACGGGTTGTGAAGATTGAAAATGAAAATATCCAGAGCATGAGCCCGACGAGGGAAGACTTGATTGGAGAAGAAAAGGAGCCAGGAGATTCAAATGACTTGCGACATGAAATTGACAAGATATCAGCTGTTGAAGAGATCATGAAGTTGGCTGCAGAGTTTATTTCTGAAAACGAAAGAAAGACTGCACAGTGCGATGAGCTTGAAACTGAGAAGGGTGAGTTGGCAGATATATCTGAAGAGCTCTTAGCTGAATGTCAAGAGTTAAGGGTGGATATCGAGAAGTGGAAAAAGAAGCTAAAAGAGACAGAAGATAAAACTGAGAAGATTGAACATGAAAAAGTTATCATGGAGCAAAAATTGGAGAGGATAAAGGATGATAATAATGACTTAGCACAAGAAAATGAGAAATTAAAAAACGAATTAGAAATGGTGATAACTGATTATGAAACAGTGCAAGATAATGTAAGTAATTTAAGAAAGAAGAATTCTTCACTAAATTACGAAATACAAATACTAAAGACGCAACTGGAATTAAATGAAAAGGAAAAAGAGAACAGGAAGCAACCATTCGTTGATAAAGAACAGGAAATTATAGCGTGTGAGAGTAGAGTCTTGTTAAACGAATCTGATTCAGCTATAGATGTCGAAGAATTCAATGATAAAGGTGAAAAGGACGCCCCTTACGGAAAAGCCATGCAAGAAGACCAGGCAAAAATTGAAACAGCACGTTTGCTTGCAGAGATAAAAAGTCTTTCATCAGCTAATGAAATTTTGGATGACAAAATTTTGCTGGAACAGCAGAAGAGAAACTCGCTAGACGAGAAAAATAAAAAGCTAGAATTATTGCTTAATGAACAAAACAGAGAAATTGAAGAACATAGAACTTCAGAAGCACAGTTACGATTTGTCAATAAAGATTTGGAAATGCAGAATGAAGATTTAGAGTATAAGATAAAGAAATCAATGAGAGAAAATGATGGAGCATTAGGCAGATTAAGGGAACTTGAGGAGGAAAGGGACAAGTTGCTAGGGATCTTGGATCAACTAAAAGGTAAACTCAAGGAAGAAAGGAAGAAATCTCTCGATGAGAAGCAGGCGTTTGACGAAGAACTGAGAAGCAGGGCAGACGAATTTTCAAGACTAGAAAGCAATTCAGAGAAAGAAAAAGAACAACGTGAAAAAACAATGCTCAGCAAAGATAGAAAATTGAAAAAACTAGAATTTCAACTTGATGAAGAGAAAGAAGCATACGAGGAGCTTCAGAGGAATTTTGATCGAGTAAAAAAGGCAAAAGAAAGCATACTGACGGATTCCGAGAAACAGCTGCAGAACTTGCAAGAAGAACTTGCTCGTCATAGAAAGCAAGAGACAGCACTGGATCTTGAAAATTCAGGAAAAAAAGATGAAATCGCGCTCCTGAAAGAAAAACTGAACAAAATAAACAAGCAATGTCAACAACAGAGAGATGAAATTGAAAGGTTAACGAGTGAAAACCGAAATCAAATGAACGCTTGCATAAACCAAGCAAAGGAAGCTGAAAACCAGCTGAAAATAGACGCCAACGAGCTTGATAAGTTTAAAAAGAGGTTTAAGGAAATGAAGAAAGACAAAGAAGCTGAAATACAACAACTTGAAGACAAAAATAGAGAACTAAATTTAGGTATTAACAAAAAAGATGAAAGAATAGAAGAGCTTGAAGAGTCTCTGCAAAGAAAGTCGAGAATGGGTGGGAAAATTGATCCAGAACACGAAGTTATTCAAAAAGTTTATGAAGAGAAATTACAAACTGCAAAAAGAGATTTGCAAGCAAAAGAACTGGACAATGAATCAATTAGAAAAAAGTGCGCAAACATGAAAGAGAAATTGAATCAAAAGGATGTAGAAATGAGCCAGATGATGTCAGAGTTTCAGAGAGAAAGCAGGGGTTTACGCAACAAAATTAGCGAATTAGAACTTGAAGTAGAAAATACAAAAGTGAAATGAAAAGAGCTGATGCAAAGAATCTTATTGAAAAGATTGAGAAACAATTGGCCGAGAAAAGCGAAAATGCTAATAAGAGAGAACGGGAAAATGAAAAATTGAAAATGGATGTGAGAAAACTAGAAGCATTGCTAACACAAATTAAAGAAAGACGCGAGAACGAAATAAAATCACTGGAAATGAGGATGGAAGACATGGAGGACAGAAATAAAACCTTAAAAGAGAGGTATATGAAAATGCAGGAAAAATTAACAAAGGAAATAGAGGAAAAAGAGGAACTCAAAATTATAAAAAGGAACTATTTAATAGCAAAGGACGAGAATGCTGTTCTAAAAGAAAAAGTACTTGAGTTGTCACAAAACATTGAAGTTAAAATTGAAGCTGAAAGACTCAATAAAGAGCTACAAAACGTGAAGGAGGATTATGAGAAACTGAAAAACGAGTCAGTTAAGGTGATCAAACACTCGAATGATATGAAAAATGAAATTAAACGACTGAAAAATCAAGTTTCGTTGGTGAAAAAGGAGAATGAAAAGGAGCAGAAACTTCTGGTGGAAAATCTAGAAAAGGAATTCCGGAAAAAAATTGAAGAAATAATCAGATCAAACCTGCAAGAAAAGGAAAAGTTACTTGATATGTGGGATGAGGAGAGAGATAATTGGGAAGAAGAAATGAAAGAGGAAATGGAAAAGTCAAGATATGAACTGGAGCGAAAATTAAAGGAACAGAAACAGGATATGGAAAGTGAACATATGAATAGGTTTTCAAAGATGATGAATGAAAATAACAGAGTTGTGAACGAGCTAAATGAAAGGTTAAAGGAACTTGAAAATGAACGATACAGAATGGAACGAAAATTTGATGAAGAAATAAGCTCTAGAGAGAACCAATTTGTTGGCGAAAAAGAATACATGGCAATGATGATCCGAGAGTTGCTGCGTAATATAATTGATAACAAGTCAAGGCAAAGTCAAATGAAGCAGAGTCATATAAAGGAAGTGAAAATTATAGAAGATAAATATGAGCATGATAAAAAGAACATGGATGTGCGTTTGAAAGAAGAACTTCAACTTTTGAGAGAAAAGGTTACAGAGATGTTAAGGAAGGATGTTGGGGGAAGAAACAGTCCAAGGGTGTATAGTAAAATGGACGATCAGCTTTTGCTTGACTTTGTGCCAAGAAAGCTTAGATAAGCTGAATCGCTTTTATTTTAATCATTAAATCTCAAATTAGCAATTTAGTATGCACAGGTAGATTTAGAAGATAGATCCGGTTAAATACTAGCTGTCCCCGTTAGTAACATCGTTGTTCTCGTTACCAATCTAGCATAAAAAACTGACATAGAATGACAACCCCTAAACATTACTCGCCAAAAATAATGGAAAACGGGGGAAGATCAGAAATGGTATTCACTTTCTCTTGCATGATTCGCAAAACAGTACCTCCTAAAAACGTACTATTGCCGAGTGACAAGGTAATACAGAAAGATGTTCCTCTAGTAACGCGTTAAGTCTCCATAGTTCCCTTACAGTCCTGCCGAAAGAAATGCTTTGCAACCTAGGTAGCGGAAATGAAATGAGGCTTCAATAATACCAAAAATGACATAATATACTGAGCTTTCCGTGTCATAATAAGACTTAAATAACAGCCTTACCTTGTATTTCATAATTTTTGTGCAAGGCAGTTCTGAGAGATCTTTAGTTTATTCCCAGACATTATACTCTCTGTAAAATGACATAAATACCATCAAAAAAGTTATCCGTAAAGTATGGTGCAAAACATAACATAACAAAATATAACAAAAACTTTAGGCGGAATCCTTTTTTTAAATTACAAGAAGGCAGATACTGTGAAAGAATTTATATCAATCATCTAAATGTTATATGTACTGCACATTTAATGATGAAGAGTAAAAATATCGATATAAAAACACTTGATGTTTGCTTTACGTAGGATATAAACAAATTGCATAAATGTAAGAATATTTCACGTTTAAAATTCTATAATGGATAATAAAATTAGCTTGCCTGTTAGGTATTTTGTTTATTCACACTCTTCTTTGATTCGAAAGCTCTTGTTCTACATTGGCGGATAAAATAGCATTTATGAAATATACTTCAGTTATATGAGTTAAACTCCTTATTACTGCCATACCGAAAAGGCGGGTTACTAAAAAGTTTCAAAGAATTTCGTAACTGCTATTTGCGGAAACAGCTGACAAATTTCTAAGAGTAGCTTGTTTTCACTTAATACCTCTTAGAAAAGAAAATGCTACACAATGTATAAAGGAGAGCACTTTTTAATGAAGCTGCGGGCGACTTATTACGTATAAGGCCCAAGACAGGAAAATGACATCCAATTAACATATCTGGAATGGCTGTATGGGTTTTGGCAAGTCCTTAATATAATAAGGCAAGAAAATTTAAAGATAAAGTGCAATATTGCAGAATTACGCGGCTTGGATCCACAGATATCCCCATTGAGCTAAGGCAGTAAATTTCTTACTTCGAATAAGCATAATGGTGATTTTGAAAACAAGCGCTGAAATTTTCCGGTCTTGGAAACTAGGCAGCCGGTTTGATCGAAGCTCGAAATACCGAGCTGGCAAAAAGAACAGAAGCGAAGTAGCATGAGTACATAAGAAGATGAATAATTCAATGAATACATTTAATACATTTCGTTCGTATGACTAAGAGCATAAGATTCTAAATATTCAAACAAATACAGCTTAAGAACTAACATAATGCTTTATAAACTTCATTGAACAAATAAGATTGAAAGCGATAACTGAACAAAAGCTACGTACAAAGAATTCCACTGTATTTCGACTTGAATGAATTTTGGGAATGATAAGAAGGGAGAGTAGTTTCTGAAGGAAGTTTAATATTCACAATGAGTTCAAGCAGGGAAGTTATGGAAAAAGTTGAAAAGGACCAAAAGCCTTAGACGCCTACTACGCTCGCCCCTTGTTAAGTACTTGAGCATTGTCAGCACACTATCTTTAGAAAATCCCATTGATCCGCTCGAGTCGATTTATTCTCTCGAGTTCAGAAAAAATGGCAATGAGTTTGTAAGGTTTACTCGCCAGCTGACCCCACTCTCATCAAAAGTCTCCATCAGAAAAACAATTTCGACTATTTTTAGAGACACTCTTTCAGTTCTCAGCGAAGTTAAAGAAAATTTTACTTTCCGATGCAAAGTTGACGTTCAACTTCACGGGGATAGTTTTAAGATGTTGCTATAAAAGAATTTTTAAGGACGTTTTTGTGATTAGAGGAGGCTAAAGCTGCTTACAACATAAGATGCAAAAAGGTTATCTTTAATTGTAAATTGTTTTTTAACAATGCGCTGATTTTTTCAAAATTATCTATCAAAATTGCAGCGTTTGACAAAATACGTTGCTTGGGGGGAGATATTTTACATTATGGCTATGTAATTGAAACTCATTGAAAATTTTCTAGGAATTTGTTAGCACATAAAGCGGTTAAGCGATTAAGCGGCTAAGCATGAAGATGGCATCTTCAATTCAAAGAAAGCCCCATCAAGTCTTTCCATGTAAAACAATGATATAAATAAGTATTTTAAGGGCTAGCCAGAATTGTATAGAACTGGCTATATTACAATATCATTAATGTTGAGATCTTAATAATGGTTATTGATATATAAATCAAATAGCAAAAAATAATATTTATGGGCAGAAGATGTCAGGAATGCTGCGTACAGCTGGGATTTATTTTGCCAAATAGGGTACAGCTGTAAAAGATGATATTCATACTATTTGAATTCAAATCAAAAACGCACTATATGAAATAAATATTTCAAAAGGGTCAAATGACAAACATGGGGCAGTGTGTGAAATTACATAGTAAATGCGTGCAAAATACAGATTTTTATTAAAAAGTTGATGTGCTACCATCGCTCATTAAATACTCATCGTCCTTTATCGTCCCCATCGAGGTCTTGCTCCGGTAATTCAATTGCTAAGGCCTGAACAATCCATGGATCACATTTGGACCCTTCCCTAAATTCCTCCATCGTAAGCTTACCATCATCATTCTGCAAGAGAACAATATCATTTAGGTATCATTAAAGTATCATTTTAGTATCAATAAAGCTAAATATCAGTCATTATGCATTATAGTTGAGTATCAGTCGTTATTTATTACAGTTAAGTATCAGTCATTACGCACCCAAAGCCTATAAATGATACAAAAAAGAAAGAGATTTACCTTATCACTTGAAGAACCAATGCTGTCAAAATATTAAAGTTATAAAATGAGAAAAAAGGAAACGTTATCCACATGCTACATTATCTTGTTCCAGTTTATTAAGTATATAGCCAACCTTGTTTCCGTTATTGTAATTACTGTTATGTTTCTATTTTTCTAATTATACCTTCTGTTAACGGCCCAAGCTAGATAAGTCTATACTTTTCTTGGGTCGCATATTTAACAGTTTTAATATAGTACTCATCTTCTGTAGTATACGAATAAAATTGAATTGAATTGAAAAAAGCATCAATCATTACGTATTATCGTCAGTAATAGCGAAGACTCTTTTAATGCATGCATCCCGATAACAATGGAAATAGAATATTTATTGCTATCTTGTAGAGGCAGCCATCTGGCAATAGGCTCTCCCGTATCACAGGTGCTTCCCATTTTAATGTTTCACTTTATAGTTTTAAACGAAAAAAAATACCTGAACAAATTGGCAAAGCAGCTTTACTCTGGACAATTTTTTCATTGTGCTAATTGAGTTACTTCTTGCAAAAGCATTCTAAGGGCGCATCAGGAAGTCCCCAAACAGTTTATTCAATGGCTAACATACAGTCCACTGCCTAACTATTTAGCCTTTTAGAAAAATCATTTTGCGTCTTCTATAAACAGGTTTCACGTCAATAAAAACATGTGCATACGGTTAAGATCAGCAGTTTAGTTCTATCATTTTCGTTTCTAAAGTATAAGAAACACACACGACGAGAAGCAAAAGCAAGCTCAACAGTTCAATGGAACATTCCTTTGGCGATTTCATGTGGTTTTAATCATCTGACCAAAACAATAAGCACCACAGGATCAAATTCTGTTTTTATCCTACCCAGCAAACAGCCTTTCACTCAATATCCGATTTGTTTATTTTTATGGTTATGCCAAAATCTCATTCATTTTTTTAAAGCGAAAGTTCATTCAAGGCTATGTAAGGATTTAGATATCATAGTATAATCAACCCATTTGCGGTTCAGCTTGTACAAAACCTAAAACAAGAAGACTGCATCACAGATCCATGATGGATGGAAATTTTTAATGAAGCAGAGGGGTTTAGAACTTTAATTAGGCGCGTGTGACAATTACGATGGGTGATTATAGATTGTTGGTTAGCGTCGATTTCAATTGCTTATCTTAAAAAAGCATTTTAACACATATTAGTCAATCTTCTCTGAGAAAGATTAAATCAATAGGCAGATGCTATGTCTCATCTTTAGACAAGATCAAAACCTCTTAAGAATATTTTAACAGCGACTGATTACAAAAGCGTATCATATCAATAAGGACCACTTGAAAATCTTTACGTTGCCTTTTTAAATTCTAGAAAAATATATTCCCTATGATTTATTTACTTGGGTTTTAATCTTAAAAAGTACAGGCTGACATTTATTCCAGTTTTTCTAACTTACATTCGCACAAAGAGCTTAACATGACATCCATGCCATTCTTACTTCACTTTTCAAAATTCACCAACCTTTAAATCAACCTGCTAACCAATGCTTTGGCTAAGTGAGTTTTCAAATGTAAATGATTTATTTGCTACTAAGCACGCCCTTACTCGTGGGTTTCATTCTGAAAACAGAGCAAGCACCTGGATATCATGTTTAGAAGCCCATACAGCCCATAACCACACAAATAGACCAGGTAAAAGCACGGCTCACCTTGTCCATTTTATGAAAAATTTTGTCTACTCTTTTTTCCGGTGTATCTTCGTCTTCTGGCAGATCGACCATTTTACCCTGTTGAAATTCAAATGGATATTTTTAGATTCGGAAAACATAACAGTACAGTCACCATACTGCAAAATGAAATCCGACTCGACTTAAAATCACTTTACCCGTTACAGTCACATAAAATTTAGACCCAAATATGCATAACTATGAAATTTTTACAGTCACACTCCATTCACAGTCACCAATTTTCAAGCAACATTTGGTGGGACTATAACGGGAGTCTACTGTATCCATAAAGTACAGCAACAGGCATTGTTCAGAAAAGTGCTCCTCCTTTCTCCAGACAATTTCATCAAGCTTTGACAACCTTCTTCAGAGAACCAAGAAAAAAGGGCGTGATTTGGGCGCGGTTTTTACGCGGTTTCGAAATTGGAATCTTATTTAGGAAATAACTGTAGAAAACCACATTGAGTTAGTGGAAAGGCTATTTCAATCTTCACAAACTAGCTACAAACAATATTTCGTAATTCCCTCAATTTTGTATCTTTCCTTTAACTTCCCTAAACCCTAATTTTGTTTCCCGGAAATGAATATCTGTGAAGACGGAAGTTTTCTAGCTCAAACTGATGTAGCAATCTGCTGAAGGTTAGTATAAATCGCTGGATGGTATTTCTGGCAGTCTATAGGCAGCACATTTCAACGAACAGAAATTAGGCTGCCGAAGGTGAATGATATCTGCTTACCACCATACGATATATAGCTTCGACAATATGAAGCATTTCGTCTCTTGTGATGTAACCATCCTTGTCTAAGTCATACAACGAGAATGCCCCTGTAGATCAAATATAATCATATCAAAAATCTACCATGTCCCTTTTTTAAACTAATGTTGGGGCCTGTTGACATGAAGAAGAAATGAATATTGCTTATTATCTTAACATTCAATGAAGCAACTAAATTCCCCACTTTTTAAAAAAACCATCACGCGAAATACATTCAAGATTTTTTTATCCAAGCTCTTTTTAAAAGCGCCATAATGACTGGCAAATTTCATCTAACTATAAAGATATGAAATTGTTTATAAACAAACTGGCTGCATAGTGACTAATGAAGTATGTCTAAAGAATGAGTCTGGAATAAACAGATTTCAAGATGACTCATAATATATGATGGATTTTAAGAATGATTCAGGATTAAAGTAACAAAAAATACTGTGGCATGCCCATGGATCAACCTGATTAAAAAAATGAATGAAGCTAAGCTTTGATGACATAAACTAGAAAATTCATAAACGCTGATAAACTCATAAATGCATCTACTGAGAGGACGTAATTAGAAGATTGTAATTACACTCAAGTTTCTCGTCCAGACTTCCGCGTGACGTAATAGACAATGCAGTGATGAACTCGGTGAAGCTGATAGACCCATCCTAGAAGAGATGAATTTTGTGCTAATAAATTATGAATAAACAAGATGAGCAAGATGACGGCTTTAGAACACCCGAAAACAAAAGAGTGACGACTTTCCAGTTCCCAAGAAACAATAGTTCATAATCGTTAGCTTTTAACGGTGTGTAAGGAAAAATTAATATGCAAAAACACAAAAATACGCATATGAAGATGTACACTACTGGAAAAAGACTCATCAATGTCTGTGTAGAAAATTTGTTTTAAGGATGTGTCTGAGGCTACTTTCAGAGGTCAGAGATGTAGAGCCGAATTGTCATTTAAAGGGTACCTCATTCGCATTCATTGTTGCTAGAAACAATAATCCTCAATATTTCAATCACTAAAACGTTTGAAAACATACAAACTCGAAGACACTGTCATAGTATTTGGCTTTACGACGCCTTAGGTTAAATAATGAAATCGAATTATAGTGCTAAAATGACGTAGAGGAATAGCAAATTGCATCAAGCAAAGACTAACAAAATGTTCACTTACGTCATTTTTATCGAAAACTTTGAAAACAAAAGCAGCAAATTTTGATGGATCCCCGAAAGGAAAGAACTGCTGGTAAATTCTTTCGAATTCCTATGAAGATAATTTTTTTAAAATAGTACCGAAATTGCAAGGGTATGCAGATCTGCATGAAGCAGGAAACGCCTTACCAACTAAGCAGTAAAAACTAGGCAGAAAGACAATGTCTATTACAACGATGACTCCTTAAGCAATGGGTTTATAACAAATTGAAGACAGACTTGCACCAACTTTATATAATTTACTAATAACATCTGAAGAGGTAAAGAGAAGGGCAGATTTTGACCTCACCTTGTTCTAAATCAAACTAGCTGTGACTAGAACTAAAACAAGTCACTGCTGGAATGATGCATCCTAAAATTTATGTCATTGTTTACAAAAATATCATAGCTAGTGAGACAACAAATCAAAGATCTGTTTTGACTAAAAAAATAACAGTTGGTTTAACAAGCTTAGACATTTCAGATGTGTTTTAAAAAGGATAAGATTTAGGTCCATATTGGCTGAATTTTAACTAATCCTATTGTCTCATTCTTCAACCAGGCAAAGGGCATCCTACTATTGACATAACAATATAGCAATGTCTGATCTTTTCATAATCCACTAAGTCTTAATGAAGACAATTTAGACTAAGACAATAATTCTGATTAGCAATATGCCGCTTTTATTGAACAGATAGCTACAGCAGCCCTATGAAATTTGACTGATATTTGATCTACAAAATCATTGAATTCTTTGTTGCACAAGTTCAGAACTATGATAACTGGATTTTTATCAACACTTTTGTAATAAATAGGTTTCTTTCGATTACTAACAAAAATGGTCAAGAATTACTTAAAGGTTTTTGATTAAATGTAGATGTACATGTCATTAAAATCACTGTTTTACTGGTCTGTCATATAGTGCTCAATTCCATATAGGCAAAGCTGTACAGGCTTTTGTCTATAGAACAGACAGCTCTTAGCTGCAACTCTGAGTTTTCAAATTTAATGTGATCAGCAGGCAACGTTTTTAAAATATATAGACACAAAGTATATGCAATTTTTTTTGGAAATAATATGTTGTCTACCTAAGAGTCAGTTGTTGACTTAAAATGTTGTCTGAAACAGATCTATCTTAAGAGGCTGATTAACTAGCAGCATTTGAATAGATACAAGAACAGCATACCCATAGACCTCCTAAGTTGATATTTTTAGAGTCTTCTTCCATCTAAAGTACTAAATGTACAGCTTTATATTAAAGACTAATACCTAAAATAATTGCATGTAGATTACTAGTCCTGTAGAGACAAAACATAATATGCCTGTAGAACTATATAACAAATCAGTGAATGGTTGTAGGTTGTGTCAATTAGCTTGTCAAAATGACCAGGTCTTTGGGCAATAAGGCCTCAGATAGAAATATTCTTCAAAGTTTATTAATAGGCAGGTTTGTCTTGGAATTGAGAACAATTGTTTTGGTACAGGGAGCCAGTTTTGATTTAAAGCAGCTCTTATAGTGTTTAAATATTTATGAGCCATACATTTTCCTATAACATAAGACAAAAGTGAAAAATGTTGATAGTTCCTTGTCACAAATGAATAAAAAGCCATCAGACATCTGCTTAATTTGGCCAAGCAACTTCTTATAAAACTGAAAGTATATTTCCACTAATCTATTTTGGTCTCAATAAACTAAAACAGCTGAAACATTTTCACATTTATTTCACATTTCTAAGTTAATGATATTGTGAAATCAATTTGTTCATGTCAATCAAATGTGTGCTCTTCTTAATTACCTATACCTTAAACCAAAGCATCTAAACTTAAAACTTTTGTAACTAACATGTGCAAACCTTTGCTTTAATGAATGGGGTGAATTTTTCTGACCATATGGTAGGCAAATGATGAGTGAATACATATCACATTGATAAGCAAGAATAAAAATTCTAATCAACACACATCTTGATGAAGTTGGCCAGATGGACAGTCCTTCATGAAATCTCTATACCTAGAACAGAACATTAACAAAATTGAAAATTTGGTGAAATTGATAGAAATTAGGGGGTATTAAATCATAATTTGATCTGATGATGTTCAACAGAAACATTCAAGTGTCACCTAAAATTCATAGTAGAACTACTTTATCTCTCCTGTCATCTTCTAAGTTTTCTAAAGCTCATGAAAGAAATGTATTTCAAATTCCCAAATCAGTTCTTTATGAGATTCATTTAACCAGAAGATGTTTCAAACCTAACAACTTTAGAAGTAAATCTTAGAAGACAGACAAAAAAACTTTTCTATAAATTATTGATAAGAGCTATTAAAGTATTGAGTACTTTACAGATCTTGACCAGAAATGTAGGTTTGTGGTGTGTAATCATCAATTAATATTATGATCAAGTGTACACTGTTGTCAAAGAAGATTATATCAAAAAATCCCAACAAACATCAGCACAAGGAAAGCTTTACAATAAGTCCAATTTACAACTGGAATTAATCATCCTTGATTTGACTTTAAAATGCCATGATGGTGAGTTGCAAAATGTACAGAACAAGAAATTAGACAAAAAGGCCATTAAGAAAAATGGTTGCTCCATTTTAAATGATTCATTGGTCAAGGATAAAATTGTTAGTTTAATCATTGCTATTGTCTTCATAATTTTATTTGCTTAAGAAAACGTTCATAGTGATATATCCTAATATTTCCTAAAAAGCAGAATGCAACTACACTTACCATTTTTGCAATTCTTTCTTGTCAACTTGAAACAAAAACATAGATTATTGGTTTCAAATACAAATCAAACAACAAGCAATCAAGTTTTAAAGTACATTTATACATGATCATCAAACTGAGGGCTGGAAGAATGGAAAGGCCATGCTAACAACTCATATCTGTTTGAAAAGCTGAATACTTTAAAATATTGGATCAACAGGGTCTTCATAATATCATAATATCAATTATCATAATAGTTGTCAAATGTCCAAATAATTTCACGAAAATTGGTGCAGACATGCTGCTTTAATTACAAGTTTGGGAGGATATAAAATCTTTTTAACCTCTGGCTAGGAAATATGTCAAAAAAGAACACAGTTAATGAGTTTTATTTCAATCAATAACAATAGTTATCATTGGCGCTTGATAATTGCAAGTTAATGGCACTGATAACATCATTGAATAATGCATTGTCAATTAGAAACAACATTTTTAGAAAGCTATGCAGGTTACCAAATACTCCATTTGATGTTTCATGAGTTTTTTGAGTGGACAACCAAATGTGAAAATTTGATTCTGAAATCCAACAATAAACTGAAATTCTCCCAACCCTTCGTTTTATAAATGCAGAATTTAATCAAAAACATACTTTCGTTTCGTAAATTTTTTCATTCAAATCCGTAACGAAAAATGAAAGTGAATCAATTATATAAAATGCACCTAGATCACGAAAGGCCACCATGAGGTTGTTTTTCCTAGTTATTGCTAACGAAGCCTCAGTAGGAAACAAGGGGGTAGAATGTGGGCGCCACATGCTAGAAAAAATTCAATTAGCACACTATGCTTTGATTTATTTATGGAACAAGACGAGCAAGCAACAGGCCAGCATAGTCCTTATTTTGGTTTCACTATAGTATTAGCATAGCACAATGTCCAACATTATTAATATCAGTTACAAAAAATTCAAGAGAATTGGGTGAAAACGAAAAAAAAAGATTTAGTCAACATACAGTAAGTGGCCTTTTGTAGGTTGCGAATTTCATCTTGTGAGAGCTTACTTCCTTTGTGCCCCATTTGTTTTTCTGTCAGAGACGAATGGCATTCAAACAGTTCTGATATCCGTGCTTGATTGTATTATAACTCAAATCAACAATTCATGCATGTACTATGACATTTGCAGGCAAACGGTCTGTTTCATCTTGTTTTCCTCCCTGCACACCTCTTCTTATCATGATGCTTCTGACTGCAGCAATGGAATTTTGATCGGCGAAGATTATTATATGGGAACGAGGCAGATGTTTCGAAACGAAGAAGTGACGCCAGTTTCGCTGATGCGGCTATTATGTGAACCTAGTAGGCTATTGCCCACGTTCATCATGAGCCAAGCCCACCGTCCAAGCTGTTCCCCGACAGTTCTTAAAACATAATAGACAGGATGGGGATGGGGTTAAAATAGGGGTCGTGGCTAAAAAACTAGGAACCGCATTTTATCAATTTCAGCAACAATGTGCTTCCAAAGTGATGCTTATGAGGGTAATGTTTGAGATCTTGAATATCTAAAAGTAAAATTTTGCGAAAGAAGGGGGAGCTCATACTCTCAAAATCATAAGGGATAATGGCAGGGTTCTAGCTTTCTCAGGAACTTACATAACAAGAATGAATTTGATTTTTCCTCTATATATCGACGAAGTCCACAAACTTTCTGCCTGGGCTGGAAAGAGTGAGATCTCAGACAGTTTTCGTGCATATGTTTGATGCCCAGTGTTTGATGCCCATGTGCATCTCCTTTATTAGCAATAATCAAACTTAGAAACGAATAAGCTGGTAAATGAACGACTAGAGATGCAAAAAGTAACAGCGATCAGCAAGGGTACGTTATTCTCTTGGGGAGGAATTTTACTTAATTTTCTTATGTGAGGGAAGTTATTGAGCACATTTTATCATTCTTCGTAGATATTCTATCTTTCTGCGTATAAAGAGTCTCAGCTTTATTCGTTGTTTGCAAAATGCAGGGGTATACAAATTTTTCTTGAAACAACTTTTATTTATCTTTGGTGATATAGTTGCCTTGCTGTTTTTTGTTATGAATCAACAGATTTATTCCATTTTATATTTAGTTTTGCATATATTTTTCAGGATTTTCATTATGAAATGAATGAGCAGGGTATTTTGAGCAGAAGGATCAGGGGGGGGGGTGATAGATGACGATTTGACTTTTGTTCCACACCCTTCAGGTGCCTAGAAAATTATGGTAACACCAATTTTATGATTTCATTTCTAATTTAAAGATAAGGAAGATGAAAGGGTTTTTAAAGTAAAATCTTGGCCCCTTTTTTACTTAACTGGTTACCAATTTTTTACCGAATCAAAGCAAAATTAAACGAATGATGCAGAAATTTTGGAGGTGTCGAGCCCCTAACACCCCCAACACCCCCTGATAAGTCCGTCCCTGTGAGTGACCTTAAACAGCAGTTATTGGCATGAAATGGGGAAGGATGTCAGTGCGAGCATCCACGAGAATTTGTGCCATCCAACTCTTTGGTGCCGACACATATCTATGTTAGAAACTGCCTTGGCTTAAGCCTTAGCTAAATGGCTCTGAGTTTTATTCATTGCAATAATCGCATTTATGTACAAGAGCAAGACTCAAACAATGCTAGATATAATGATATTTCCGAATGGACGGTGGCAATAAAACAAGACTTGTTGTATCAAATTCTCGCAATAAAAGAAGTCGATTTGCTTATGAGGCAGATGTTACCTATCCAAGCTATCAACATTATAACACATTGATATTAAATTACCCTTTCAATTTTTAGAATATTTCTGTCAGTAGCAATTCAAATGTCAATAATTTGTTCATAGAGAAAGCCCGATTTTCGATATTTGCATTGCACAATGAAAACCAATTCAAAAAAGAGCTTTCAGATATGCACCAGCTTTTCGAATTCAAATATTGTTATGAAAACTGTTCTATAAGAACAGATATAATCATATCTTCTAAAAAGCGCACGAAAAAGCATAATCACGTTATTCTTTTTCCGTTATACAAGTGGCCGACTGGTATTCTAAAGTTGCTACAACAAAAAATTTGATGATTAGTATGTAAATTATGATCGTAGAAAAAAAATATAATCCTTAATTCAAGCAACCTTTCAAAGGTTATCAATGGTTTCTGGTTTTTTTAAATTTCGAATGAGCTGTTTACTTCAGTTATATTTCGACGGTCTATGTTAAGGTGGGTCTGTATTTACACATCAACTTAGCTTATTTCTAACCTTCTATGTCTCTTCTATGTGTTTTAAAGCAGTAAAAATTTAGAATCAATATACAAATTTATTATTTTGCCCGTTAAGTAGACCTGTGCAAATTGGTTGGGGGAGACTTGGTACAAAACGAAAAAGTAAACCGCAGTAATATTTCCTTTAATAACTTCCCCTATTTTCTGTACACGTGTTCTTGCCTTTGCTATTAAGCATCCGATACTGCCTATTGCAGAGAGAATAAGGAACCTTCCGAGCATTTCATCTTGTTGATAGGGGCTAAAATTGATCCCTGTGGAGCTACTATTTGCATTCTCAGCGGTAAGACAGATGTAAGCATCTCACTATAATAGAGGTTTATGATTTCAAAATTTTCTGTGATCTTGAATACAGATTTATGTCAAGCAAATTACATTCTACATTTAACACTTTCTGGACCTATGTATCATAACTAGACTGCCTTTCACCTATTGCACTCATTCTCGTTTCGTTTTATATGAATAGATTCCTTAGTGACTTCTTATATCTCCTGTAAAAGCAAATCTCTGATTTTTCATCAAAATCTGAAAGGAAAATGCTAAGAGAAAGACGACTTAAGTTGATATAGGAAGCGAACAGCAAGACTGGTAGTGTGGTGTTTCCAAACTTTTTGAGGAATCATATGATGATTTCATTTCGAATTTAACGTTGTTCAAAGCCAAGAACAGTGACAGACACACAGCTGGCGAACGTAGCGAAGGCTAACGAACCCAAATCAATTTTAATAAGCACACCATTTCGTGTAATCACTGTTTTCAATATCTATGGTTTCAAGAAGATTTGAGAGTGTATCTGAAATACAGGTACCGCGAAGAAATTATAGAACAATGGCTTTTCAGCAATGAAAAAAATTTAGGATTTGATTTTTTTTCTAATGACAGAACTTTTAGGTATGCACTCTATGATACCTTGGTTGAACAGAATTTTGATGGAGGAAATAGAACGGCTACTTTTTGATAGCATCACTTTGAGATGTTGCTAGGGTTCAATTTGAAAGCAGAATTGTTTTGTTAGCCATTACCAATTGGGGGATTACAACTATAATCATTGCCCAAAGTACTTGAAACCACCAGCAATTTGTGTTGCGTCTTTATTTTTTCACTTCTTTTCCCGGATACTCCTATTTCCGCACCCCCTTCCCCCTAAATAATGTTGATGATTAAGAAAAATAACATAGAAGTTGCAGAAAAAAGCATTCTTCTTAATCCCCTAGGTTGTTTTGTAGTAAACCAACATTGTTTAAAGGGGGAGAGGAGAATGGCTGAATTTTTCTTGGAAACTGACGTCAGTGTACCAAGACTTTGGCAAGGATTGTAGTTAGGTTCCAGTACCCTACATGCATCCAAGAACAAGAAGGGCAGGAAAAAGAAGAGGAAACGGAGAAAAGTAGAGAAAGGAAAAAGAAGCAAGAACAATAAGAGAAAGGAAATAAGAATTATACTTAGAATAACAATAAAAACAAAAAGAATGAAACAAAAGAGAACAAATACCTAGACGAAATATAAACATTCCAAGAGCTAGGACAAGTAAAAGAAGAAAAAGAATAAGAAAAAGAACAATGCCAACAAGAGGGAAAAAAGAAAGAACAAGAGAAAGCGCGAGGGCAAGAACAAGAACAAGAACATAGAGAAGAAGAACTACAACAAAAAAAGACAAGTAACGGGAAGAAGAAGGACAAGATTTAAAGAACACAAAGAAAGAAAAAGTAAGAGCAGAGAAGAATGAGAAGAAAAAGAAGAAGTGGAGAAAGACAAGAAGAAAGAAGAAGAAGAACTACAACAAAAGAAGACAAGTAACAGGAAGATCACGAATGAAGTAAAGAACAGTAACAAATTCAAAGCAATTGGAACAGCTCACGTCGAAAAACTAATCGTAAAGATGGACAAATCCAGAGACTTTTTTGAAATGGGCCAAGAATTTGAAAATAGTAAAAACAGTTAAATTTTATTAATATGATCGAGGAGTTGAGTAATAACGATGTGTAGTTTTTTCTCTCACTAAAAAAACCTTTAAATTAACTTCCTTTGGCTGGATTTTAAATGTACATATTTTTCCTTGTGTTAACAAAATAGAGCAAATTTTTTAGCTAATGAACCTTGCGACTAAAAATGTCATGGAAAACTGTTTTTCAATGGACTTAGAAAGAATTCTTAGTTTGCAGATATAGAAAAATCAGTTATGAAATCAGAGCAACATTAAGAACACCCGAGCATGAAATTATCCAAAAAAAGAGCATCGAGCGTTGGCAAAATTTCTCAAGTAAAAAAGTGTCGAGCATCAAATATTAAAAGAAGGGAAGACAGAGTCAAATAATAGCTACCGGTTGTTGATTCAGGCCATTAACTCCCATTTCTAAAAGCAACAATAAGAAACCAACTGTCTATACCAAACTGCAACTAAGCGTACTCAGTATGAAATTTTCAAAATTTCTATCTATATACTTTAATGTTCGTGTACATTTCTATGCATATTAAGCTTGCAATACGTTTAAATCTATTAGTTGTATCCAGGGCATTTTTTAAGGATTTTTGAGTGGTGGAGCATTTTTCAAAATAGCCCATGCTTACCTCAAGGAACTGTATGGGATTCATGAACGATTGCTTATGATTGTTATTTGTTTCTACTCACGCTAAAAATCCTGGCTTGTTGCAAGGACTAGCTGGGCTGTTTTTTGAAGATAACTATTTACCTTCTATTATATATGTTATTACCAAGGACATAAATTAAAAGAAGTTAACAATTTAGTTTTGGCTGTGGAATTGAAATTTTTACGTTGTTTGCAATCTATTACATTTAGAAAAATGTTTGTGACATTATGGTCACGCTGTTTCCACACTGAACTTTTTTAGAATTGAAGGCTTAGGCTTCAAGACTTGACATAAAGTCTTTTTAAAGCGTTCTTACATATTGTATATAAACAAAATTGGAACCTTTTCATAGAGTATTTAAGATCAGGAACCTAGCAAATAGGTTTTCTTAAAAACATAGACTGGGAACAGAGAGAACAGGGGACACGTGCACCTCCCCACCTGTAAATAGTTCAGGAAAAATGCCCCTTTTTGCCAACTGCATAACAAAAAAGTCCCCTTGAAATGCTGAGTCACTATACGAAATGAGCAAAGCTGCCAAAAGGTGAGGGGTTGGGGCAAAACGCCCTAAGGCCTTTAGGTTTAGGGAAACAGTTTATTTAGGTTTAAAAACAGCAAAACAACAAACTCACAACCAGAGCTGCCAAAAGGTGAGGGGTTGGGGCAAAACGCCCTAAGTTTAATGAAGAAATTAGTCAGAGTAACAAATTTATTGATAAACAATGGTACAACGCTGTAAACAATTGCAACAAAATGACTGCAAAAAATATTCTGAAATGCATTTCAGCTTATTCATAGGGTATGGTCGCCAAAAAACTTCTGTTCGCTTCGCTCGTAGCAGACCTTATCTTTCCGTGTTGCCACAGGGCTTTCAAAACCTCTCGGCGGCATTGCTCACAAGAAACAGCCTTTCTCAACCTTTCTGGAATTTTTGTTATATTACCCCTTTAAAGAAGTTTTCTTACCTTAGAGAATCTATAGTAAGTTGCCTCTTTAAACCGACGCTCTGCTCGGTCTTTTCTAACGCTTCCTTTCTTAAATCTTCATTATCAGTTATATGGGAAGTAAAAGTATCAATGTCACACATAAGATTAAACACTTGACACCGAGACTTGCCACACGGAGTACAACCCTTGTTATGCGAAACCCCTGCCCCCTCACTATGGAGTTTAGCCCTAACTAGTATATCTTTAAGATTCTTACATATCTTAAATGGGAAGGATCATCATGGGTTTCTTCAAAGATATTAAAGTGATACGTTTAATTGTGATTCGTCCAATGTTGTGTATCTTATGGAATGTAAAGTATGTGGTGTACAGTATGTGGGTAGCACTTGCACGTCTTTTAGGCTTAGGTTTAATAACTACAAGGCGTGCAATCGTAAGTTTATCGGGGGCTCTTCGGGTGTACCTCATGCTGATTTTTTCTGGCATTTTGCAGGGAAGGATCATCATGGGTTTCTCAAAGATTTTAAAGTTACTATTATAGATAGACTTAATGGGAATGGTAGGATACATGAAAGTTTCTGGCAGTATAAGTTAGAAACTTTTCCTAGTTTTATTTTTATTTCCTATTGTTTATATTCTACAATTCCATTTTCTATCTACTTTCTTTCTTTTCTTTGCATTCTATCAGTTTCACATTTACCGTTTCTTTTTCTTGGACTTTTCTGCATGCTAAACCATCTGCTATCGGTTCTATTGTATTTATCCATCTTTTCTCACTTCCGGCTGGGCTTAGAAACTATCATTATGTAGTTAAATTAGCTATTATTGTTCTTGCTTGTAAAATGTGTTACCTTTTGTTCTTTTGTTTCGTATTCCTTATTTTACGCTCCAGATGTATGTGTTAGTCATTCTGAAGAAGCTTATAGCGAAACGTCAACCAAGTGTTTTTTTATTGAGTATCTATTTATATTTTTAAAAAACTTTACAAATCGTATCACCTAAACTAATACTTTGCAATGTAATAACACCACAATTTCTAATTAAAGCAATTTCAAATCTAAAAAGCAAGTAAGCAGAGAATAACTATTTTTGTCGTAACAAACAGCTAAATTTCGCGGCTCAGCGTTTCTGCCCTCAGATGCTGTAGGTGAAAGGTTCGAAAATCATCGCATCAGTTAATATTGAAAGCTTTATAACGGTTTTCATTCCAAAAAGCAACTCAAGTATTAAGTATAACTACCCATGGGTGTAGCGGATGCTATGAAACTACCTACAAAGCATCAAAACGGTACCGGCATTCTTCGAACACAGCGACAGGATACCTATGTTTTGGTTAAGTCTTCAATCGCTAACCTGTCCTGAAGCTACAATTCTTCACAGCTTTCTTTGCGTTACATGATTCTTGGCTGTATCCAAGCGCAAACAATGGAAGGGGGCTGAGCCAATACTTTTATTTTCTCGAAAATTTTATTAAGGGGGCTGTGCCCCTGAGCCCCCACCTCTATATCCCTGGGGGTATGCTGCTTTCACTTTCTTTTAGCCTGGGATCAGATATGGAGCTCGGATCTCGAAATGACAGGGGGAAGAGGTCTTTTCCGCTTGAGATCCGGTTCGAGCTCCTTTTCCCTTCGTTCTTTCTTTTTTCCGACTAAACTTTCGCTTCTGAGTCTGGTCACACAGGCTAGATAAGAACTTTAACTTTTTTCTGGAAAGATAAGAACTTCAGCAGCGGACGGATTCGATCACGTTCTCCAAAGTGAGGCTGACTTCTAGTCTGACTGGCAAACACTGAAAAGGAGTCTGGGCTTGGTTCTGTTTCCTTCTGGATTCAAGACTGGAAAAATGGAGCAGAAAGATTCCTCAGCTATCCCGGGCCAGCAGTTTCGTTTAGACGAGCGTCAACTAAAGAATGATGCTGGTGGTTATGTTTTTAAGATTGACGATTTAGATCGGCTCAAAAGATTTCTCGTTTTGGGTGCTGATGGAGGAACGTATTATGCCGGTGAAAGGGAACTTGCAATCGAAAACATCAAGTGCATTGCTGACTTGATATGCAATAGAAGAGGAAAGGAGGTTGTAGATATCCTCAAAACGTACAGTGTCGAAGGAAGGTGTCCCAAACAGATAACCATTGTGTATGCTCTGGCATTTTGTGCAAGATATCACAATGGCACTTTAGATCAACGTTTCCTAGAAACAAGGAAGGCAGCCTATGATGCCTTGAATAAAATTTGTCGTATACCTACAGATTTATTTCATTTTGTAGCCTATTGTGAAGACATAAGTAAAAGCAACAGAGGTCGTTCCGGGACTGGCTGGGGTAGAGCTCAGAGAAAGGCCATCTCGAAATGGTATCTCAGCCAGTCACCGACCAAGCTGGCTTATCACGTAACAAAATACAAGCAAAGAGATGGCTGGAGTCATAGGGACCTTTTAAGACTTAGTCATCCAAAGCCCAGCTCTAAGCAGAAAAGCCATCAGATAATTTTCAGATTTGTCACTAAAGGTTTTAGTGAGTGTAAAAAGCTATTTGATGATCCAGAACAGTTTCCAAGCAAAGATGAAGAAGTTAACAAAACCTTTGCTACTCTCAATGCTGCACAAGAAGCATTACAGCTCAGTATGCAGGACATCCCAGAAAATGAAAAGGAAGAAAAAATTATTGAACTTATAAAAAATCATGATCTAGTCAGGGAACATATACCAAATACATTTTTGCAGTCACTTAAGGTAAAACTATGTAATAGTTATTTGGATTTTCAATCTCGACCTGCCTTCAAGCATTGTTTACAGTGAGAATGACTTATGTGGCTAAGGTCACAGACTATAGAGTCACATTGCCCCTTATGGAACGATTCGATTTATTCATGAATTCCGACTGTGCACTGATGAAAATAAATATGAAGGAGTTTAGGTTTGTTTAACTTCAAAAAACGCGCGAAACTATTTTGCTGATGACATTACTTGAACTCTTTGCTAATTATTGTTGTTTCATTTTGTTTTTTAAAGCTAGGAGGATATTTTAAAAGTAAGCGGAATGTAAACGAAAAAGTTTTCATTAGACCTTCAACCCTTCTTTTTTTCTTGCACCTCAACTTTCTTGGTCATTCCCTCTGTCGGTTTTTTAGCTAAAACAAAACCAACCCCCACAACGCGTTTCTTCATCTCCCAAAAACGAATATTCGTTGAAACCGAAACAAAAGCTTGCATAATTTTCATTCACCAGGATTTTTTATCAGGAGCACTTTCATTGGCCTAGTGGCTTCTTTGATGGAATGGCTGGCTTCCTGTTGTGATTCTCAACAATTCATGAGTGGCTGAACGTGTGACACGTGATAAAGTCTCATTCAAGTAAGAAAACCAAACTGGGGGATAACCTTTTTTTCTTTACTCTGAATTTGAAAACAAATGGCTCAACGAAAGTCTGATTTGATACTGACGAATGATAAAGGTAGAAGGAAAGAAGGCAGATAAAAATTCCCGGTTTTTCTCCATTGTGCGCTTTTCTGCATGCCTAAATTTGAGTCGTTCCATAAGGGACGGTGGCCTAAGTTTTTCACGAAGAAAAGTAGCCTGTAGTAATGTTGCTCGTGCAGAAAGAGAGAAAAGCCGATAAGACTGTCTTTACACAAGCATGTAGATTATACAGCAAATAATGTGCTTGTAGTACTATTTATTATTAGGAAGTACCAAAAAGCAGAGGAAACACTTTTTACTGAAATCGTTCCATAAGGGGTGACGTGACTCTATACAGATTAAAGGTTCTGTAATTTGAGTCACTGACATGAAAAGACTAGAGTAAAGAGAGTTACCAGCTCTCTACAGTTCTAGGTGTAGGAATCATGTGGGGTGGTCATGTTAAGAGGAAGGACTCAGCAGACAGTGCTCTATAAGCATAGCTTCTCAGTGACCTAAATAATACCTTCAGAAGCTAGGAAGTAACAAATACAAATACAGTTTGTTCTTCCCTCTTTAACTTAAGATTTGTCATCACTCTATGCCGACCAGAATATATAATTAATTTTATACAGCCTAGTTTTTAAAAAAAGTGAAATACTCACAGCTTTACAAGAGAACAATCTTTACAGAGTGGTATTTATAGTAATAAAGAGATAAATGAATAACAAAGGTTTTTTCAGGTATGGCTCCAAATGCTGTTTAAGATGCCAATGACTGCTCTTATAAGAAACCTTGGGAAAATGAGCTCTGAAGGAATGTTTGAGGACAGTGTGAAGCACAATGGGACAGAGATAGCACACAGGGTTGCAGATTGGCTAAAAGATGAAAAACGACTCGAAAAAGCTAGAATACATCCATTCAATGTACTTCTAGCTTTAAAAACCTATGAATCTGGAAAAGGTGACAAGGGATCAAAAACCTGGAATGTTAACAAGAACATTGTTGGTGCTCTTGATGAAGCATTTTATAAGTCTTTCAAGGTAATCTGTTTTTACTTGAAATGTAAACATTAGCAATATATTGCTAAGGTCACTGAGATTGTTGAGATCTGGTAGATGTAACCAGTAGCATTCACGGGGATATATTACAGTGCCTCTAGCTACAACCAATTTTCAGTGAATGCCCATCCACTGAACAAATCTCAATCATATAGGTGTGAATTTTGAAGGCTGAATTTAATTTTTCATAGCATAAAAGGTTTAATAATTTTTTCTGTCCTCAAATATCTTGAAATTGATACATTGAATGCTTGTGTAGTTGAATTAAGATTTAACCCGGACAAAAATAATATAATGCTGAAATTCAGCACATAGGTTCCATATTATAGTAGGAATAACCAGAAAAAAGCCCCATCGATTGGACATTGGGAATTCCCTATTTGGGCAAATCCCATAATTTGGGCAAATCATAAAGTATGTACATCTTTTGAAAGACAATTTCATGCTGCACAACTTTTATTGAACATACATACCCTTTTAATGTGAAAATAAGTACTTTTGGTCAAAAATAGCAGGTAGGGGCAACTGGGAAAAAGAAAGTATATAACTTTATGAACAACTTATATATTAATAACACTAAAACATCCAGTAATGCCATCCTATCCAACAAGAAGCAAGGGTTAAGAATTCCGCTAAACTTTTGAAATTTCAGTAATCTGTGTATCATTTTTTAGAACATTTGTGGCCGGTAAGTGTATAGAATTCCCTCATTCTGTTGAGAAATTGCCAAATTTCTACAATCTATGACAAATTTCCCTAAAATTTTGTTGTTCTGCAATCAGTGATGACATCTACAGTTGGAGATCAAAAGGCAAGGATTTACCCCTGTGTTTTACAGACAAATATCCTTGCTGAGAAAAACTGTGGGTAGGCAAGGTTTTTTAATGCAGAACACGGAAAAAGGTAAACCATGTTGAAGTATATTTATTACTCAAAACTTTCAAAATTCCAAGTCCGGATTTTCCATTTTTCTAAACTATATTCCAGTTTTTGGGTCCTGGTACTCTTAAAACAAAGTGTGCGCTTCTCAATTGAAAAAGTCTGCAATCTTTGGGGTTATACTTAATTTGAAAGTCATATTTTTTTCTGGTAAAGAAGGGGATAAAGGGAATGTCACTGGCCCAGACTCAAGCTGTAGTTTTTGGCATCCACTTTGAATTTGCACTGAATTTGACCGTGTTGTTTACCTCTTAGTAACAAAAATTACTAAGATTGAGGATGTCAAGGAAAATAGTTGAAAAACACTGCAGTCCACGAAGCCCTCTCTTTGCACATCAAAAGAGTATCTTATACCGCTGCCTCACAATAATGTAGTCATAAAATTATAAGAAGTATGATGCAAAGGTAAAGCAAATCAGCGCTTTAAACACATTTCTAGAAATTTGAACATCCTACCATACAAATATTTAGAAATATAAAACATTATTTCTGTTCTTGATTATGTGAAGACATCAACGAGAGGACGTAAACTACATGCCCAACCTAAAAATGCATATGTCAAGATTTAATGGCCATATCTTTATATGACTTGCACCAAATTGATACTTGATTGAACCTTGGGTAAAACTAGTATTGAAAATCTAATAAAAAATAGCTTGGTATCTAGAATTTTGCTAATATTTAAGAAGCAAAACGCCATTTTTTCGTTTAGATAGTTTAGCACTGCAGCCGAAAGTTTCAGGAAGGATAACGGTGTTATGCCCCGTTAGCACTGGTGCCATTACACCACTGGTGCCTCATCATTCACAGGGCACACTTCGCTCTGTGCCCAGGGCCCCTACAGTTAGAGTGGCCACAAATGTTTTGAAAAGATTCATGATCCAAATCCATCATTTTATTTAGCAATATGGGTGGATATTCCTCAAATCCACAACCTAACGGACTTCAATAATTGCAAAACAAGAATATTATCATACTTTATCTCATTCGCACACTAAATTATGTTGCATCAATAGAAGTTGCGAATTGAAATGAAAATATTCAGCAAGAGGATCAGCAATTTTTTCACATTCTTTTCAATATTCACTCGTCCTGCTTTGTTTTTGCCAAATCACCACTTGTTTGCACATTCCAAGGGAATGTATGTTCTTTAAAATTTGTCCAGCATGAAATCATAGTCATGATGAAATCATCTTTAAAAAGATTTACAAACTGTGTGGTTTTAGCGACATTAAAATTGTGAACCCCTGCTGATCAGTGCGCCATTATGGGGTTTGCCCAAATAAGGAACTCCCAATGTCCAATTGATGGGGTTTTTTCGGGTCATTTCCAGCATAGTATAGAGCATCTGTGCCAAATTTCAGCTTTATATATTATTTTTGACCGGGCTAGACCATTTTTATATCTAATTCCAATACACTATGCCTCTTTTTCTTTTAGTTTGTTAAGCCAACTAACAAACGCTACTTCCTTGGTATTGATGTAAGTGGCTCAATGTCATTAGACAATTGTAATGGATGCTCCATTTCACCTGCATTAGCATCTGCTGCCATGGCAATGACTACCTTGAGAACAGAGCCAAAAACTTTCCCAATGGCATTTTCAGATGGTTTAGTACCACTTAAAATCAATAAAGATATGAAGCTTGCAGATATCTTGAAAGAAACAAAGAAGGTGATGTTTATTTATCAAGAGTTGGCTTTTAAAAATGTTTTATTTTGGGATTTTGCTATATTATAAACATATTAGACAAAGAGCTTAATTGTGAATATAGTTTCTGAATGGAATGCATGATTGAGATGACACAAATGAAACTAATGTTGCATTTATCAGTTTGCTACTGATAGACTACTACAACTTTTGAACTTTAAGGTTATGTTTTTGGCACAACTTTGTGATAAAACCATCAATTACCGGTTGATAACATAATTACTTTTTCAGCTAATGTTTGGATCAACTGATTGTGCACAGCCAATGATTCATGCCATGAAAGAAAGCATTGAAGTTGATGTCTTCATTGTTTACACAGACAATGAAACATGGACCGGAGATCTTCATCCCTTCCAAGCCCTTGTTGATTATCGCAAGAAAATGAATATCCCCCATGCAAAACTAATAGTCTGTGCAATGGCAGCAAATGAATTTACTATTGCAGATCCAGATGATCCTTTAATGCTCGATATAGCTGGATTTGATTCAGCAGCACCACAAATTATTGCTGAGTTTGCTCAGTTTGAACCTCAACCTGTAAAGTAGTGTACTGGTACAACCTGTACTGTAGTGTAGCATTCAGTGTACTGTTTCTTGCAGTTATTTCTCATCCAGTTGTGGATGTTTACCTGATTTCTATAAGTTTACAGTTTAAGGGGCACTTTTGATTCCTTGGGACTAAGGGGCACTTATGATTCCTAAAGTATACAGAAAACCATACAAAAATCATCTTGCCATAAGGCTTTTACAGGTTTAGCCCCCTTCCCTTATTCACATTATGATTTGCTGTATCTGCAAATATCTGGATATAAACCACTCATCTTTCATTCAAGATTTTACATTGTTGAAAGATGTATCTTGTCAAATACAGTGTATTTAGTCTATTTCTCTTGCATATCCAATTTTTGAAGGCAACTTCCTTTCTATCACTTGGTTAATTTTGCCATAGAATCTTGATTTATTACCTTATGTTTATTATCAATTCAAAATTGGAGCAGTAAATGGCAAAATATTAATGAGATATAAATTTGAAAATATAATTTTGATTACATTGTCCTTGATCCTTCCTTTTAGATTCTTATTAGTTCTTTTGCACAAAACATTTAATCCAATTTTGATTCTGGTTTTTCCATGCATATTTGTAATTTCAATGCCCATAGTTAACAAAAGAAAGGATTTAGAAACATAGCACTAGGTCCCTGAGTAGCTCTGAAAATTGTTCAATTAATTGTAAACAATTTACATGGAAATTTATATAGTAACTATATATGGTCTTGAATTAATATAGCAATTGATGCTGTTAGTACAACATGAGGATCTTCTAATTTTCTTCAATTTCTGATCCAATAAATACTAAGACAGATATGTTGCTTATCTTTGGCACTGAATCTATCCTTAACTTCAAGCATACCAAATGATTTAAAAAAAGGTTCAGAAACCCAGCACTAAGGTTTTCCTGATTGGGAGACAGATTTACGGTAGGACGAAACCTTGACTTTTGCATCTGACAACTGCTTATCATTTTGGATGTTTGTAGATGTCAATGAAGCCCAGTCTGGCAAGAAAGGTTTCTCTTTATACTTCTCCCTTGTAATAGAATACTCTGAAAGTGTTTCCAGCATCCCATAAATTGCTGCTCCTAGCCATGATATATAATTTGCTTGAACTGGAGGTTGGCATATTTTTACACTTTTAAAAGCAAGTTTTTTTGAGTAGAATCCAGTGTTTAACTGATCCTTTATTTCAGCCAATAGCCTTGCTTTAAATCCAGGTGCCATGCTTGTGCCTCCCATTAACAATATATTTTCACTTAAAGTCTTTCTGCAGTCAATGGGGCACCTGCATAAATAAAAAAACAAAGTCATGGCTGCAATAAATAAATATTTTTAAGAAAAATAAAAAAAATTAATTTTTAAAATTGCTGAAAATATCATTAAGTGTTGATCCTAATGCACTCTAGGAACACATGCCCTAGATTTACCAAAAATAATTCAATCCAGTTTTGACAATTAATCTAGCAGGGAGATAATTTGAATCTCTTTTTGTCTTTTCAACTTTTTTAACCAAAAACGATCAACCAGAACACAATTTATCTATTAAATTACATTATCTGAAACCCTAGTCAGAAGGCAGAGCATAGCATGTCTCAATAGGATATTGTGTTGATACAGTCATTTCATTAATGTTTTTGTATGCAAAGCTTCTTTAAAATTTTACTTGGCATGCAAAAAGAAGCTTCCATAATAGATTGTAAAGTTGATGTGCAAGTTCATGTTATAGTGTGCAATACTACATTAGCCCTGTGCATACATCTGCCATAATCAGCACACTGGAAATTTGAAAGAATTGTCTCAACATTGTTGATGGCTACATGTATTTTTACCTTGATATGGCATCAAGAATGTATGTAGCAAGTGACTTTCCTTCTTCATCACCATCAAACATACAGTCAAATGAATGGGCTCTTAGTTTCCCATCAATTGTAATTTTCATTCCATGGCCTACTGTATATTCAACTGCTGGGGGTAGATTTTCTTCTGGTTCTTTGTGTCTACCAACAAAGCAAACTGTCGCTTTGATGTTTTCAATTATCTCCTCGTCCATGTTTTGCCCTGTGGCGGATAATAAGTTCTCTTGCAATTGCTTGTGAATAGCTTTCCCCCCAGTTTGGAAAGATTCAATGGCGGAGAGAATCGGAGTGTGCTCGTAAATGGGAACTACTAATGATTCGCTGTAACCACAGTCAACCACTAAAGCAGACGGTACACCCAAAGTAAATAAGGCAAGCAAATGGCTTGGTGCCAACATGACAGATACCACATCAAAATAGGTGAATAGAACTCTGGCTAAAGTGTTTCTGAATTTAACCGGGCACAAGATTGATTCAACGATGACCACTTTACGCTCTTTAGGGTTCACCAGCAAATACTTGAAATATATAGTGTGCAAGAAATCTCGCAAAGTTTTGTACAACTCTGCTTCAGAGGCATTAACTCCCATAACGCTAACTTCAAGCAACTCATTGCCGACAAGTCTTTTCACTTTGCTTGAAATTATGTGTCTCGGAACAGTTTCACCGGCGAACCCAATTTTGGTGTATGCTTCACCAATATCAAGAACAACAGCTTGTTTATCGCCACCTAACCCTATCATCTCAAGTAACGCCATTTTCTACGATCGGAAACACCCAAGTGGCACCCCTCTTCTATACACCTCGTTTGGAAGACAATTGTTAAAAAGAGGATACCACAAAATGTCTGAAATTAACAGACAAAACAGAAAATTAGAAATTTTGGTATTGTATCAGAAACTCATCTAACTATTATGAGAGCTTAGATTCTTATGAAAAAGAAATGGAAGATAATCGCTTCAACATTGCTGCAGAACATGCACGAAAATTACGAAACCTCAGTGAATCGTCGATGTTACAATTGTACGGTTTGTACAAACAGGTTTGTTGGTTACCCAGCGACGTTGGAGTGAAGCCGTTGCTGATACGCAATATTAGTATATTAAAATTGTAAAAATGTTACAATTTCAAGTTTAAATAGCTCAGCTTTCAATTCATTTTATTAAATTGTGCTTCTATGAAAAACTTTGAGCCAAAACGTGCAGATATTCTTTAAATTTAATTTAGTATATTCTTCAAACAAATGTAATTTATTTTGAAAATTTTATTTCGTGACATTGGATTCTCGTCGTCGTATTGCTTTGTTCCTGTATATCTTTCTAACGTGCAGATACTCTTGATTTTTGTTGAATTAGAGAATAACCTGACCCTTAATCTCTTCTGTAAATTAATCCATTTTCAGGAAGATGTTGTTTTTTCCATTGTTTCAAGCTGGGTAAAGACCAATCATACTGCAATAGTATTTTAGCTGCATTTTCCACATCTCCGTTTTTAGTTTTTTTTGCTTCTTATTGAATCCACGCATGACGCTTTGAAATGCTGTGCTTTAAGCTATTCTTTTGTTCTCTATCAAATAATCATAAGAACTAGATAAATATATAAACATAATTATTAAAATTGCGTAGTGCTTTAGTATTAAAGTAAGAATAGAGTGAAGCAAAACATCACTATTTCCGTTTACACAAATCAAAACTAACATGTGAAAAAAAAACCTTTGACAAAGATAGAAATACTTTACTGGGATGATTAAATAGACCAGCAGTACTTAAGATAATGATGTAAGGATGAAGGTAGAAACGCAACAAAATAATGTGTATGATGTATTCTTAATTAAGAGTACAGAGCTGTTGCAAGAGTATATCTATGTAAATACCAGACTGAAAAGTTTGGTCTGTGCAGGGAATGCGTTCCCTGCGCAATAATTTTTGTCCTTCATTCCGCCCACGAATTATTAAGAATCTGCCGTAGATTCCGCAAAAAATATTTGTTTATCTGGTCATGTTCCCCTCAAATATTCCACCATTTAAAGGGCCTCTCCAGCCAAATTTTGCACTTGCCTTTTATTGGCTAATCTAAAGGAGTTGTACCTGCTGATTACGATTTTGTGATCGTCACAGTGACGTCACTGACTGGTTGATTGTAAAATGATTGTAAAATGGTTAGAATGATTGTAAATATTTTCTTCGATCCTAAAAAGCTCTTGCTGTAGATTTAGATGCAGTTATCAACACGTGACCGTGACTCCTTCATGCTTCGGTGGAAGATATACGAAATTCATGGCGAACAAGAGCCGCACATTGTGATGTCAGAATGTCACCAAACTGATTTGGCTTTTGTCGTTTTTTTCTCTGAAAGGTGCAACTTTAAAGCCTTATAACTAATTGGAATTTTGCAAAAAAAACAACTTTGCCATAATACACGCACCAGATGCTAATAAAAAATTTTTTTTTGGCTGGAGAGGCCCTTTAAACTTCAGACTTCTGATAACAAGAAAAAACAACGAATACAAGGTCTCTTCGAAAGGTCTCTGGCATTCCCCAAGCAGAAAAAGAACTTTACAGTCTGGTGTAAATATATCCTTTGTCGTAGGCCACAGCTGGTCCTTGTACAACACCAAAACCAGGATTTTGGGATATTGTTGGTAAATCAAAATGGTAATGTTGAATATGAATGATACATAATCTCAACTTAGTCTGTAAGTACCAAAACAAACCAGAAACAGAAATTGTTTTAACCATAAGCTGTAATTATTGGTATTACAAAACAATTAAAACAAAACAGTGCAAGAAAGAAGACAGTGGGCAATGAGACAACAGAAATTTTAATGTTTTTGAATAGATTTTGGTTTATTACTGTTATTAGTGCCATTGTTAACATGCATGGTTTTTACATTCAGGAAATACAAATCTATGCACAGTTTTTTGGCGGTACATAACTTGAAAATGGCTTTGAAAAAAGCAAACATTTCACAACGTTTTAACTAAAAGCTTTTTCGTCTGACACTCCTCAGAGCATAAAATGTCTCTATGCAGTTAAAAATGTTTTGTTTCAATCAATATCATTTGCAAGGTCTCCTGAATTGCTTCACCTGTAGAGTATTGAAACAACCTAGACTCGGATAAGATGAAAAATTGTGGAGCCTCAAATTGTGGAACACTTACTTTTTCTTATGACTGGGCAATTAAAGTATTTTGTATGGTTTCTTTTTTAGGGAATCGTGGAAAAAGCTAGAGAAAATGGATAAAGAAACTGCAAAAGAGGGTTACATAATTCTTGTTCAAGAGCTTGACCCTACATGGGACATTGATGAAGAATCATTAATGGTACAGTATATATGAACTAAATCTCTTGACATTTAATGGAAATCATTTTTTCTTCAAATCTGAAAAAATCAAATCAAATCTGAAAGCAAAAGATGTCATGTTTTCTTAAAACAGAATACTGAATAGGTAAAACAGAATATAAATTTTGTTCTTGGAGCTACATACATCAACAGCTAATTTTTGTGAGAAGCTCTAAATTTTTATTTCTAGGAAGATGATTCTGAAACAAAGAAAGCTGGACATGGTATGGGAGTTTCAGTAAGCACAATGTCCTATGGAGAAGATCAGTATATAAGGTGAATATAATATGATTTTACATGATTCTCTTAGTTGTTTCAAGAAAATAAAGCAAAAAATCGAAAGATCCTAAGATTGAATAAAAGACAAGCAATTTCACAAACATTGCATGATATTGTGAAAGAAAATTATGATCATCATCATGAAAAGTTGCTAGACAATAAAGAAAGATTAAGAACTGGCATAAATGAAAGATAATGTTTCTTTGATGTCAGAATTGGATGTTAACTTTTGATAATGCCCCTCCTCCCCTCTTCCTATATCCTCTAAAATTTTTTCAACTTTTAGGTGACCCAATCCTCTTCCAATAAGTGCTAATCCCAATTGTGAATGGCCTTTCAGTATCAGCAACATATACATGCAAGCATAGAAAATTTTGAAGAATGTTAAGGGTAAAGTTAGACATGAACCCCATAAATAGCCTGTAAATAAGGTCTACTTGTTTCGGGGGAGTCAAAGAATGATATCATACGAGTCCCAGCTGTTTTTCTTCCTTGATGTCTCTAGCCTCTTCAGTGATCTTTTTGCTGGATGCCTGTATTCTAATTGTTGTCAAATAGAAACGAACCATCACCCACTCAAGCAGTCTACCACTAGTCCACCTAGGTACCATAAAATGGATTAAATTGTATTAACTCTTTAACGAAAAGCCATAAAATAAACCAAAAGGCTGATTTTATCCACAAAAAGAATCTGAAGCTACAAAAACAATTTGTAGAATTAAACTTTGCTAACTTTGCAAGACACGACTTAAATTCAATATTGAATACATTAAAGCCAAAAACTGTCGGACGATCAAAGTTTCGGACAAAATTGTGTTCGAGAGTTTAATTGTCTGAAATACTTTTTTGTCTGAAAGTTTGTTTTTCTTGAAAATAAAGAAAGCCCAAATATGGGTTACTTGAAGCTTGTTAAACTACATTAGTCATCTAAAGCGTGTTAAACTATATAAGTTTACACATTGTCTTCCTCATTTTCATCATTTTCAAATATGTTTAATGTTGAATTTGTTAAAAAATATTCTTTAGCAATGAAGATAAAAGTATTTTTGATTGGTGTAAAGAAAATGTTGTTAGTAAAGTGGCAATGATGTTAGGCACTGGCAACTTCCAAGTTAACAGTAAAGATGAAAATGTATGTATTTACACATTTGTTCTGTGCTTTGTTGATGTATATTTTACTTTGTGAACAAATTGGTACCATAGAAAAATTATTCACACTTTGTCTTGAATGTCAGCAGTGTAAAGTTTTTGACACTAAGCTTCAACAATAGTGAATCTGTACATAGAAAATGAGTATTAAAGAATCAAGCATGCGAGGGCCTGGTTGAGATGATATACAGTTAGTTCTGCTTGCTATTTCATCATTTATTCATCCTATCAGATCTTTTTTCAATGTTTTATAAATCGGTTGGTCAGAATTTTTATCTTATCTGCTTTCTCTCATTTTAAATAGCTGAAAGCTCTTCAAAATGTAAGATTACCAACATAAGTGTATTTCTTCCTTGCAATCTTTATATTTTTTCTTAAGGGCATGACTATGCTGCACTGGAGCAGTGACCGTGGCCACAATGATATGGTCAACTTACTGATTAAAAATGGTGCAGATATCAATATGCAGGTAGCTTATTTTTTGCATTTCTTGCTAATTGACTTCTGATTAGGCAATTGGTCAATATTAACACTCAAGTCCAATGTGTTGCAAAACGTAATGGTCTTTTGGAATCTGTTAACATCAAAGCAAAGGATTCCAGCTTGTGTAGACAGAAAGAGTTTGTTTTCTATCTTAGACTCTTCAATTAGGTGAGAGGTTATCAGTCCCTGTTAGTAAAAACATTTTATTGTACACATCCAATCCTAACAATCTTGTTTTGTCAATCACAATTGGAGTGGCAGCAGTATTACAATGTAGTAAATACTATTTAATAGCCTTGCAGTACTACCAAACCTGAAGATGCCTCTTGAGAAAAAGAAGCGGAATTTTATATGCATAATTCAAAGTACTCTGTTAATCTACCATACCATCCCTGTTGAGCAAGCTTTGGTGAAACATTCCTTGTTGGCAAGGATTTTTCTGATTGTTGATTCCCCCTTTGAAAAATAAATGGCCCTAGCATTTTTCTGTGTCCACATGCTCCCTGCAAGCTGATCCCCCTTGTCACCCCGGTGCAGCTCATAATTTCCCAAAAGGCTTTTGAGTCATGAACCAGTATTTGCTTACCAGTGATAAAGGTCCTCAAGAAAAAACTAACACTTTTAGCCTACACAAGGTAAATTCATGATCAATGTAATTGCATATTACGAATATTTCAAAATTATCCTGATTGTTTGCCTTTACATTGTTTGTTTTTGACAGGTTTAACTTTTCCATCTTTTACTCTATGTCAAGTCTGCTTTCCTGGTTTAAATAGAATAATTGATTATCTTTCCTATACAGGATAATGATCTCCAGACATCACTTCATTATGGTATGTTACATGTTAAAAGAAACTTTGAATTACCTTTAGATTAAAAATCTGATGGTGTGATTTCTTCACTTCTATGACAATTTGTCAAATACGAACTTCTAAAGGCAATTTGTTGTGAGCCATCTCTTTAATAATTTCGAAATGGCGAAATTCTAAAGCCATCTCTTAAAAAATTTATTTTATTTAATGATTAAATCGCACATACTCCATCACAGAATTAGTCATCAAGCCAAAAATAGCAACATATGGAGCTCTCATAGCTCCAACAAGTTTTTGTTGAAGGTAACATTTTTCACCATAGAATCTATGTCTTTAAAGGGCCTCTCCAGCCAAAATTTGCAATTGCATTTTATTGGCTAATCTAAATGAGTTGAACCTGCTGATCACGAATTCGTTATTTGTTTTTCGATATTTTGTACAGTTTGTGAGATATAAGCTCTTGCATTTCGATAATTGAATTGAATTAACCGACAAAATATTTTCGGTTTGGTGACACTGTGACGCAATTTTGACGTCACAGTGTATTTCGTTAGTCTCGCCTCAAACCGAATCGAGCGTCAGCGATTCGCAAATTGAACACTGCAAGTGATGGTACTTTCAGTTCTGTTTCACCGGTTTTTAGTTTGAGCATTTCAGATATCAATTCTGAAGCCTTTAGTTGTTCATCGTTTCTGGAAAACAACTTGAAGTGTCAATTTCGATTAATTATACGCGAGGGAAGAGCTGGAACAGGAAGCCGTAGCTTTGTAGGCCTACACAGGTGATCAAAACAAAGTCGTCACACAGCACGGACACATTCCGACCCGCAAACTTAGAATAATTGTAAACATTTAATATTTGTCGATCCTAAAAAGCAACTGCTGTAGATTTAGATGCAGTTATCAACGCGTGACCATGACTCCTTCACGATTCGGTGGAAGATATACGAAATTCATGACGAACGAGAGCCGCACACTGTGACGTCAGAATGTCACAAAACTGATTCGGCTTTTGTCGTTTTTTTCTCGGAAAGGTGCAACTTTAAAGCCTTATAACTTCTAAACTAATTGAAACTTTGCTAAAACAACAACTTTGCCATAATACACGCACTAGATGCTAACTTTCTAGTCAATAAAAAAAAAATTTTTTTTGGCTGGAGAGGCCCTTTAAATTTGTGAGTTATCACAATTTTCTTCCTCCCCTTCATATTCATTGTTTGTTTCCTTGAAAATTCCTTTAAACCATTTCTGTTCTCTTCTGTTATTTCTTATACTTGCCCTTTTTTTTTTCTTTAGTCATTCAGTGATAGGACCTTGGGTGAAACTGATCTAATTTAGGCATGTTTTAATGGATGCAAATTTTGCATCTTTTTATCAAATGAGTTTCTGGATGGTGTCTTCATTAAATTAAAAGCACTAGTCTCTCAACATCACAAAAATGGGGCCTTGCTGGAAGGACCCTTACCGTTACAACTGTTACATAATCAAACGTTTCTTTCATTTCGGCCAACTTTCTAACAAGAACACACATTGGTAGTGTCCTTGAATATTTGCAGCTATAGCAACCAATGAGATTGGCAGATTCTAGTGACAACAAACCTGGATCCAAATCTAGGCATAGCAATCCATTAACTTTCTCTATATATACTATTTCTTCTAATGCTATGAATGAATTAAATGCACTGAGAACTTGACTATCAACATCCAACCTTTGTGACAGGTATTCAATCATGCTTTGAATTTTTTTATTCTTAACTGCTTCTACAACACATGCAGCTGGAACATACAGATCATGTGCTCTTTTTCCTAGGGGTAGTGTTCAGTTTTATGCCCTTCAGAGATGTCGTTTGATCTTCTCCCTCCTTTGCTGCCAAGAAAATGCTGTCCATCAACCGAAAGGAGGAGCTGGAAGAAACTTTTCCAGTTTCTCTTTTTTAGAAGCTTCTATGTAGCCATCCATTGTAATAAATGTAGCATTGCCACTTTTCTTTTGCTTTTGGTAATGCTTGACAACAAAATGGACATCACCAAGGAATGTAATTGGAAAACCGGCAATCAAAATTTTCCTTGATGGACGGCTAATCTAAAGATGTGTTGGCAACTCAAAAATACAAAGATTTTGATTTATCACCCCCAATTCATTCGTAAAGAGCTGCAGGCTAGTTTTCTAACTTGACATAATTTTCTAGAGCAGTTCGTATCCAGGTTGTTTGTGACAATGAAATACTGTTTTATCGACATAGGGCACAAAATCAAGGATAATTCAGTTATGCCAAAGCAGACCAGGTTCCAAGTAAAATAATAACTCCTAATTCGGGAAGGGCTTAAAAAACTCTATTTAAATTCTCCATGTGATTTGTCACAAATATTCTCATTCATTCTTGGCATCCATACATGATTATCTTTATTACTTCGTTTAGCTGTTGTTTGTGAACATGCACATGTTATCAAGGGCCTACTGGAGAGAGGAGCAAATGCAAATTTACAAGATGATACAGGTGCTACACCTCTCGATGTTGCAACTTCACCAAGCATAAAGGACCTTATCAAAGAATTTTCAAAATCCAGCTAAAAGACAAATGTTTCTAAGGAATCTTATTGTACATATCATTGATAAATTAAATCTTGAAATGTTCTTGTTAGAATAAACTGTTTTACTAAAATTCACGATGTTATATGAAAATTTTGCTCTCACTTTACTTTTTCCGCTGCTTCTCCAGGATTTCTAGCAGAAGAGGGGTGAAGTATGAAATGATAATATCTGCACCTGAAAAGAGAAAAAATAACGAGGTTGTATTTACCAATTCCTAGTGAGCAGGACTTGAAGATGGTATATATCTAGCGAAAGAGAAAGTAAACTATAGGCTAAGCGACATGAAATAAACAATAAAACACCAGATGTTGATTTGCACTTACCAGCCCTTCGCATTGATGTAACAGCTTCTAGGACAGCTGCCTCTAGCTGAAAGGCTCCGGCCTTGCTTGCATGGTACAGCATTGCATATTCACCAGAGACCTAAACACCAGAAAAGAATAAAATGCGTGAAATTGGTTAGCATAGTGTTTGTCTCTGTACCAAAAACTTCGTGTTACTTTTGGTCATCCCGCAATGACGTTTTCGTTGCGGTGATTCCGTGAAATACTTTCAATTTTTTGGAAAGTTTCATTTATCAAACGCTTTAGAACTGCCAATTTCTGGTTTATGTCTCCTTTTTCATCTTTGTCTTTGTTGTAAGAGAATGAAAGTGTTAGAGATCACAATTGGTATTCATGTATATAACAACATTTTATGTGACACTTACCTGGTAAATAGCTAATGGAAATTCTGGATGCTGAAAGAGGAAAAATTCACATCAGTATATTGAAAGAAGGTGATCTGAAAGAGAAACACATTGCCCTTCCAAGCACAAGGAATCACAGTCTTGTATCATAAATATTTTGTATCGGCTAGGGCCTAGGACTTCCTAAATATATAAAAAGAATTCAGTCGCTCAAAAGAAAAGCCATTAAATGGTCCTAAGCAGCTATGTAGTCCTGTAGATCACAACAGTTCACAAAAATTGCAGAAAAGTGCCATCAAATGCAATACGGATTTTTGAAAACAAATTTATTCCACGTCCTCATCAAGATTCTTTGCACTGCCTGTTATCAGCTATAGTTCGTTCGTGCTTTCTTTTCCACTGTATATTGACATGTTTTAATAATTGCTGTCATGTGGCATCGATTTCTAACCGAACATCGACAAAAAAGTTAACGAAAAATGTCAACAGCCTTTGTCCTTGAGAATAAAGATTGCTAACAGAAAAAAAGTGTTCTTTTCGAATCCAATGGCGGAAACCTGAGAGGAAAAAGGGTGCGGTCGCCCCCCCCCCCCAATATTTTTGAAGACAATGGTCTTTTGCTCCAAAACAGTGGACAAATGTGACGTCATCTTATCAAAACAGTAGGCTTGCTCCCCAATTTTCGACCAAGAGTCCACCACTGTTCAAATCAGTCAAATTCTGCAATAGTCAATATAGCTTGAATTCTAATGAACGTGTTTCATTCAAATGCCTTGCCTATGTTTGTTAGCTAAAATGAATTTGAAAAATTTTGCCGGATCGATAGACAAACAAAACAGAAAAATTTAGAGAAATAAAGCAGAAAAATTGCCAATACCTTAGCTTTAATCTGTTGAACCAAGTCAAGATATGGCATTCCTGGTTTGACCATCACTATATCTGCGCCTTCGTGAATATCGCGCTCCTGCGAAAAGGGAATCAAACAAACGTATAAATGAGATTCATATATAAACGCACAAAATAGCCTTTAATCTAAATAAGGAACGATAACATATATATAAAAAAAATTACGTACGGTTGATCTTAAGGCCAATCCTTTCCCACCAGGTGGCAACTGATAGCATTTTCTGTCTCCAAATGAAGGCGCTGAAGATGCTGCATCCCTTGCAAAAATAACAACTACCATTTGGCTGGGTGTTGCTTCTCTTACATTCTAATCAAGTCTCTACTACCAGACTGCTCGAGTTCACAACTTGTTATTTAGTTAGTCATTTACTGATTGACAGGTCTTTTTCAACCAATGGGAGTCGATGGAAATAGACACGTGCTACAACATACATTCACAACGTTTACAACGAGAATGACAAGGTAGCCGTTTGTAACTATATAGAGTGTTAAGGGTTTTCAAAGTGAAAATTCATTTACCCTGGGCGCCAGAATCTCCATAACAAAGTCTCAGAAATATATTTTAAGTCTTCTCACAAAAATAATAATTTGAGTAAGGACTGGAAATATTTCCTTCCCGTCCCCCGTATCCATTCCTCCTTCGCCACTACGTTGTATCGTATCCCCGGTTTCTTGAGGCTCTAGTACCCAGGGTAACATTTAAGTCCGATTGTTGACAAATACCTGAAGGGTCCGTAAAAACATGATGCAAACTTAGCACTGTAGCTCATTATCGCCACCTGGAGAATGGAAGAGAAGGGATGCCAATCATTTTTAAAAAGCAGCTATATTCTAATACAACAGTTTGGAACAAGCAGCAAAATGAAGCTGACGAACTGTAATATGTTAATTTTTCTAATGTAATCAGCAATAAGAACGAACTGACAATCTTGCAATTTAATATATCACAGAAAAATAAGTAATAATACGTGGTCATATAATTTAGCTTGTGATTTAGGTAATAAAAACTGGTTTACAACAAAAACATGGTTATATACATACCTGTCTCCGATATCCATGTGTGTCGAGAATTTTCGCAATCATTTTAACTCTACCGTCCATGGTATCAGAGGGAGCAACAATATGACACCCTATTGATGGTTAAAGATAGAAAAATATGTGGCAATTACAATAAAGGAAAAACAACATCCACAGAAGCGTTTATTTGAAAGGGATATCAAATTCATTCAGCGATAAATAATCACAAAATTTGAATAAAAAAACACAATATATATCTGACCGATAATATCGCTGTCCGAATTTTTATTGGGGGTTGTAAATGGGGAATTTAATGCATATTAACGGCCATCTTAACCAACCTAGTTTGATACCACGTAATATTAGCAGGATTTTTAAGCATTCACAATAGTAAATCTTTAGAGAAACTAAAGTCTTCTATTTAATAAAGTTTTATCAAGCCTTTTACATAGATGAAAAAAGGACCATATCTATATTTGAAGTACGAAAAATCATAAGTATTGCAATAAAATACTTCAAAATACCACTTGCTTCGAAGCTAATATTAGATAAGGCATTGAATATTAACAACAGAAGAATTTGGTAGCTCAAGCCATCTTTATGGACTAAACCGGCATTACTGGGGCACGAAAATCTTTGAGCATACTTGCCCGCTTCTGCATAGACTAAAGCCACTTTTGCAAGCAGCTCTGTTGTTGCCTTTATATCAATTGTACCGTTGTCCTTTATGATTCCTGAGGATATTGAATCAAACCAAATTTAGTTAACATGTTTCAAATCCAAGGAGCCAAGTTCGTGGAGTATTAACATTACTTTTGGGAATGCAAAACAATCATACTCTTTTAGTTTGTTTTGTTAATTGGACAGTTATATTCCTCTCTTTGCGAGAAAACACGATTGCAGCTTCTTATTTCAGGGTTTGTTGATAAAAATCACATATTTTTCTACTTTTTTTGCTAGTAGTCAAGATCAACCGGTGGGTTTACTGTTGCCTTGTGTATTACTGATGTGCACGGTGAAATGATTTGCATATCCTTGGAAAATAAGTATATTGCACATAGAGAAACGGATTTTCAAAAGACGTTCCATGCACAGTACAAACTACATAAATAAACATTCAAGATACTTGGTATTTTTCATAAGAAATGGATAGGAGAAAAACCAATTACTTTATAAATAGTGTCAGTAAAAGTTGCATTAGTATTCGTGGTCTGTGATATTTTATGTGAAATTAGACAAAACCTAATAGCTCATCAAATGTTACAAAGAAATCAAGTATTTTGACAAAAGCACCAAAGTATCAAATTTCCACTGACCACAATGTCCATGGCTGGTAAAAGTACAAAGGCAGACATCACAAGCTATTAACAGGTTTGGAAAACTATCTCGTAACAATTTAACTGCTGGTATCACTTTGTTGAATTTTTCTGAAGCATAATTAGAAGCAGAAGTATCCTGTAGAAAGGAAAATAGGCGACTCAGAAAAAATGTAAGTCGTTATATAATATAATAATATAAAAATATAAAAAACATGAATTTATAATTATAATATAATATATTAATATAAATAAATAATATTTAATAATATAATATAATAAATTATAATATAAATATAATATAATAATATTATAATATATATGATATAATATATATAATATAATAAATATAATATAATTAATAAATATAATATTAAATATAATTAATATAATATTAATATAAAATATAATATAATATAATATAATATAATATAATATAATATAATATAATATAATATAATATAATATAATAAACTGAGATCTGTGGGAGCAGAGGCATTGTCGCTATATGGAGGGGTCATATATAAGGTCAACAAACAGCTGTATAATTCTAAACCAAAAATCACTGAGTTTGACATCGAAAAACATATTCAGATCTTAAAAGAGTTTTATTATATTCCATCAGTTTTTGCACGCGATCGTAAAAATAACTACAATCGTGTCAGTGATCGTGTATTTAAGAATTACACGCAATTCTATGTCGCAGTCTCTTCCTTGCCAAGCTTAGTTGATGATAAACGATAGAAATCCTTCATCGTGGTACACAGCTCGGTATCGTTAAGTTAGAGAAAATATTTACAACCTAAAAACATACCTTCATCTGGGTTTCCATAATACCAAAGAGCAGAACTGTCTTGAGACCCTTCGAAACCAACGGAGCAACAATATCTTTGAGGTGATCGAGACCTAGTCTAGCAGACGATATTAATAAAAAAATTTCAGCTTTCTATTTTCAGATTCCACTACATACTACAATTACAATATATATGACGACATTTTCACCAAAAATAATAACTAGCAATCAGTGGCGGCTCTTGCTAATGGGCATCTTGGGCAATGCCCCCTAAAAAAGATTCAAAGGAAATCTATGATATTCATGTTTAATTTAGAAGATAGTCTTACTGTGGTTAATTATATAAGTTTGTAGCTCTTCTAGAAAAAGCTCCTTGCTATCCCGTCTCGTCCTTAGCCTCGCTTCTGGCCCGCTTGTGCCTTGAGCGATGATGTCATTTTACGGGCAAAGTTTTTTTTGCCCCTAGCCGACATGCGCACAAGCTAATCTTCGACCTCGAGCATTGCGAAACGCGGCCTGTGATTGGCTTATTTGAAGGAAAAAAAATTTTGCCCATAAAATGACATCATCGCTAAACAATAACCACATCTATAAATGCTTTTTCTTCTGCGCTCCATGACGATCAACATCGAACCATGAATACAGTGAAAAATTTGCAAACTCGACCTAGGCCGTAAGCTGTGACCAAAAAAGGTGCTCCAAAATCAATTTTCGTTGCCCGCATCCGGGCACAGCTTCACGACTGTTTTTTCTTGTTCAAAATGTGTTACTTAATATAAAATCAGTTGTTGTCACTCTGACAAACATGCATCTCGTGAGATACGGGAGTCAATAATTTCTAGGTTTTATGACGTCATCGATACAGTCAAATTATTTAAAAACATTTTTTGACACAGAAACTGCCCCCACCAGCTAGATCACTTTAAGTTAGTATACAAACGTGCAACTAAGAGCGTTGTCAAACGCTTCGTGTTTGAGAAGATGCCTTTTAACGGTTGATGACGTCATCACAACATCATCATGTATTATGGTCAAAACCTTCTGTTTTTGTATTTAACACCGTAGTTAGCAGCATGAACGAGCTTACAGTTGGCAAATGCGAGTAAGCTTGTTCATACTGTACAGGTTATTCTCGTACAGTGCTGAGGAGAGGGGGGTCAGGGGGTCACTGACCCGGGGTGCCCATAAATAATAACTCAATTGAACAAAATCAACAAAACATAATATTAGAGACAATAATGACAAAGGTCCATGAAATCGTGAAGAAATTTTTGTTAAGAATTTCTGATCTTTGTTGGCTAGGGCTAAAGAAATTCAAAAGCTTCTGAATGTTACGAAATGTGATTGCAGGGTAACATACAGGGCAATATGTATGTCATACAGATTTACACTATGGCGTTCGCATCTATTTGCAACAGTGTGTCGGCTGTGGTCCAATTTAGTTAATGAATGGAACGTTTTTCATTTTCTAGCCGTTAAGAATTTCTAAGTAAATTTCATTTTCATGCATTATGGTGCTAAGACATCAGTTAAGCTCAAATTATCAGGTATCAGATATCAGTTATCAGGTATGGTAAGTATGTTATTTGATGCGTACATTGTATATCGATTGTATTTAAGAAATGCAAGGTTGAATGAAGCAGTACGATATGGAAGGAAACAGAATAAACAGTTGCCTAAGGTATTAAATGTACTTGTGATAAATTATATCTCTTCCATTAAATATCCCTAAGTCTTGCGCCTAACCCACTTTTTTTTATTCTCAGTTATTTAAACGTATCATCTTGTACCTGTTATTTTCTATTTCTTTCTAATTCACAGGAGGGGTGAGAACCATTGATTTTCCGACAAAAATCTAACAAGCTTCTATATTTTTCTCGTAAATTTCAACATAACATAACAACATCAGAACTGAAAAAAAGATCATTTGATATATTGAATATTCTTATGTTTATTTAGGTTTAAATTTTTTCCATCAAAACATAGCATAGAACCATGTTAAATTTTTGAAAAGAGCAGAGGTTTTCCGACAAAATAGCAGTTCAGCTCTATGGCAGTCTTTTTGCTCCCTCTGGCCCCCTCTATCTACACCATTGCCACCGGCGCAGTTTAGCCACCATGACAATTTTAGCAACCAAAATAGCCACCCTAGCAGTTTAAGCAACCATAATTTTCAAAACTTTCTGGGGAGCATTCCCCATACCTCCTAGAAGCGTCTGCCTTAGAGAAGACTTATAATTTAATTTTTGTCCTGACCGGGGGCCCATAAATTCTCTCCGCGGCCCTGTTCTTGTATACAGGTTTCGAATAGTTAATGACGTCATCCCTTTATGATTTTTGTACTTTACTTTCTTACATTTCTTACTTTCAATAATTTTATGAAAAACATTTCAGCTATCTAAGCTTTGTAAACGCATTAAAAATAAAACAGTGGTGGCGCCAGCTGTAGCAGAATGGGAGGGTAATGGGCGTGACCCAGGAGACTACGCCTTTACTGTCTCATTTTAATTGTTTATTATGCCAGGTGCATTTTCATAGACAAATCTTGAAAAATATGACCTGCCCCTACCCAGTGCATTTTTCATCAATTTTAGGAGAATATCTGGACAATGTTTTGCAAGAGGGGAGGGGGGATAACCGTCCATACTACCCCTTGGTGCCGCTACTGGAAAGCAAGAATGTCAAGAATGTATCAAACAACGATCCATTTGTTTAGCCGACCGCCATGTTTATTTTAAAGCAATTGGTACTTAGGTATTATCCGGACTGTGATATAGGCCCGAGAATAATTAAGCAGCACCGGCTTTCGGCATTCCATGTTATACACCTTGCAACAAGAAAGACGCAGGAGATTGCTGAGCCTAAACACATAAAGCGCGGGAATGGTGAAGTTTAAAGCTGAATTTCAAGAGAATTGCAGGTTTTCACAGTTGACAACAAGTAGATTCGTAATCAGCACGAAAAAACACACAGGAAAATGCTTATTAAACGTAGTGCCGGAATGGGGGCAACGAGACCAAATAAAAATCTGACACAGCTTACGGCCTAACCTTTCTATCGATTATCGCAATATTGATGGTCTGCCCTCTTAACTGTGAAAGTCACGAGCCGCCACTGCTAGCAATACAATCTTTTTTAATAGCAAACAATAAACCCTAAAAAAATAAACCACGATAAGGTACAGCCTACTTAAAACAAATTTGAAACGTATTCAAATATTTGAGGATCGATGCTGAAACTTGCGATGAACAAAGCAACTGTAGCATATCAATACTTCCGAGACGCAGATAGTTGGAAAAAACCCTATCAAGCTCCCGGGCAGGGGCGGCGGGCAGTGGTAATAACGTTAATAGTCTATTACCAATTTTTTTTAATAAAACTCTGATTATGTATGCTAAAAATCATAAAAAAGTTAAAGGCAACCAACCGAATTCGTTTGCCTACCGAACTTTATTGAATCTCGTGTTAAGAGCGCAAGCAATATGAATGAAACAAATTACTATTGTATTGCCAACAAAAACCATAATGAGCGTATTTATCTGTTATCAATGAGCATTTTGTCCAACGTCACGTTAATAGTTTCGCAATTTTATTACCACTAGCCTTGCGAAACAACCAGGCGGGTAATAACCCATTGATTCGGCTCCTTTGTTTTCGTGAATAAAAACTGCACGCTTTTGCTTTGGAGGTAATAGTTCTCAAATTCTCTTAACGTGGCCAGAGACTACTACGTAATCGGACCGATATCTTTTAAACATGAAGCGCTTATTAGCAAGCGATAGAACTAAACATCACTGGGATGTCCAGAAAGTTTTTTCACTCGTTTCGTCGCAAGGAAAGTTAACTCATGAGCAACGTCTGGATATGAAAAAGAACGGTAGACCTTGCCCTAAAGTCGTGATAAAGAACAGATCCTGTGAGTCTGCTTATCAAGCATATTCATGGATGTGTGGAGATGAAGAAAAAAATACTTTTTTCTGTTGGCCTTGTTTAGTCATTGGTGACTTATCAACAGTAAGTTAGAAACAAATTTCTTTTATATATAATATAAATTCAAATAAATCAAAATATTTCTGTCAGTCCTTTTCACAGAGCTCAGGATGGACAATGGTCATGAAAGGGGCTCTCATCGGCTCCCGTGTTAATAAAATTGCAGTTCTATTAACGAGCCTTTTAGCGGCTAAAAGATAAGGCCATAAGCCGTCCAATTGAAATGCGTTGTATATAATTCGCAATGGATGACAGGAACAGAATATTTTACCTACTATTTGTTGTAACATATTCAATATCAAGTAACATTTTAAGGGGTCTTTTAATGCAAAACATTCCAAATAAATTTAATTTCGTTTTTTTTCAGATGAAGCATTGGATATTGCGGTAGAAAGGGAGGCATTAGACGATGTTGAAGAAAAAGACGAAGTTGAGATCGAAAGTAAACAAGGTATTGACTTCGATTCAGTAAAGGAAGGGTACGCCGGTTTACAGGATCTACTGTCCGTGATAAAGGATGCCGAGCTCGAAGAAGCCCTACCTCAAGTTATGACATTATTGAAGTTAGCAGCCGTAACACCTCTCACCAGCGTGCACTGCGAGCGTGTTTTTAGTCGTATGAAACGTGTCATTTCGGATTCAAGGTCAAGAATGAAGCAAAGCAGAAAAGAACAACTTTTACTTTTGCAAGTAGAACATAAAATGTTACGAAATTTGAATGCAATGCCTAATTTTAAAGAAAACGTTATCGCACGATTTAAATCATATAATGCACGACGTTTTGAAAGATTTTCCAAAAAATAGATTATAAATGTATTGCATTTTTTATAAATGTGGTTCTTTTTACATAAATTTTTACTTCATTTAGAGAAATACATTTTTTAGTTTTATCATCTGTCTTTTGATCACTTGCAAAACCGAACGGCCCCTTACATCTAGCTTTTTTTGGTGCCCAGTTTCATTCCCGTTTTTATAGAAATGAATCATAGAAGCTATTACCAACTCTATAGCTCTGCGCACCGCCCCTGCTCCCGGGATATCTCTTTTGCGATCAGGTTTGAAAATTATTGATATAGAATAAAGGTTAGAGAGTTTCTCAAGGCTGTAGATAGAAGTTGATTCGTTGGTGTTTACTGGAATAGTATTTTATGCTTTAGGATCAAAACACCGCACTGATTGAGTAATGTGAATTTTTAAGAAAATATCTTTTTTTCAATGATTGTCTAGTCGCATAGAGATGAACACACGCACTTCTGGTAATAAATCAAAGAAATGGGAAGGGAATGTCTTGTCAATACGCTAAAGCAAAAACTGCTGATGCAAAAATATTTGTTTCGTGATGTTTCTACACAAGCGTTGCAACTTGCAAGTACTCTAAGGGCCTAGCATTATAACACAGAGCCACCAAATAACATTTTCAAAAAAGATTTCTTATTGATAAAGAGCTTCTTAACTAATTATTTGTCTAAATGTTTCTTCTCCAAATGACTTTCTTAGCAGAAACTTTTTGAAAAGCATAATAAAAAGGCCATAAGTGGAGCCTGGGGACTAGCTTGTTTTTGGCGGGAATTTTAAAGTCAGAATCTCATTCGTCAGCATTTATGAAGCCAATTTGTCGGGAATGTTTTCCTGGGCGATACATGGAAATAAACTTTTTTACAGGATATAAAGGTATAAAGTAAAAGGATGGATGCAGATGATATTGATTGGTTGTGGTAAGTTTTACAAAATTACTAGCTCTTCCTTCGAATAATGGCGTGTTATTACCTATTTTCGATGGCTCCGTTACAACAATATTACAGGCTGAAAATGAAAATAATCTTAAAATGTAGGCTGTTGTTTACATTGTAAAACAGCTTTTAGTTTTAATTGAGGCCGGCCTCCCCTTATTTTCACTTACGACAAAAAAGAGCACAGAAGCAAGATTGCCATATCCAAAGAGCAAAAAATGCACTGCTTTTTTTTAATGGGTCTAAGGACCTTGGCTAAAACAAATTGCAAGGGGATGGTGATAAGAGATAAAGTCTCTGATTCTAAAGCGATCTGCAGTTAACTCAACTTTTGATAGAGTTAACTCAATAAATGTTTGTATCTGTTACAAGTTTGCAAACAAAAATATAGCCACCTTTATTGAAGGGAACCTTTGCATCAAAAGAAACTAATTTCAATTTTTGGACAACCCCATTGTGAAACAAATGCAACCTTAAAATGTTGGTTTGCTGAAAAAATCCACTGTCAGGAGTGTACTATAATTTTTGAGCATCAGTAGTCCTGATGTTAATTGATAAACAAAAATTGCAAAACAAAGCAACTTGGCATGTACATTCTTTGAATGGGCATATAAAAACCTTCAGTATTTTTTCTTTTACATTCAGCAGCCTTTTTCCATGACAAATTTTTCTTTATTTCAAAAATATGTATGGATTTGGGGTTTAAATATGGCTTTCGGCAGGAAGATAATGAAATTTCAGATACCAGGGCAAACAAAGTGATGTGAACTTTTTGGGGTGACTTGGACAGAAGCACTATCTATTTTTTTTTGCATAAGGGAAACATTTCCTTTAGCCTCTGAAGTTTTTACAAGTTACAATTATCATAGATATAAGAGGATATTTATTTTTGTGAAAAAAAAACAAAGGAGGGGTGAACTATCTAACTAACTAACTAAAAAATATGTTCAGTGGTTTTGTGGCAATCAAGTCTTTAACTAACTAAAAATATGTTCAGTGGTTTTGTGGCAATCAAGTCAATTCCAGTCATTTCTGCTTGCCCTGTAACTCTTCTTAAATTTTTATTGTTTTTTCAGTGCCCCCAGGGTCTTTCCAATGTCTACTTGTATGTTATTTTGGTTAAGCCTTTTGCTATTAATTTTATCCTTTAATTTTCTATTATGGAAAAATGAAGGAACTTGGAAATCTTCACAGCAAAAGTGCAAAGCAAGGGAAGAGTTATAAGTATCTATCTGGATAGAACTTTGAAGCATCATCTAGGAAATATTCAAAATTATAATTCTCAGTAAAATGGCACAAAATTATTTTTTTCCAAGAAAACATTTGTACACAATAAAAAAATCATACTATTAAAATTTGATTTTTCCTATTTAGAACAAATGAAGATAGTTGATTCTCTCAGCTTCAAGCAAAAATTTTTGGTCCTCAAAATCTCTTTGTATCTTTTAATTTCATTTCTAGATGCATAAAATTTAAATTTAGATTTACTTGCAACAGAGAGTTTGATACCTGGTAGGACATTGGATACATTTCTAAATAAACTTGCACTAAAAATTAAAAATTTCAACAAAAATTGTTAATTTTGAAACTTTGATATCTTCACTTTGTGATTGGCAAAGGCAAACAGGAAAGTTGGCTCAAGGAGGCTTGTTTTACTCTATTATTGAATACTGATATTATAATGTTACCTGTACTGCCCTGGCATTGACGTTATTTCTTCTTTTGTAGAATCATTTGAGCTGCAAGATAAAAATGTTACGTAACAGAGCAAGCATACAAATATAATAACAATATTAATATTAAAATTAGAAAATTTTGAAAGCAGCCTCTAGTTTTGCATTTTAGTTTGGCCATTTCTTGAAGCCACTTGAGCAGGTAGCTCTCCAACGTACTACTTGTTTTAAAAACAAGGTTTCTCAAGCTAATCACAGTACATATACTAAGATATATGCAACTTGTAAATGTATGGACACAAAAAAGAAACAACATTGTTAAACACAGCTAACCACTATGAAATTTATAATCAGGGCTAGTGCTAAAGCCGAGGCTGCTAAAACAAGAAACTAGCAAAACATGCACAGAACTAGCAGAACGACCAAGGAATTAGCGGGGAACTAGCTGAATGACCAGGAATGAGGAGAGAACTAGCAAAACAACCAGGGAATGAGCTTGGAACTAACAGATCATATACTGGAGGAATTTTTATCCAACATTTTATCCTCGCTTTTGATGCCTTCTGTTAGGGGCCTAATTAGTTATAGGTCTATTCTCATTAAGAAGACACAATTTTAGTTGGTCCCCAATATCCTGAAGAATTGACTTTACACAATTTACTTTATTGGTCACCATTGGGCTTCCTCGGGTGTCCATTCCTAAATGTTGCTAGTGCCCCTAGTTCTGTTTGTTTTGTTGTTATCTCCACTGACCTCAAAAAGTCTTTTATAGAGATCAGTGGGTTGTTCCACAGTTATTCTTGGTCATTCCTCTAGTTCAGTGCACTTTCCGCTAGCACCTCATTTTGGCAATGTTGGTGCTAAACCACCATCAAAACATTTCCTTGCTATGGTCCATAAGACCAGTGGCGTCACCAGCTTGAAAAAGCTGGGGTGGATAAAACCAATTTTCTCGGCCATGCCCTTGGACAAGAAACTTTCTCAAGCAGCAATTTTGGTAACAGTGGCTTAATTCCAGTGCGAAAATCGAAATCAATCTGATCAGCCCAACTCCACCCCCCATGCCCCCCAAAAAAGGTTTTCAATGGATTTTGAGAAATTTGAAAATCGACTTTCAAGAAAACTGGGATGGGCAGTCCACCCTGTGGCTATGCCACTGCATAGGACTAGGGCAGGTTTATGCAGCTTTCTAACAAGGGCAAATTTTCAAAATGAACTTGTTCGCGCAAGAAACAAAATTTTCTAGTCTCTGATACATTCGGCATGTTCCAATGTTGCTTGGAACCATTAAAAGATATTCAGGAATAAACTGGGGAATCATATATCCACAAATAATTATTCAGGAGTGGGGGTGACAGGCTAGTTCAAAATATGAGTTTAAGGGTATAAAAAGTTTTTCAGCAGTTTTACATTTTGCTGCATACCAAACTGTATCTTGTATCTTGTATATGAAATTTTGCATTCTTGCATGATGTAAAAGTAAAATCCGACAAATTTCGACAAGCCTTATACTTTCTACATACATATTAACAGAGCATCGAACGTAAACCTGAATGCTACACTGGGACGCAGTGTTGGGAGGACACGAACAATCCGGAGAGGTACCATGTTTTGGTTGATGTCATATTGCTAGGAGAGCGTTCCCCGACCCTAAGCGACCTGTGATTCGTTGATGCAGTCAAAAAACTCTACAACGTGCATGACACGAGGTTAATCAGATCAGAACCGGATTCTTCACCTTTCTCGTCTTGAATGTGCATGGTCATTTTATTGATTAGAAGTGAAATTTGTCCAGGTTAGTTAAAAAATCTTTCGCGACGGTGCCAATTTTGATACATGGTTTCCTACGTTGTTGCCAATATGCCATCATAGGCCTTGTGTTTGGCAAAAAACCCGGTCAATTGTTGCGAACTTACCTAATAAAGAGTGGATAAATCAGTTGACTCGCGTCTATAGTAGATCCCACTGACTGCCAGTCACGCAGAGTTTCATGGAAATAACCACTATGAAGGGAAAGGTGTTTTATCCACTCTGTACTTGACTTTTCTGCCTCCATCTTTTCTTCGGTTCCAAAAGGCAGCACCACCTCAGATCCCTGTGACTATTTCTTCCAATTAAAGTCTTTTCTCGGAACTAAAGATGGGGGTGTGAGCGAGGTGCGTACTAGATCCTTGGGCTGGAGGGGTTCCTAAAGAAATGTTCGAAAATGATATTAAAACCCCATAAAATCATACAATGTATAATAATAATATGTCCATGAACCAGACAGACACTTGAGGTGGCATTTATTTAATACAAATGGATCAGATTGATTTAATCCAAATGGATTAGTGTCTGAATTTCTCATGTAATGACGTGAAGTCATTGCTATTGCTTATTTTTTCAACATTTGAATGACTAACTAAATGAGTATTTACTTTGATAATGGGGCCTCCGACGAATGAGGGGCCGAGTGGCCATGCCCCCCACTTTTCTCCAAAACAATTTTTCAAAATCTCCTGTCATGGCTATTAAAGTTTTCCTTAACTCCCCCTCCTTCCCTTTTTCAACCTATGTCGGAGCCCATGGACAATTTATCTAAGTAGAATTTGCAAACAATCTTTTAGTGGTACAAAATTTTAAACGTTTTCGATCTATGTTCTAACGTTTTATACTCTGAAGTGTGCCTAGCTAGAAGCTTTAGCATGACTCAAAATGTTTCAGAAATTTTTCAGTAATCAATAACACGCATAATCGCAGAGATTGATTGATCTACACATTTTCAAAAAGTTACAATAAATAGTGAATAATACTTCATTTTTCTCAAGTTTTTAATGATCTATGAAGGCCAGGTGGCAATGTAGATATGACAGTTAGGCCTGTCCACCGAAGGTCGAATAATCGGTATTCGGTTACCTGTTTCACTATTCGGTTAGCTGAAGTCCAAAGCGAATATTCGGTTACAAGCGAATAGTTCGAATAGTACGATTATTCGGTTACAAACGTAAAGTTCGAATAGTACGATTATTCGGTTGGAGACGAATAGTGCGAATAACCTCACTGTTGGAGGTCCACAATGGTTGTTTGAATAGCCGTGACTCATCGAATAGCGTTGACTATTCGAATAACCGTGACTGATCGAATAGCTGTATGGAGTCATGTACTGGACATAATGGGTACCTTTGTTTCGTCGAGGCGATTGTCAGATCGTCGAGCCGGGTTTCTCTTCGTCGAGCCGGGTTTCACTTCGTCGGGCCGGTCTTACATCGTGAATGATGTCATTTCGTCGAGGCGGGTGGCACATCGTCGAGGCAAGATTGATTAACCGTGACAGGTCTAACATCGTCGCGGCGAATGTCACCTCGTCGAGGCATTGAATTGAATTGATGACTTTCGTGTAGTCGAGGCGCTTTCCCGGGGGTAGTGGTTTATAGCAAGGGATGGAGAGAGGCGGGGAAGAGGAGGAGAAGTGTCTTGAAATTGTTTTTGATGAGCAGCTTGATGCATAGCTTGCAACTAACGTCAGATTATTTGATGATAGATACTTCCATGTTGTAAGCAGAAACACAGAACTCAAACAATAGAGGAATGATATGGCGGTCGCTAGCCTGTTACCCGAGACAAACGTAAGGAAACACATACTTAGTACTCTGAAAGAGGTTTATCGTGATTTGGAAAATTTTCCAAACATTGACCCAAACACTGCAGATTATGCTTCTTATAGACTGGAACGTGTTGCTATGATTGCAGTTAATTGTCAAGCAGAATGGCCTAGTGTTATTGACGATGAGGTCATCGATTGTATCGCAAATGCAGTTCAAATATTGGAGAAAAGTGGGAAGGATGCGCCTGCTATTGTTATTAGTGCAGGGAAAAGTGGAAGACCTTCTGTTAATATCCCGAAAGAAACACTAGAACTCTACCTCCAGTATGGGTTTCCCAAAACAAAGATAGCCGAGATTTTTTCAGTGAGTGTTAAAACCGTATCAAGAAGAATCGAAAAGTTCGGGCTCCATGATAAAATTGCGAATCATACCGAAATTATAGACACTGAATTAGATGCTATTGTTGATGACATACTTCAAAGTTTTCCAAACTGCGGAATTAGGCGTATGAGAGGATTTCTTCAGTCAAAAGGTCTGAAAATACAATGGGAAAGGGTCCGTTCATCACTGTGGCGTGTGGATCCAACAGGAGTACTTCTCAGAACTACACAATTAAATACAATTCAGCGACGGAAATATTCAGTTCCAGGGACACTGGCCTTATGGCATTTAGATGGTAATCACAAACTCATTCGTTGGCGGTTTGTTGTACATGGCTGCATTGATGGATACTCACGCCGTATTATGTTTTGTGAGTGCTCATCAAACAACAAAGCAGAAACTGTTATGAAATTGTTTCTACAGGCAGTTGCTCAGCACGGTCTCCCATCAAGAGTTCGAGGAGATCAGGGTGGGGAGAATGTCGATGTTGCCTACTATATGCTAAGTCATCCACTCAGAGGGCCAGGTAGAGGAAGTTTCATAGCTGGTAAAAGCTGCCATAACCAAAGAATCGAAAGGTTTTGGCGAGACCTCTTTCAAGGCTGCCTTTTCGTCTACTACTACTTGTTCTACTTTATGGAGGAGAAAGGGTATTTGGCTATTGACGATGATGTTGACATGCTATGTTTAGAAATCGTTTTTATACCACGCATTAACAATCACATATCGCTCTTCCTGGATGGTTACCATAATCATTCCATAAGAACGGAATCAAACAGAACACCATTGCAGCTTTGGCTACAGGGAAAACTTCACTACCAGCCTGATAACGAAGAAACTCAATTGGACCCCGATGGTACCGACACCTTTGGTATTGACTGGAACGGACCCATACCAATGAGGCCTCAACGTCATGCTGCCGATCGTGTTTCAATTCCTTCATTCAGGCACGTAAATAATAGGGGGGCGTGGGGGGCGTGACGCCCCCCCAACGTTTGGAAAATCCAGTTACAGTTGGAAAATATAACGGTTGACTTGGAATTTTTTCTTAGGACCAAACTTGTGAATTTTATATTTTAAGAAGTTTTTTTATTTTAAATGTAAAAATTCTAAACATTAAAATTCACAAGCTGAAGCTGACCCATCCACTAACCAGGGTGCATTTCATGTAGGTAGGCCCGAATATGTCCGGCGTGGGCTAAGAAAAATGCCTTGGCGTAGAAAAAAAAAATTCTGTTTTTTAGCGTGTCAGCGACAGAAAACCCCGAATATCAATGACTTGTTTAGAATTATTGGCGTATCGTTGACAGAAAACGGCGTGACGGCGTGGCGCATCGCCGAGATATGATTTGATATGCTTAACTAATCTCCTCTGCGAGGTGTTTTCTTTGATTTCTTTATTAGTTTCGTTATTCCGTGGTCCATGGTTCTGTGGTCCGTATTTCGACACAAAGAAGGAAAAATCATGTCAAGGAGCATGCTGAGTATTATATGCACCCTGGTGAGTCCATATAGATAAGGCGTTTCCCGACAGAAGTTGGGATGACACTTTCAAACGGAAGTACTGTCACAAAAAGGAAGTACTGTCACATTTTCGAACGTTTGTCATGTGGTCTCAATATTAAATGAAGAGGCAAAGCCAAGAACTTGCGTTCCGTTAGAATATTACATGGATTGAAATGGATATTGATGAAAACGGTAGGTTTTTAATTTTCCTGTGTATGTACTTGATTTTGCAAACTTTAAACAAGTGCAATAAGTGATAGATTCAAACAATCAAGAGGGGAGAAGTTGATGACTTAAAAGTACGTACTTACGCTCGAGGGAGGGGCAACCTCCAAACCGTACAAAAGCAAACAGTAGGGAGGGAGATCCAAAATCGATGGATATTGAGCACAAGTACTGTTTGAATGGCCCCTAAGGCCAATTAATGTGGAGGGGGGCTTTAGATTTTTCTCTATTTTGCAATCATAATAAACGTTTCGGTTAATTTGGTTTCTTACACCTTCACTTCTATGCTTCTATGGCTTCTTAATCACGCACATTTTTGTAAGGAATGAAATGCTGGCTAAGCAAAGACTAATTTTGGTTCAATCTAATTAGCTCATATTATTTTTGAATTGCCCAAGAAAAAGAGGGATCGCTTTTAATGAATAGCGGGAATAAAATGAATAAAATATAACAATTAACGTTTTTCAGATAATCAACAGAAACAAAGTCGACAGCAAAGTATAGGAAAGAAACAAGTGATTTTGTCCTGGGCGAAAGGATGTGCAAGTAGTAGCAAAGAAGTTATCCCTGAAAAGAGACAAAAAATCTCGTCAGAAAAGGGCAGCTTTACTTGCTTGCAATGCTTTGAATTACACTTGAAAGGAAAAAGGGATGAAAGATATACATCTGTATGCAGAACAGATCATTCAACTGTTCAACGTCATAAAAATAGATGGCACAGCATTCCTGGATCGAAGTTATGCACAATTGTTCCAACAGCTGCAAAAGAAGTGAGTTCATTGAAGTTAAAATATGCAAAACAGAACGTATCAGAAGTCACTACACCTGAAGAAAGAAACACCAGTACAACTTCATCACAGATTATTTCAATAGACCCGGTACATAGCACTGCAGCAGCTCAAGGCAAAAACAATCTAGAATTAGCTACGCCAAGCTACGAAGAATACCTTGATGAACTTGAATCAAATACTGAAAGTGAGGAAAATAAATTCATGGAGGCCCTATCACCCATAGAGCCCCTGGAACCCCTGGAAGCATGCAGCAACGAGCCTCAGTTGATGACAGAATCAAGTGACAAAGAAACATTGGATGGGATAGAAATATCTGGAATGGACACTCAAAGTACACTTTTATCTTTTAGAACTGAAAAATTAGATGCAACAAAGAAGAACAGCACCGTAGACATGGATGCCATTATGACTGAGATAAATAAATTAAGTTTAAAGGTGGATGATATTGGAGCAAAGCACAGAAGCTTACAGCAGCTTGTTTTTGAAGACCCAGAGACTGGAAGGCAAGTTGCTGCAATGAAGAAAGCCAACAATATCAATGAATTAGTTGAGGCATCAAAGCCAATTCAGTGGTTCTATGATGAGAAAAGTGGTTGTGCAGTTCTGAGATGTTTGCCATGTTATGAGCTTCATCTGAAAGCTAAGCCAACATTAGCCGATTTAACTCCATTACAAGCACAGCGAATCCTTAATCCAAGAAGCAGTAGAACATTTGCAACTGGAATTTTCTTGAAAAAGGAAATCGCGAGTCTGTTAATCAAAGGTCATAATAGGACTTGGTACCGGGAAAAAAATATGCTAATTGACCACATGTGTATCATAGGAAACGGCTCAGAGACACATAAAATTGCCATGGAAGCATACAAGCAGGCTTTGAAATCCAATAATGAAAATGCAACAACTGCAACACATTTATTTAAAGCGGCTATAGTGGATTTGAAACTTGGTGCAGCAGCAAGAAACTTTGAAGTGTTAGTGTCTTTACTCGCAAATTGCTCTGTAAATGTTGGAAACATTGGGCATGGCAGGAATCTGTTTAATGACATACTGTACTGCCTGGAAAAGTCGATGAACAAGAAGACGGCAGAATTCCTTAATCAGCCACTCCCATCAACATTCCTTCCTCCACACTTTTGGGTTACCATTGATAAAGCTACACCAGCCAGAACAACAAACCAAGCAGTATTGGTTGTCGCCAGAGATAAGAATGGGATACCCTCCCCAATATCGTTGCAGCTCCTGCCATTTATACAGAATTTACCGAAGCCTCATATGATATATTGGCATTAAAACTTCTGGAAGCAATTTCTGATAATTTCTCCCCCCAAATTCTGGAAAGGCTTTGTGGTGTGGCAGCTGATGGCCCTTATCAGGCTTCTGGATTCAGAAGTTCACTTTTTCGGCAACTGGAGATCCCAGAGCATGTAGACAAAGTGATCGCTCTCCCCATAACATGGGATACAGCCCATGTTTTAAACCTTGCTGTTACCGAAGTAAGAGATGCTAACTCACCTGGTGGAGAACATTTCCGTAGATTTATCAAGAGATGTAATGTGTTCAATCATGTTTTGGCAAATGGAAAGGGGTTTGCCTTTTTGCAGATGGTGGACAGTACTGCGAGACGACCTGTGTCATATGCTACTCAGCGTTTCATGAGTTCATCGTATGAGCAGTGGCTCAAAATTGAACAGAGCTACCAATCGTACTGGCAGGCATTTGAATTGTAACATCCACGGAGGGATGAAGACGAAGAGTGGCAATACATGATTGCTGGAAGTGATTTTGTGGCAGATCTTTTATCCTTTTTGGATATCATGGATCCTATTATTGATCTGATGCTGAGAGCCCAATCACTTGACACTCCAATCTGGAAGCTACAAATGTGGTGGCCTAAAGTCAGAGAAATTCTGCTAAAAGCTGTAAAAGGGAACCCCCTGGTCTTTCCTAGACTGTCAAAAGTCGAACACTCTTTGATACCTGCCTTAAAATTCAAAGGAGTTGAATTACTTCAAGGTTGGCTCATAACGAAAGATAATGGAAAAAATGCAGATGGAAATTCTCGCTTTACGTGGCATTTGCGTGACAGTAAAGATATCGAAGAAGATCGCAAGAATTTGGCCAAAGAGCTATGTGAAGCTTTGAATATTAGAATTGAATCGCTTGCTGAAAAATCACCATCAACATTTGAAGTATTTGATGCGGCGAATCTTGTTAAGCTTCACTGTGGAAAAAGAGTTAATAAAGAAATAAAATATTTTGTAGATGAAGGTGAGTATGAAGTATATGGAGTGGAAGAATGTAAGCGCATATTAACAACGATTAGCGAGCTAAAACATGTGAAGGAATCAGGGATGAATTTCGATTCAAGAATGGCGTATCTTTACATGTCCAGAATAAAAAACGCTGTTAAAGCAGGCATCTGGAATGGCAAGTGCCCAGAATGGTTTATTATAAGCCAAAATAATGTTAATTTACATACTCAAAATGCAACACTTGAAGAGTTTGAAGAAGAAGAAAGCAATACATTAGATTGTCAGTTCAAAATGGTATTTTCAAATGGAAAAGTTATGAAAGTGCGCTTACATGAACAGCGAATGTACCAATCATTTTACAACAACGAAGAAATCTGTCACATTGCAAGTAAGCCATCTTGCGCTCTAATTGACATTCTTTTGGCTAAGGGAGGGCCTGAAGCAATAGCTGAAAGCTTTTACAGCTGAATGAGATCGCAACAACAGTCAGGAGGGCAATCGAACGAAACACTGGCTAGAAGAACGAAGCTGCAATGGGCCTTGCCGTCACTTCAAAACTGCAAAAATATTATCAAGGATGGGATTAAAACTTACATTCAGGGAGATGATAAATTGCGGCCGCACCGACAGAACACGTTTTTTTCCAGTAGAAATAAGGATTATGTTGTATCAAAGGTAATTGATCGTATTGACAGTGATAAAGGCCGTTGTCCTTTCCTGTCTGATAATTGAAAGGTACTCTGGTATGAATAAGCTACGTACTAATATCTTATATTTCATTAACTCAACTGTTTTGTTTCACTTGTGAGTATGTTTGTGCATGAATGTATTGCCAAATCTTGGAAATTAATTGTTTGAAAATCCAGGTTTTGTTCTTTTAAATTTTTTATATAGCTAACTATTCTTTAAATCGTTTTCGTTAATTTTATGAAATTTAAGTGAAAATCTTGTTGTAATTCTCTGTCCATTCCCTCTCAAACCTTTTATAAGATTCTCAAAAGAGGGTCAACCGAAAAATATTCGACCAGAAACGTTGGCTGTTGGAAGTGCTGCTAGAAGCACCCCCTTCCCTTTTTTTTTAAAGTTTTTCCACAAGACTTGCGTAATTTATGATGTGCCAAAAAAAAAGTGTCCGGCGTAGGATCCAACATAGAATGCACCTCTGGTCCCACTAATCGTTTCTATTGTGAAACCCGTCCTCCACTGGAATCCAAATTGCACAATTGCCCCGTTTGCTTTCTTTTCTGACGAAGTTGATCAAAAATTACGAACAGGCAAGGTGAATTTCCGGATAAGAAACTTGAACTTACAGTTTGAATAATAATTCCCGTATTGATTCAGAAAGCATTAGATGGGAGTTTTTAATGAAACTACAGTAGTAATTCATAAAAGATTAAGTAATCTTTCAGTATAAAAATTACTCAAACGCTTCTTATAAAAATGAGTTATGCTAAATCTCCCCCTGTTATTTGTTAAACGTCCCTTGGCTCTTATCATAATTCCTATGACAAAATGCTGTAAGCAAGAACACATTGCCAAAAACTGCAGTAGAAGTATTTGATCAAAGAAGAAGTGTTTCATCTTCGGATCAGGCATATGCACAAGTTTGTTCTCAAAATCCATCTTCAATTGTAAGAATGAAAAGGCAATTTGGCCCTCTGAAAATTGTTAGTAGTTTTCTTCGATCAAGAACAAAAATAAAGGCTCAAGTTCTTGGTGCTTCTATAATCGTGAAAAATGTATTTTAGATAAGATTGATCTGCGCCACTTGATTAATTGATCAAAGTTTAGATAAAATTGATTAATTGATCTGAAAGAATACTACTAAATCATTAAGTTATCTAACTTGGTTTTTGCTTAAATGTTGCTTTACTTCTTACTGTAAGTTAAAATGTCTCTTTCATGTAGATCAAAATTTAGAGATTTAGGCTTTTATGCTTTAGGCTAATTATTGAGTAAAGTTTTGGTAATTATAAAGAAAATAGAACTATGGTGTTCGGGCTATTTACAAATATCAATATAGTAGGTACAGTAGATTTACTGGTCAAATGAAAAATTTCTTACTTAGATTGGAATTTTCATCCTTCCACGCCCCCCCAAAATTAGCAACTTGTTTTCGTCCCTGCCTTCATTAAATGTTCTGCTCACAGATGAGATGTTGGAAACGTTAGGTTTAGAAGTTGACTCTTTGAACAATTTTGATGCAAATGGAATTGAAACATTTTTGCTTGTAAAGAATACCATCAGTGACATGTTAGGACCAAGATGATGCCTTTTTTACACTCTAAAACTTCCTTAATGGATTTGCCCTGAAATATTCTTTTTAATTGCTATGCATAATATTCTAAAATCATAACTTTTTTATAGCTTTTGGTAAATGGTGGTATCGGCTTTAAATGGGCCCTTTCTATACAGCATTTCATATAAATTATTTCTGCCCTTTCTACCAGGGCCGGCGGAACCAGGGGGCCGAGGGGGGCCATGCCCCCCCCCCCCAATTTTATGCAGAGATAACGAAAATTTTTAGGCAAAAGTGAAAATAAATGTAGTATATTATTCTGTAAGTAACTTTGCCTAGTACTCTCTTAAATGTGTCCTTAGCTTTACCTTGATTGCTATGTCTTTACGTAGAAGACATCCATAAAATTTAATATGGGAATTAGATCGAAGAAATCGGTCATTGCGTAAGCTTTACAACGAGTGACAGCTTGGCTTAGCAAATAGACCGAGAAATCTAGTCCAGAATAACTTGGTGCCAGCACAAATTGACGGAGTTTCGTTTTTTCCATTGCCTAAACTCTGGACACAGGGTCTACTTGTTAACGAAAACTTTCTCAGAAACATTACAAAAAGAGAGAAATCAGCTATTGAAGGAAAAGAAACAGCTGATTTTGAACTGGAAATAACTTTTTTGAGGATATGAGAAATAAAGTATGGGCAGATTTGTTCTAAAAAGCATCATCAAGAAAACTTCAGAGTTTGATCGTTTGGATAATCCATTCCTACTAAGAAAGAGAAAATATCGACGCAATTATAAATTATATTTAAACTAATTTTGACAAACTTTTCAATTTCAAGTCAACATCACAATAAACGCGACTATGCGACACCTTCAATCAAAATTCATTTTAAATACAGTCTCTGACAATCCCTAAGACACCATAATTCTAAAATTTTTCTTGCCGCAAACCATGGTGGCGAGCTTTCCTAAGTCCTTTCAAGACTTTGATATTTTGGCCCCTCCACTTTCAAATACGTTTCGCCGGCCCTGTCCACGTTTTTGTGAAAATATTTCATTTGTAGGGAATTAAATTTGAATTCCAGTCCCACTTTCAATGAGTATTAGCCTTCACCTTCGGTGTTGAGACCATGATTGATCGAAAAAATTTGTGGCAGATTACACAACAAAAAATACATTTGTTTGTTAGACTCTACAAAATATTTGTTCTCGAAGTTGGGTTTTTAACGGGATAGACCCAAACTTGCTTTAAACCCGTTCACTGCAATTTCCTTTCATAGTTTTATTTTTGATTAGATTGTAAACAATAAAAAATGTCAGAAATAGGCCTTAAATGAGCTATAATTGTTTTTCTGTTAAATAATCTTAATTTGACTATTATAGATAACGAAATTCTGATAATGATGTTGGAGAGTATGTTTGTATCTCTTTCCACCTACATGAAACATATTGTAAAATGGGAGAAGAACAATTGAAAAATTTGTATCTTTGTTATAAACTATCAAGCACCCAAAAACACCAGAACTGCTTATAAATAAATTGTATTGTACAATTTTTAGAGTCGTTACAGGAATGGAAAGTGTTCTATTAAATTTAGATACAAAAATATTGGATTGGAAGTGCTAAAAAAGCAGTGGTGTAACAGAGAACTAAGAGGAGACCCGCTTTAGACAGACTGCAATGGGGATTGCAGTGGCTGGGGGCGAGGAGGGCACAGCCCATGATAAATAAACAGATTCGTTGAAAAATAGTTTCTGCCTCCCCCTCCCCCAGCGAAAAAAATCTGACCAAGTTTTTATTGATAAACCGAAAACTTGACAATTAACCTTGTGAAAAGCTGAAGGATGATAAGTCCCTGTACTAGAGCTTTCGTTAGGTAATATTTGTCAAAGAAAGTAGCAAAGTGTCCTATTGTTTTAACATCGCCGAAAAGTTTACTTCAAACTTCGCTTTGAAAAGTCCTCACCCAATATATCTTAATAATATAACAAAGTTTCACTTGCAAATTTGGCATGCTATGTTTTCACATCATACTTTTCCCCTAAAAAAGATGCAGGTAAATGACAGTAGGAATCAAAATATCTACTGAAAAAGTATTGCTGCTGTATTCATAATTTACAACTTTTGTGCTAATGATATGATGCTATAATATTTAGGTAGTACAGCATTTAACAAGTATAGAATTAGAAGCGAGGAAAAATATAAACATATGAATTAGAAAATTTTTAAAAATCGAAAGAATAAGTCGAAATTTGTTGCAAAGACGTAACCAAGTTTTTGTTTAAACGAAAATGAGTCAATAGTACCTTTGTGATGTAAATTTAAGTTTTGCAGTTCCCCTGTTTGAGCATGATTATTATCCAGCACAGAAAATTCCAAATGAGCAAGGTCCGAGACACAACCTTTTTGTTTGGGGAGGCTGGGTGAAATGAGGGTAACAAATTAATATTTTGAACGTAGAGAAATTTGAATTTTGGAGCTAAAATTGCATCAAAAAGTTATTTTTATGCAGGATTTGGATGATGATGATGCAAAAGCCTGACATGACACTATAGAGCTGTAATTTTCTTCAGTTAAGTTTATAGATTGCAGAGGGCCTGCTAGTATTAAAGGTAAAATTTGAATTGGACAGAGCTGAATGCTTAAACGGGGTACTTATTTAATTCATTTACTCTTCAAAATATTAAATGATTATATTCGGTTCTTGTAATGATATAACAAAAAGTCTTATCTTTGCAAAATTTTCCCAGACATTAAGGAATTGGGAAACCTTGCCTCGCATACTTAAGAGCAACTGTCAAAGCTTCTTCGAATTTTTCTTGTTTTGAATGCACGGTTGGTAAACGAATTATGCGAAGGCATACCGTTGCCGTTGGCAATGTGTGCTCATCGTCGTCCGGCAAGAACTCAACTTTTATTTTTTCCGCAATGCCTAACTTTTCTGGCGTGCACCAACTTGTTGCAAATTGTAGCAATGCTTCGATTCTCGTTGCTCCGTCGTCTTTGCTAAGACGTGTCATACCCTCAGATATAAACATTTCAAACCAATTGAAGGCTTGTTTTTCGGCATGGCTTTTTGGGTCATCAACTTCCAATAATGACTTGAAGAACTCAGGCTCAAACGGTTGTTTTTTCTTGTGAAGCAGCTCGAAAAAACAATGCTCGTGTTTGGAAATGAAGGGAAAGAAACCAAGAGTTTCCAAACCTTTTTTGAACTCCATAATAACATCGAGGCGTGAACGAACTGTTTCATTGTATACTAGCTCCTGTATAAGGATATTCTTGTTGTTAACTGTAATTGGCTCTGTGGACGGCCAATGAGAAGCATTGATTACCTGCCAATAGGTTTCAGACCTCTGTCCATTTTCCAAGATAAAATCAATGGCAGCCTTGCTCTTAGCATCGTCTAGCTCTTGAATCAAATTCAAAAGGATTTCTGTGGACGGACACATTGGGATGTCGTGCTTATTTAACTGTGACATTATTTCTGCAGTGTCCTTTCCAAGTATTGACAAAATAATTGGTTTGGCTAGTTTAGGGAAAACGGCGATCGGTCCATTTTGTACGATGGTGTGCACCAAAAGGATACCGGCAAGCCGGAACAGAAAGATTTTTGTACTGTCCTTGATTGGCAGCAAACTGGTCATGTTTCCTACGAATAGCCTTTTTTTGATCTCATCCCAGGCCAAATTAAAATACTCTATCTTCAGGGCTCCACCATCTAAACCTTCCTCATTTTTGAAGGAAACTTCTAGACTTTTCTTTAATGAACCAATGTCGTTAACCTTTTTTTTGTAAAATCGCAAAACATCTAGCCATAGTGAATCTCTGTCTATCTTAATATCCTCATATTCTGGCAAAACGGTGTTTTTTCGAAACTCTTCTAACAACGTTTCAAAAGAGGCATTGGAAGAAAATTTTCTTCGTTTATTTGTGCTGGCCTCTTCTGATGGGGTTTCCAATAGCTCCGATACCGCCTCTTCTATAGATGAAATGCCAATTACAGCCAAACTTATTTGGCTTGTACTGTGTTCTGGAAACATTTGTTTTAAAGTGTCTTTCCATTCATCCTTTTTTGCTTTCTCTTTTGCAACATACCCCCATTTCCAACTTCCATTTCTGCTTTCTCCATTTTCATCTTCATTTTTGCCTGAGACCTCTTCGTCACTGCTGCTGTCTTCGACGTCTCTTATGGGATCTTCTGCGGACGAAGCTCCTGCCCCTGCCATGCACTCCTCTAGATGTTTTCTCATGTTCATTAAGGGTACCTCCGTATGACAGTACCTGCATTTACTTCTAATTGCATCATCTGTTGCTGTGGTCACTTTCGACAGTGACAGGCTTGACTGCATCGGTCTTACATATATTATGGTGTTTCCGCCAACACTCTCTTTCAAATGCTGCAAATTGTATCCATTTGGTGACATTGGGATTATGTTCAAATCACAATTCGTGCCACCCCTGTCAGCCCTGAGCATTTCAAATGCACCAGCTTGGCTTTTAAGCTTTGGGTAAACGGTCTCCAGGACTTGCCGAACTTTGCCATGACTTGCATTTTTGTCATCAAACCGTACTTTTCTTTTACCTATCCCTGCTTCTTTTAATTTAAGTAGCCTTGCCGTACATGGCGTCTTTCCCTCTGTTGGCTCTGCAAGGAGACAGAAGTCGCGAGTCCATGTTTCTTTGGGTTTAATGAACACGTATTGCTGCGACTTTCCTTTTCTTCTTGATGTAGTTGCTTGTCTTGAGCCTCCACATCCGAGACTTGGGAACGCTCTCCTATTGAGATAGAATCGCTTCCGCATTAGATTTAAGTTGCTACGCGTTTGATATTTTTAAGGTTTTTTTAAGAATTTAAAATATCCAATCAATGGCATTTCCCCTAACACTCTCTATCAAATGTTGTTAATTATTACCATATATCTATTTATATCCCGTTTCTTAAAGTGGTAAATTAACAATCGCAATGATGATTGTATTTTTTTCCTAGTGATTTGTGGTAGTCGAAATCTTCTCTGATCAGGCTGTCCAGAAATAAGGACGCAAAGAGGTAGTGCCGTTTGAAATTATGGCATTCTAAAGAAGAAGTTTTTGAAATTTTTCTTTTCAAGGCAAGCTGAGCTTCCCTTCCTAGCCCCCAACCTGACCCGCTTTGAGTGACGTTCAGCAAGCATGGCATCCCTCACCTTCTTTTTCACATATTTAGTCCCTTTAGCTTCTAAAAGCAGGAAACCCTCCCCCCACTTAAGTAAGAAATTTAATTAAATATAAATTTTTATCAAATATAAATATTTTGACCTTTTTTTATTATTTTTGAAAACTGCACAAGAAATCCTCCTGTTTTGAAAACTGTGCCTCCCAAAAATCAATTATCAATGTAATTCTGAACATCGTCGAGTTATCCGAGTTTTCTGTTCCGAGCGGTATAGTAATTTGCTAAATTTTAGTCTGGGAGATGCATTTTTAGTCACTATATGTCACTAAACTTGATTTTTAGCCACCAACCCCCCTCCCAGCTTTAATTTTCTGATGCCCTCTCTGAAAAGTTTTCTATGCCTCTTTCACTCATTTTGCAATGACATCAGAACGAAATTCATATTGGACTTGGCGGATATGAAGATCCCGAAGATATCTAATCAATTTTGCGTTTTTTTATAATTGCAAACAATCAAGAATTAGAAAGCCGGTTCTATTCATTTGTAGTTAAAAATCAGATACATTGTGTGTTACGAAGGTAGCTATCGTGTGTTTCATTGAGTAACTTTCGGGTTGCTGTCTTTTGCCCCTCAGACATTTCAGTAAAAGCACAGGGTGTTGAGGAAATGCAGTAAACTTAAGGAACTATAAAGGAACTATTAAAGAACTTTTAGTACTACAGTTTGATAAAAAATGGCCCAAAAATAAGGAACTTCAAGAACTAGGCCCTGTGTTAGGTTCCTTATAAGAAACGTGCACCTCATTTTATGAATTACATATATCAATTGATGGAAAAGATAAAAAAAATTAGAAAGGAAAATTAGAAATGTATCTACCTAAAATCTTGCATAACTGCTTCTTCTCTGTTTCCTTCAATGTTTGGTCTTCTACTTGTATCAATTAGCGAAGTAGTATGTGGGACCACACCACGCCGCATTGGCAAGAATGGCCTCGGGGGCCTGACCGCTGATGGTACGGCATTTTCTACGGTGTTTGCTGAACCCTGTTGCTCAAGACGCTCTATACGTTCAATGGCATCTTTTAGTGCAGATTTGATATCTTTACTTTCCTCCATGATATTATACGTCTATCTTTATCTACCGAAACAGGTTGAAAATCGGGTGTTGTAATTTGAAACTACAACGTCAATTCCCCTTGACTTTAGTTGCAAGCTAGGCATCAAGCTGCTCATCAAAAACAATTTCAAGACACTTCTCCTCCTCTTCCCCGCCTCTCTCCATCCCTTGCTATAAACCACTACCCCCGGGAAAGCGCCTCGACTACACGAAAGTCATCAATTCAATTCAATGCCTCGACGAGGTGACATTCGCCGCGACGATGTTAGACCTGTCACGGTTAATCAATCTTGCCTCGACGATGTGCCACCCGCCTCGACGAAATGACATCATTCACGATGTAAGACCGGCCCGACGAAGTGAAACCCGGCTCGACGATCTGACAATCGCCTCGACGAAACAAAGGTACCCATTATGTCCAGTACATGAAATAACCGTGACTGATCGAATAGCTGTGACTATTCAAATAACCATGACTGATCGAATAGCATTGACTGGTCGAATAGCAAGGATTGCTCTAAAAGGGAAAGGCAACTTCCTATCTTCAATCTTCGAGAAAGTTTCATGGATACGGGCGTTCTTCAAAAATCGCAAACCCAAGAAATAGTCAAAAAAACGAATAAAGCAAGATTGGAGGGGGCAGGGGGATTGAATCCTGGGTTGCAGGTGGGGGTCATGGGGCTTTTTCAGGGCCTCAGACGAAGGGTGGCCGGGGGGCTATGGCCCTATCACTATTTTGCAGAATAATAAAACTTTTCACAAAATCTTTGTGAGTGTTAAATTTTCTCTTGCCCCTATCTTTCTCCACTTCCCAACCTGTGTGAAAACCCGTGCTAGAAAGCTTTTCATTTCACAAAATGTTGGAAAACGACCCTTTTTGAAGACTTACGACTATAGTTTCTCGTCAATTTGATACTGACTTTCTGGCCATTAGGGGTGACTTATGCTAGGGAAGGTTCAAGAAAACATTTATTTTTGACAAAAATCGTTTTAAAAATTGCTTTGCAGCACAAAACACAGGAAATATCAATAGGAAAACAAAAAATTAATGGTTCTAACTTATCGATTAGTAATGACTGATTAGCTATATTCACAGCTTGGTTAAATTACAATAAATTTTCAGATTGCAGTTTTTTACCACCACCCTGCCACACCCATTTTGCCACACCCATATTCGCCGAATAACCGAATATTCGTTAAATTTTAAGCCGAATAACCGAATAGGAATATCTGAAGGTTTGGACAGCCCTAATGACAGTACAAGGAAGTTCTAGAATTCTTGGGAAGCGCAAGATGTTGGCTTACAGAGTCTACTCATGGATATACTGCAAACTAAGCTTGTTTTTTACTGTGCCTGCGCATTGTGTTATAGGTAAATTTGGCCTATTTTGACGTGATTTGGCCTATTTTCATAAACGGTTTAGCTACTTGGTACCCATACCACCAGGCAATCCTGGTTTTCAGTCGTTAGTCGAGTCATTGCCGTAAAAAGAAAATTTTTTTCTTAAATTATAATGAGAAAACAAGACATTTTATGACAAAAAATGGCACTGAGCCGGGCTGCCGGACGCAGGTCTGAAGAAGGGGGGCCAAAGGGAATAAAAAAGGCACGATAATATTTTTTTCGGAAACATTAGTAAGTGCCAAAAATGGCACAGATTTCATGGTAATAAATTTAGATATTTATATAAATGATACACGTTAGACATAGTGAAATCAATCTTCGCTGAAAGCAGACATAGCTATGTACTCTATTTAGAGATTACACACTCTTGATCATAATTAATTGTATAGTTTCCCACCTCATGGTCTTCAAAGTTTTTTGAGAGTGTAAATCTTTCTTCCATGTGTGATTTATACCTCTATTACAATACGCTGTACTTATTTTTCTTATAATTTGCATTATAAGTGGATTTGGCCCCGGGAAAGAAGCAGGCACATATCCTCCTTTCATACTTGTGTCAGGCGCATTATACTCAACAAATGTTCGGATTTATTGCAACATGCCAATGAATTCAATCCAAAATATGAACTGAGTGGATTTTTTGAATTCTTAGTCTCCATATACTTGAATGCCAATTCCAATCCCTCCCCCTTTCAAAGCAAAGTTTGTCTATGATAAGCGAAAGCCCATTCGAATAATGATTTTAATTTCCTTACTTTTATATTTAAACAATTTAATCCCCCTTGGTTTTTGCACCTTCCCATCGCCACTTGAACACATAAATTTGTTTGCCTCCATTGAATATTTTTTAAAAGCCATAAAATTTCATGTTTAAGTCATCTTCACGCAGTTGCCTGAAGGTGTGGGCACATTCCTCACGGCCATAACAAATTTGATTTGCAACATTGATTATGTTTATCTCATCAGTCTTATGAACGAAACTGGCCCCGGCGGGCTCAGTCAGTTGGTCAAACGCATTACATGTGCGTTCCGAAAAACTGAGGAAGGGTGGTCTGAAAGCTAGAACTCTGGGACATAGACTCTTGAAAATAGGGTTGCTTTTTTAATCAGTCAGAGGAAACACAAAAGAGTTACACAATTTTGGTAAAGTCACAGAATAGAGTACATTTTACGCATCCCAGAATCAGAGATAGGGGTACAGTTTCTACTTTCAGGAACACACACGATATACATTGGACCAACTGATTGTGCCCGCCGAGGACTTTATGCGTACCTTGCACTAATGCGTTTGCTTCTAAAGACATACTAAGGAAATTTTCTCGCGAAACTGGCAGTCTACTTCGCAGTTGAAATTGTTCATCACAGGAGCTTGTGCGGTTTGCATCATGACAATTTATTTTACATAGCTTCTAAAGGCAGAATATGTGGAAGTGAAAAAATACATATATATTTCGAAAAGGGGCACTTGTTTAAACTTTTTGCAAACAGGTGGGGCTGTGCCTCCGTGGTCCCCCCTGGCTACGGCGGCCCTGCTGAAGACGAGGAAATAAAAACCAAAAGGTTTGGATGACTAACTTTGCAATGCACACGGGCAGATGATAATGTTATCTTTTATGTAGTGTCCATAAGTATTTCTTTGGAAAATTTAATGCTGCAAAATGAAAACATTCAAAGGAGGTGATGTTAATTCTAGACTCATTTCCAAAAAAATCTGAGTTAACACAATGATTGAAACAGTGGAATAGAAGAGACGTCTAAAAGGAACTTTTAGAACTTAAAAGTCCAAAAGGCCCATTTTCAACCCACATTTTTGCTGCAGCATTATTTGGCAAGAAGATCACAGAAAGAGACACGATTCCCTTTTTTCTTATTTAATGATTGCATAAGAATTTTAAGAATTTCTTGCTGATATAAAAAAGTAATGCACGCTGTTGTGGAAGCTCATTTTCATGAGTCGAGAACAAGGAATGCGGATCATATTACAGATTAAAGGAAAAATGGTTTATTCGTTGCAACTAAGCCCCAACTAAGTCAGTATTTAAAAATGTTATTCTGGTAAGTTAAGAACTCTGCGTTAGGAAGCTTTCCAAATGTTTTGGGTGTACAAAAATTGATTAGATGTGAATAAACACATCAATCGGGTAAGCGACATAAACAATAAATTTACGTTAAGATAGACGTATGGACCAGCGTGCACCAGGAGCACAATGTTGGAGGCATTTTGAGACAGAGATCAGAGGTCACTTGTACTCGCCTAGCGTGGTAAATTGATACTTTGATGACAAATTGGAGCCCTTGGTGCAACCTCAAAATGTTATTCCTCTCCTCCTATTAAGCAGTTCCAAACCAACACCCGAATACAATTAGAGATCATAGATGCAAAAAGGAGAGGTTGATGTATTGGATATATCACTGATGAGCTGACCACAGCTCTGATAATCTCAACAGTCGGATAAAACAAAAGGAACAATCAATGATAGATCCCACCTTCAAAATACACACATCCGTTTTGTTAATTTGACAATGTGAACTTATCATGGCATGAAAATTCTGCAAGTAAACAATCAGGTCCAATGGATTGATCCAAGGGTGTGATCGATCATCCCTTGGTAGAACCTGGTAAGGGGTCCCTTACTCGGGGTTACGAGTGATGGACAGTGGTGGACCCAGCTAAAAGCTGGTTGTAAAAGCAGATGATCTAGGACCTCTGAAGGCAAAGGCTGTTCACAGGCAGAGGAATTTAGAAGTTAGGTGGTGAACGCACCTAACAGAAGGTAATGACAAAACGCTTTATGCCTTGTATAATCATGGTGATGTCAAAAACAAATAGAAAAAAAACTTCGAAGAATCCTCAAAATGGGACCATAATGTGCTACAGGTGATGCCCGACCGCCAACCTAGGACTGCATGCCGTGAAAAGTTAAAGGACATCGTAATGAAAATAAAAAGACTGAAGAAAAGGACCTCTGACATCAGCAGATCGAGGGGAGAGATGACCAGAAAATAAATATTCAAATGATGCATGAAAAAAAAGGCAGCGAAGAAACAGAACGTATCTACTGTAGTTGAATACCGGATGAAGATGGCAGTATGTTGATGAAACTAAATCAAGGGGAAGGTGGACGGAGTACATCAAGTCTAAGCAGATACAGATATACCAGCAATTAGGAAACAGATGGATAAGAAAGGGAACGCAGTAGGTGACGAGATAACATTTGAACTGATCACAGGTAAATGAATCTATCATGTTGAAAAACTCGACTGCGTGAAACATGGGAAGCTGGTGGAAATGCTAGATAGGTTAGAGATTTATGGGGAAGATTTCAAGTAGACATACAGAGAGGAGTGCGACAAGGCTGCGTTCTATCGCCAGATTTGTTTTTCTTGTAAAATGAAGAACTCTTACTGAAATCAAGACATACGATAGAGTCAGTCTGGAAGGAACTTTAATAACTTTAGATAACATAGCGTTGATTGCAGACAGTGAGGTGAAGCTACAGTGACTGTTAGACACTACAACAACAGAAAGCAAGCAGTTTGAAAACAAACTGTGAAAATACGCAAGTAACAATTGCCAGTAAGAGGGCACTGATTCCTGAAGGTATTGTTTGCAGGTAAATGAAGTGCAAATGGAGAAAGAAATTATACAATTACTCAGGCAGTTGAATAGCATTAAATGGGGGATCAGAGGTCAGGCCAAGACGGCATTTATGAGTATGACGAATGTACTGAGTACGGGGAAGATGCGATTGACTTTTAAAATCTGTTGTTAAACTGTTTCATCTGGTCACCGCTATTGGATGGATGCGAGTCATGGACAAGAAGAGCATGGAAATTAAGGTGCTTTTATTCTGTATCATAACGATATTTTCGATAGGTCAACTTGCCAATGCCTCATTCACACTTTACGAACGACATATGCACTAGCTTATAGCGATTCAATTTTGATTGCCACAACTTGAGTCGCCGTCCATGCTCACTAACAGTTAGAAATAATCCAGAAATAGACATGATTTCAAAAACAAACAGAAGTAGGATGTAATTAACAAAAATCAATAATATAAATCAATATCTGCTTGTAACATACAATGGCTTACATTTCCCCATATAACAAAGAGACCGGTGCAAATGAAGAGGGATTACAAAAGTGTCCTGCAGTTGGCATCAATACCCGTGTCCGAGTTTCTTGGATAATTGCACAATATTATTACTACATGTGTTATGTAAGGATAATTTCACCTTCTGGTCAACATGAATCAATCGAATTTTTGTCCGGGATGACACATGTGAAAGCAAAAACAAATAATAATTCAAAAGGATGGCTCAATAAACAAGTCAGTTTTCAAGACAAAAGCAAAATGAGTTTCATTTTCAAAATCTGTAAGCAACAAGCAAGAAATCTGCTAATAACAAGGCAACTCATGAATTTATAAAGATGATTTACTTATTGAGTTCCTTGAACAACAGCGATGAAAACATGCTTATCATTTCTAAACTTCAAACTTATCAAAGGAACAGGTAGGCTTTAATGTCACAAAGACTAGATTGTTCACTTTTTGCTTTTTGGTTGTATAGGCATTCCCTTCTCTTTGCCACGCAACCTCACCCCTGTGTAAGAAAAAAAATTACAATAAAATTTCTAATTATGTAAAGAATAACCAATGACCAATGCAAAGGTTCAAGCTATCTTCACAGGTTTTATGTTTATACGATAGTTGAGGATGTTTTTGTTGAAGAAAGGATGAATAAGTACGATAATATTTTCAATATTGCTATTTTTTCTTCATATTTAAAGCACATCTTAAAACTACTGTTGTTCAGATGCTGATTCATGATTGGAAAATGAACATCGCTAACAAAATGTTTTTTCCTTAAATGGATAAAACTTTGATAAACATTAGGGTGCTCTTTCTTTAGGTTAATGATACAAAAAAATTTCTAGAATACCTTTTTGTAAAATGCTTTACCTTCCACTTTTTTAAAACAAAAAAGCACTTAGGCAATTAATCTGTAATTTGCACTTGATAAAACTACATTGGCAAAATGACTACCATTTCATTTAGAGTCAATTTCGTAACTATCCATGAAATGAAAGTATTTTGGGATTCCTTTCTTTCAACTTTTCAATCTTCATGATTTTATTCCAATGATATTTGCTTCACAACTCCATGGTGATTAGTACTAAATTTTTTCACTCATATTTTGAGTTGCTTAAAGGCATTTGACATGCATAAGTACAGCAAATTCAAAAATAACTCGTGGAGCAGCTGTATCAAATATCTAATTAACTTTATAGTAAAAAATTGGAAACATGCATTGGCTGAACACTGCTTTTAATAAACGATTTAAATATATTCCTGTGTCTAACTGATTCAACACATGCAAAATTCTGCATTCAGGAAATGCCTAGTACATACCCAAAGACCTTTCCAGCTTTGACATGATTTGGTTATTTGGGATTGCTCTCCCAGCTTCATAGTCATTCACTACTTGAGGTTTTTCATTTATCCGCTGATGGTGACAAAAGAAATCAAGATTTAAATCAATAAATTAGAGCTAAAAATTAAAAGCTAATTAAAATATAGAAGGGTATTGCAATTGCATTTTATCCATGAAGTCAGTTGATAGAATTAAAAAATCTTAGCTTTGTGTGGGGGTGATGACATGGGTGACATCAGTTTATAAAGAAATGGAAGTAGTGTTAAACTTGCACTTTAAAGGGAGGCCACAGGCCTGGCCGCTTGAGGCGAGCGATAGCTCGCGCTTGCCTCCAGACTCCCCTCGCAACCTGAGGTGAGCAATGAATTGCTTTTCTAAACAGAACATGAAGGGGGAATCGCTCCCCTAAAATTTCCATTCATTTGCCCTTTTCCTATTCAGAGAATTCTGAAAACGTACAAGGGTTGATTGGTTTATTTTTGCAACAGCGATTTCTCCCGTCATTGCATTTTTGCAATTATTTTTTTGCTTTTTGGGTGGTTTTTGTTATGATAGGCATAAACTTTGATCTATTTGGAAAAGGATAGTTAACTGAAAGGTATGTTTGTAGTGATTAGAACCTTTCAATCTTAAGAAAACAGGAATATTTTTGGAAGGAAAGTCGAAGAAATTGGTAGGAATTGTAGATTGGGGATATAATAAGACAGCAGGTCCCTTCCAGCAATAGAGACAAAACTATCCCTCAAAGAGAACAAGGTACTCTGTCTTGGAGATCAAAAACGACAACCAAAACATGGAATTACACTATCCAGCAGCATTTACTGAAAAACCCAGATTGGATGAAAAACTATAATGGCGACATGTTTTGCATTATTTGCAACAGTCATGTGCTCGTTTTTTCTGATTGGCCTAGTTTGATCCAAAACTGGGCATTATAGTGTAGAGTTTTCCATCTATGTTCTGATGTTTTATTCTCGGAAGAGTGCTATACGTATAACTATGAGTTTGTTTCAAAATTTGTTTTTCAAAGCCATTTTCAAATTCTGTACACAAAAAGATTGTTTTGCAAGAGAATTGTTGTTTTTGTGTTGTGCCAGCTTTATATGAAACTGAAAGAGTCTGTTCTTTCAAATACTTCAAGTAAAGGGGGTGCCTAAGTCACGGTTAAAGCAAATACAAATTGAAAGATATAAAACAGCATACTCCTGACTGAGGCTATTAAAGGCAACCCACAGATACTAAAGGGGCTTATTACTTATTATAAGTCATCTGTCGATCGTCTTTAAAGTACATTCTATGTGTTACTGATTTAGCTCGCCTCAGCAATGAGGGGAGCGATTCACAGCTCACCAGTCCTTTTCGTTTAGCGCGTGCGATCGCACCCGCACACGCCTGCACACGCGCAAGTTAAATTGCGCGTGCTTTTGACCACACGCGCAAACAGGTGTTTTAGCAGTTTTCTGTTAAAGGGCCTCTCCAGCCAAATTTTGCACTTGCATTTTATTGGCAATTTTTATAAAGAAGTTGAGCCTTGTGATCACGAATTGTTTTTCGATATTTTTTTACAGTTTGTGAGATATAAGCTCTTGCATTTCGATAATTTAATTTAATTAACCGACAAAAATTTTTGGTTTGGTGACACTGTGACGCAATTTTGACGTCACAGTGTATTTCGGATAGTCTCGCCCCAAACCGAATCGAACGACGGCGATTCGCAAATTGAACACTGCAAGTGATGGTACTTTCAGTTCTGTTCCGCCAGCTTTTAGTTTGAGCATTTCCGACACCAATTCTGAAGCCTTTAGTTGTTCATCGTTTCTGGAGAACAACTGAAGTGACAATTTCGATTAATTATACGCGAGGGAAGAGCTGGAACAGGAACTGGAACTGGATGCAGTTATCAACGCGTGACCATTGGGTCCTTCACGCTTCGGTGGAAGATATACGAAATTCATGGCGAACGAGAGCCGCACATTGTGACGTCAGAATGTCACCAAACTGATTCGGCTTTTATCGTTCTTTTTCTCGGAAAGGTGCAACTTTAAAGCCTTACAACTTCTAAACTAATTGGAATTTTTCAAAAACAATGACTTTGTCATAATACACGCACCAGATGCTAACTTTTAAGTCATTAAAAAAAAATTTTTTTTGCTGGAGAGGCCCTTTAACATCAATTTCCCATGGTCTCATGATTGTTTATCCTTTCCCTTGTTACTTGATTCGCACTTTTGACCACAATATGATTTTTCCAATTTTCGGAAGTGATGTTTGGCTTTTGACTGAGTGCTCCATTCAACTTAGCGTCTCGTCTTTCAGCTAAGTCGCCATTAGCATGTTAAGTGTAATAACTGATTTCCTGTCAAAACGTAATTAGGCCCTGAAAGCAAGTAGCTGTTGGAAACAATTTTTACTTGCTCTTGTAACTTTGGAGAGTTACGACGACTTTTAAAAGATGGCTGCTAAGGGCAACAAAATCTGTTATGTATTGATTAATTGAGTTTTGCTCTTGCACGTATTCGAATGGCTTTTTCCTTCTTGCTCCTTTTACCAATTTTATCAGGTTTGTACTTCAAATTTTCTTACAAGTGCGATCGCACGCGCAAATTTGTTTACATGTGCGATTTGCCACACACGCGTAATTTTGCTCACGAAAAGGACTGGCTCACCTATAAAAATACAACCAGCCAGGCCTGAGGCCAGTTCTTGTTAATAAATGGATAAGGATCTGGTACTAGATTGTTTTCTAAGAGGGAAGACTTACAGTTGCTAAATCTTTTTGGGTCCATTCTTTCTCTACTCTTGCTTTCTGTATTATTTTCCCAACATCAAGTGTGATAGTGCTATCTAAAAAAGGAAACGTTGGCAATGCATGTCAGAATTACTAATTCCAGAGATACTGCCAATGCCCTCAATTACAATAAATACAAAGGTTGCAACTGGCAATTAAATCTCTACTCTATTGTCAAAGATGTCACACAAATTACAAAGTTTACAATATTTCACAGTGGTCATTAGCCATCTTCAACGCGAAACCATTAGCTGACAGTGTTCATAAGCCATCTTTGAATGACTTCCATGGTAAGATAGAAAGTGAAGGGAACAGTCATGAAAACAGAAAAATATGATGCAAAGAAAAATTTATTGCAAGTTCCTAATTCTAACACCAGTTGAAAAAAGATAAAACTCCAGGAACATAGAGAAAAGACTGTAATGATTGCTGGATTTAGTTTTAGATAGGGACTTACGGTGTAATTCTTCAGTTTCCCGGTCCAACTTTGCAGTATCTCTTGATGCTGTATGTTGTTTGTTTGAGGCTGCTGAAACTGTGCAGATAATATGTTTGTGAATGCAAAGCTTTGGAAAGATCTCATAATGTTGAAATTTGTCTTTGTCTAATGAACCAATGTCTAATGACAATTACACACTTTCAGAAAATACCCAATAGTGACTTAATTAAGCATTTGGCTTGGTTCTGCCCTCTTAAACATTCTGCAAAGTATGTGTTTATTTATCCATTGCAATGTCTGAAGCAGATTATAAATTGTGAACTTTGACAATAGAGACCTTTTAAATCAATTACATTCAAATAAACTTTTGCATCAACTCTCATGTATTTGTAACATGGATAAAAACAAATTGACAAAAACAGTGGGCTTTTT